TGGCAACTTTTAGTATGTCATTCTGCAAACCCAACTCTACAAAATAAAACCATAAAACGTGTTCTTGTAATTTTTTAAGGTCATATCCTATATTTCTCCGACTAATAACTTAACTTGGGCTTTGGTGCCTTTCTTTGGCGTCAGTTCAGTTGTGTTGTGGCTGGTGCCTGACGTTGATGGGCAGCAAGCTATGGACAAACCCCAGATGATAATATATATCAATAATTATTACTTCAAAGAAACGCTATAATCATCGTAGAGTTGTACTAAGATCATATGGTTTACAATATTATTATTTTATGTCATTGATATGGATGAAATTGTATTTTTATGACAGCAATAATTCAGCTTGATAAACTATCGATAGTTAAGGTACCGACAGTCGATAGTCTCACTATCGGAAAACTATCGATAGTAGTGAGCCGTGACTTGTCCACCAAGCGTCCCACCAATGTCACGCCTCAGTGTTTTTGTATAGTGCGAGTGCTGGCCTTGCGCCGGAACTCGTTCAGTTTGGGTCTGGCAGCAGTCCTGCAGACCCCGGGGCAATTTTCCGCTGTGTCGGACACATTTTCGGCAGAAGTCCAGCGACTGTCATCGGTTCATGTCAAAATTTGTGTTGTTATGCCGAATTGGTATCTATTAACATCCTGCCACATTTTTGACTGTGCTTCGTGTGAACCAAATTTTTTGTAACATGAATTAAGCGGATTGCTGAACGTTGGATGAGGTCCCCAGATGGGAGGCTTTTTCCTGCTGCTTCCCCGGACGGAGCACATGAAAAGAGCCCGAAATTTTAATCCCCAAAAAGGTTCACTAATCTTAATCATGGAAAGAGCCCGGGTCTCCACAGGTACCTGGGGAGGACGCTGACTCGTGTTCTGAAATAGTGTTGTGTTTGGTTGGGTTAGGTTAGGTTGGGTAAGGTTAGATTAGGTAAACAGACTATATCTTTTAGTAATTTAAATGCCTTTTAATAATCTATTTTTTAATAATGTATCTTTTAACAGTGAATCTTTTAATATTGAAAATAAATTAATGTATTTCAACTGTGTTATTGGTTCTTTCTCCTTTGAAGACTCGTTGTGAAAGTTCTAGGAAGAGCCCGGGCTCTTTTCGCACCGTCCTGAGAGGGACCTTGGAGGTCCGGGCGCTTTTCAAGCGTCTGCCTGAGTTTTTGGGCTCTTTTCATGTGCGCCCCCGTCCGGAGAGGGTCGCCCGGGGAGACCTTACACCTTCTCCCTCTTCGGGCTGCCGGTCGCCCTGCTTCTGGAACCAGTAGGACACACTCCGCCTTCAAGCCGCCACGCCGCCTACCGCCAAAGGAACTATTGTGCCTTCAAACCGCAAGTTTTATTTTGTTATACAAATTTTTCGAAGGACTTGATACTAAAAGGGGCCCCCAAATCAATTTATTATTCGTTATTTATGTTTATAGTATTTATTATTTATTTAATTGTTAATTTTTTCAAAGTTTAAAGTAGCCTATATTTACAGTTACCATCTTTAATTTATTCATAGTTAGGCCTAACTTTTATAGTTACCACTTTTCCAGTTTGTAATTCAGAAGGGTAAATTTTTGAGAAAGAGATTATTTAAAGTAATTCTTTGGATGGATGACATTGTTATTTGTTGATTTTGAAATATTATAGGCTTTGTTGACAACTATTTGTTTTGTTTTGATATTCACCCACGGCCTTTCACTAGTTAGGGATGTGGGGCGGCCACTCGCACTGTCACTATGGGGGGCATGCTTCCTTTAGTTGTTCGTCTGGGGGCGGTGCGAGGGGTCGGCTCAGTAGCGAAGTACTATCACTACTCACTAGTGATGTGACGAGTCGGGTACTTTCCTGACTCGAGTGACTCGACTCGCCAACTGCCGTGAACTCGAGTTACGAGTCGAGTCAGACTCATTTCCATTTTTTGTTTTGTCATGAGAGCATGAAGCTCCCTGACTGCAAACCCGGTACCTATAATTAAACATACCCGGGCCCCATGATGTAGGCCGAAGCTAATGCACCAACCTTTGGTACATCATGGGAGGATGATTTAAGGTCATCAGGCTCACCGGCTGCTGAAGCACACCCTTCAAAGAGAGGGTTTCCCCTCAATCCTAACCAGGGATACCGGCTACTTGTTTAAGCGTCACTCCACCTGGGTTCCCCAGGTACGAAACCCAGAAGGACCATAGTGGAATGCCCTGACGCATTTAGTGCAAGCAACACTCGGGACCTATCCAATCCCTGACAGGCAGAGCCCGCCATCAAAGCCAGGAAGAAGGGGACCACCAGCAAGCTGATGGGGGGAACCCCAACCACCTTTTTGGACCACTACCCGATCGAGGCCTTACCCAGTTGCTGGGAAACCAGAGGTGGCCAAGGCGATAGATCCCTGAACACCCCTAGCGGGCTTGAACCCAGCACCCGATCTACTTCGTTTGCCCGTCTAGCCCAACACCACTGCCAGGCCATCAGGGTTTCCCAAAAGGGGGCAGGAATAGAAGAGGGTCAGTGGGTCCCACCCGGATGAACCTATCCACCAAAGGTGGTGACACCCTTTGCTCAATTGAAGTTCCAGGGAGAACTCCCCACACTCTAGATAACCATACCTTCCGGTCTCAGAGACAGGGATTGGCTGATGGAGTGCGCCCAGCCGTTGCCCTCACACTGCGGAAAGTTACGCTCCCCTAGAGTGTCCCCGTGAGCTTACGGGTACTTGCCCGATTTCACCTACAGGAAAGGCTACTTCCAAAGTCGAGGATTTGCCACACTGAATGCTGGTCGCACAGAACAAGCAGGCCAAAGCCCAGAGAACCATAGTCACAGGTAGATGGGAGATTGATGGCGCACTTCCACCTCTCCGAGAGCTAAACACCCCACCAACCTGGATGGAGGAATGTCACTGGAGGCTCCCCCTAAGGGGCTGGCGCTTACCAGTCGTCCATAACTGTGGCCTACCTGAAGTGCCGGTTCAAACACCGGGCAATTACCTCCCCTCTGGGAGTCAGACTCAACTCGAAACTCGACCCGAAACCAATGCATCATGTGAGTCTGCAACGACTCGGAGTCGACCAATAGGGTTGTAGTTTTGCGAGTCGGCCGACTCGGTAGCGGCCAATAGCGTATCAGATTAACGAGTCGAGTCGACTCGACTCGAGACGTTCCGAGTTCGTGTAAGTTCGGCATTCTCCGTACGAGTTCGTTTTGTGGATCGTGAAGGGTTATAATCGCACTCGGCCAATAGGGTTTCAGTTATACGAGTCAACTCAACTCGCGTTCCGCCAATAGCGTTGAATCTATGTGAGTCGACTCGTAAAGCTGTGACGCTATTGGCCGAAAGCGAGTGCGAGTCAACTCGTTACGTCCCGAGTTCGTTAAGGTTCGGCTTTCTCCGTGAGTTCGGTTTTTTGACTCGGCTTTTGCGAGTCGCACTCGTAACGTTACGAGATCGTGTAGCTTCGGCAATCTCCGTACGAGTTCGTACCAACTCGAGTTTTGAATGAGATGACTCGAGTTTCGGGTCTTGACTCGAGTCAACTCGACTCGCCAACTCATCTCGTCACATCACTACTACATGCTACTACTCACTAGGCCTGGCCTCGGCCTGTATTTTCCTATTTTTTGTATAAATAAACAAATACACAAGTTAAATAAGTTTATCTAAGGCTAAGCTCTGTATGTAGTTACCGTTTTTTTTAGGGTTTAACCGAAAATAAATTAAGTGAAAGTTGAATAATTTGTGAATTGTGAGTGAGTGCCCTGATACTCTAAAATGAAGATAAGCAGACACAAAAAAGTTAACAAATATCTTAATTTTTACTGTAATAATTTTGGCTTCAGAAAACCATTTCAAGTGTTGATTGATGGGACATTTTGCTATGTAGCTTTAAAGGTAAGGAAGCGGGTTAAAGTTTCTGATTATTAGCCTAAATATCTACCTAGATAGGTACTGATTACTGGGGTACAGTTTCTAAACTGGGCTAGGGCCTATGCTAATATTGATTGAAACCATCGAATTGAAAATCTTGATTAATAGGCCTAATCGAGGGTACACTTCCATATCTGTTGGCACAAACAACCGAATGAAAATATCGATCGATATATCGAATTAAACTATCGAACAGTCAATATTACTCATTAAGATTAAAATATATCTTTTATAAAATTAAACCTAACCTAAGTTTAGGCCTAACCAACCAAACATGCTGATGGTGAAAAAATTGCATGAAGGTTTACTAATCGAATCGATAGTTTCAATCAATATTAGCGTACCTAGCCCAGTTAAGAAACTGTAGGCCTACCCATGTACGGTAAAATCCTCTTCGATTTACAAACCCGAAATAAATACATTTGTTTATAAAAGCGAATCGAAACTCAAACCGCACTGATAGTGTAAATTATCGGAACACAATAATAACCGAGTACAAAGTCTATTTACAATGTTTTTTTACAAGTTTGAAAACTTGGCATGTTATTTGATTATGCCTGTTTAAACCAAATACTTTAAAATATCGCAGTTACATCATGTTTAGACTTAGTTTTCTTGTAATTCTATGTAGACTACAATTATGTAGTTACTTTTGTAATATTTGACTAATTAAAAAAGCTGTACCGATTGCACTTTTAACCCAGTGGGGGCTATAATGACCTAGACCCGAAGCGGTCGAGCGCGGTCTAATTGGGGGTAGGCTCACCTATTGGGCTGTCCTAATATAATCCTTCACCCGCCACCAGCTTTGGCACGGAGTATAGGTATAAAATGCTTATTGCAGTTTACTGAAGCGTGTAATGTACAATTTATGCCTGCCTTGTGGTTTTGTGATAATTGTCAGATAACATGTGTTTTTATTATTAATTACGGTATGATTTTGTAAATAATAAAAACATATGTTATTGACTGATTAATTGGCTACTATTACTAGGTGAGCACCATAACCACCGAGCTATCCAGATGCAGCTTCAGATTCTACCCTATCAGTGACTTGTGTGATTTTATTCCAGAACAAGCTCAATATTCAAGAACAACTACCTAAATACCTTGGAGAAGTAAAACTACTGACCACACCATGTGTAATAGTGGAGACCGAATTGTTGGGTAAGATTTATATCAACTTTAAAACATCCTATCAAGAATAGGATGCAAGCCTCAACATAGCAAATCAGTAAAGGAAATTGATTATTTAAATATAATTTTTGCATATTTAAATTCAGTCATTCCGTAAATTGGTATACGTCAATTCCAAACAAACAAAACAAATTTAATGGTACATAGTGAAATAGATAAATTAATGGTTACCAGAAAGCTATGGAATTTCAAGGACTACCCAACAACAAATATAGGCTAATCTAATGAAATCAAGGTCTTGAAACTGGGACAATATTATATCCAAATACCCCCGCCGCAGCAAACCTGCCGACTAAGTGAATTTCTATTTGAATTGTTTTTCATTCAAATCTATTTAAATAACATTAGGTTTGCTACTACAAGGAAATTAATAAAGTGTGTTTTTTAGTAAAACAAAATAAATAAAAATTAGCCAAGTTTGATCAAAATATATCAATAAACAAGCAAACTACAACATTTTACAATATTCTCCATAAGAATAACATGGGAATTCAAAATTTACAATTATTTGAATTTTCTCTGTTACCAATAACTGTACAAAAACACTTTGATATACTAAATTATTTGATTTTTATGCTCTTTAAAAAGTTCTAGAGAGAATTTGGGAAATGTTGTGTTTTGAGGGTCAATAATGAGAAAACCCATTTTTACCCCCTAAAACATGGTCCGACCATGCTGGTTCGTGATCTCATTCAAGTTTATCCCGCCTTACACGCCTAAACCAAATTTCATCAAAATTGGACAAAAATTACTCAAGTTATCGCTTTCACGGACGTGTATATGTATGTATATATATATATATATATAATACATATGTATATACATTATGTATGTATATACATTATGTATGTATATACATGTATCAAAATTTGAACAAATGAAGTTTTTGGCCTCTGGGGACAAAATGAAAAAGTAAGTTGGTCGCGGGTCTAGGTCTTACCATGCCACCTCCAGTAATAGCTACTTCCCAATAGGGCAATTCGCTAAAAGCTACAATATAGGCTATACTAGAAGGTTAAAGTGCTTGATAAATCTCAGACTTCGAACATGTCTCAAATATGCAATGACTCACTTTCTACTCTTGTTATGAAATAGGCTATACTATTACCACCATACCTTTCAAAATGTTAGGCTACATATTATTATTTTTGAATTTATAATAAATGTGGTAGGCTACATTGTAAAGAGGTTCAAATTTAAAATATTTACCGGTATTCATAAGAATTGTTTACAAAAACATGTTCATTCCAATTAAAAATATCAGGTACACTTTAACTTTAGTCTTACAGTGCAGTGCAACCTTGATAACAAGACCCTAGATAACAAGTCACCCTTTATAAAAAGTGTCATTTTCTATCCCCTTGAATTTTATCTTACCCCTAATCCAAGGCACACTAAAAAAACAGGCCGTAATGCTTGTCAACCATGGCGTCACGATAGAAGACAGCAATGACGTAGGGTAGGTATTTATTTGTTTATTTTCCAAGGAAAGATTAAAACAAGCAGCTGATCACAAATGGCAAACATTACGTCATTGCCGTCTTCTATCGTGACGTCATTGCCGTCTTCTATCGTGACGTCATTGCCGTCTTCTATCGCGACGTCATGCTTGACGAGCACTAACTTATGTCCTGGTTTTTCAGTGTGGCCTTGCCTAATCACATGTTATTGTAAACCTCGATAAGAAGTTGACCTTGATAACAAGACTTATTTAATAATCCCCATGAGAGTCTTGTTATCAAGGTTCTACTGTATTGCTTCAATAAAATCAAATAACTATTCAAATTATACAATTTATAGGCTAGACCGTCACAATGTAGTCTTATGGCAAAATGACGAACAGCGCTGAGGGTTCCTTGACCGCATTACAATACTTTAGTATAGGAGCTCTGGGGCAGAGTCCAAAGTTGAATACACACTCATAAATCAGGACAACCACCACAATCTGGATATCCTGCATGACACGCTCTTGTTATGGATCCATGGGTGAAATTGATGGATAAAACAACCGAACTGTTTAATCAATAGTGATGTAGACCAACTGTTTTTGCGTGTAAAAGTAAAACACAGTATAGGTACTTTCATTTTAAAAATTCATCTTTACTATTATAGCCTCCTCCAACACAAGGCCGTGGCGAGACAAAAATGGCAACACTGCTGCACTGGCGAATTGAAACAGATGTTTCATTACTTTATAGAGCGTATAGACAATGGGCATGCCATTGCCACTCACTTACGCCGCGGCCTTGCTTTAGATGAGGTTATGATACTATCTATGAATGCTCTTTGGTGAATCTATGCTTCTGAATGTTGGTGTACATAATTAATGGTTTCATTACCATTTCCTGTTTCAGGAAAAGCTGCTTTTGGAGCGATGATGATAGTAAAGCAGTTCTCTGTGCACTGCTGCCAACATACAGCCAAACCTATCAGTGGTTCAGAGTGCTTTAAGTCAATGCTGGGCGAGAATAATTCATCCAGGTATGTCAGATAGGGAATGGGCAAGTCTGCTGCTAATGCAAGTACTGCGTTCCAGTATTTGTGAACTTCTACAAGAAACAAATTGGTATCAGAACGAGGCAGGTGCTATTAAGTCCTCAGTATAGAAAAATGCATGGGAAAAGCTGAGATAATAGACCAAAACCCTGATACCCCAAACGAACCATGGGTAATGGCCATATAAGACTGATATAAATTTCTGCTGACATAAGGAAGCCCCTGGTTGAAACCTACTCTCAATGCAAGTTGAAATTGTGTTTTATTATTTTTACAATTGTACATTTTAAAGCATATTTTTGGACACAAAAGGTATTTCCTACAAGAACGGATGTAACTTTTACGATTCAGTATAAAAATACTGTATTTAAACTGTCTTTCTAGCCAAACTTGAGTACCTACACTGTTCAATTCCTCACTGATTCAATCAATGTGTCAAAGTTGAAGTTTATAAAGGGTCCTAGTTTCTGAAATATACATTACTTTCCCCTACTAGTCTGATTTCCTATATAATTTGATAGATTTGTCACTTTTACAGGTATGTGATAGCAACTCAAGATCGTGAGTTGCAGGACTTTGTGCGGAATGTTCCAGGAACACCTTTGTTGTATCTCCATCAGCACACACCTCACTTGGAAGAACCTTCTGTTGTGACTACCAGAACTGCATCCGAAAAAGCCAACTCCCAGTACGTAAACTTGCCTGTTGCAGGTTGATTTATCTTTTTAAAATACACTTGAGTCCCGCTAATCCGAACACGGTTAATCCGAACGTCCGCTTAATCCGAACACGTTCCCGATATTAATTTTAATAAATTTGCACTATATAAAATACAATGGGAAAGGTAAAACATCTTGAAATGAAGTATAAACAGAGTAATCAATTAAGGAATACAATGGTTTGTTTATTACGTAAAGTTTAAATTTACAAATCGTAATAAAAAACAAATAAAACAAAGAATTATTTTGTAAGAAATATTGCACATACCGTACTGAAAAATTAACTTTGGTTAGGCCTACTTGTTATTGGACATGAAGTCCCGCATTGTCATTTGCTGCAGTTTAGTAAGTCTGTTTTTTGCCGCGTAGTTCCGCCATTTTCTCATGAACATCACGTCTGCAGGCGTGGCAGTAGACTGTTGTTCTAAGTAGCGAAGGGCAAGGTCAAGCGCTGCAGCTGCCTCATTGTGTGTCACTTTCTCCTCTCCTCCCCCCCCGCCCCCTGGCTCGTCATCACTACCCTCCCCCTCGTCTCCCTGAACATGATCTTGCGTCACTGCTGCTACGATGTCATCGTCAGTCAGAGTCTCTGCACTAGTACCGTCTGCCGCCATCCATTCATCCACGTCCTCTTCTTCCGCGTTTTCACAACCGGGAATGTTTCGAATCATTGGTAATAAGTTAACTGGGTCATTTTCGGTAGGGGTTTCTTCAAAATCTAACGATTTCCACAACTTTTTCCACGATTTTCTTATCGCCCCAGTTGTCACATCTTCCCAAGATTCAGCTGCCCAATACACAACATCCTTTACGTTCGTTTGTTTAATTTTTTGAACCAAGGGAATTGTATCATCTTCAATTAGGGACTTTAAAAAGTTTTGCGATACTTAAGCTTCAGAGCCTGCAAAACCCCCTGGTCCATTGGTTGCAATAATGGCGTCACATTTGGAGGTAAAAAGGCTGCCTTTATTTCGCCACATGTTAGTTCGTCGACATCTGGGTGGGACGGTGCATTATCTAGCAAAAGAATAGCACGTGGGGGAATGTCATTTTCTTGGCTAAACCGTTTAACAGATGGTACGAATTGGTCATGGAACCATTCTTTAAACAGTTTCCCGTCCATCCAGCCTCTCTTCTGGTTCCTGTAATACACTGGAAGTGACTTCATGTTTATATGCTTGAAGGCTCGAGGCTTAGCAGCTTTGCCTATCATCATAAGAGGAAGCTTATGGTTACCAGCAGCATTGGAACAAGCCATAATGGTTACTCGGTCCTTACACATTTTAAAACCAGGAGCACGACTTTCTGATTTAGAGGCCAAGCTTTTAGTTGGCAGTGCTCTAAAATTTAGGCCGGTTTCGTCGGCGTTATATATCTGTTGGGGGGAATAATTTCCTTCGCTTATTAAATTGTCAAATGAAGCAAGGTATTCCTGCGCTGCAGCCTGATCTGAGGAAAGTTGTTCACCGGTGACAGTTAGCTGCCGAATACCATGACGTTTTTTCCACCGGTCAAACCAACCGGTGCTGGCTGTGAAGGAACTGTCGCCATTTAACAGATTGTTCAACTGAATTGCCTTTTCTTGAACGATAGGTCCACTTAAAGGGGTTCCCCTTTCCCTTTCTTGCGAGAACCACAGAAAAAGCGCTTCGTCAACTTTATCATACTGCGACTGTCGCGCCGTTTGCCGATTTTCAAGGGTTACCTCTGAAGACGTTGTGCAATATTGTTGAAGTTTCGCACGGTTTTTTTTCCAGTCGCAAATTGTAGCTTTGCCAACGTTCAGCTCTTTCGCTAGTTTAGTCACACTTTCACCATTATCCAAACGTTTTAAAGTTTCCAGCTTATCTTTAAGAGTCAAAGTGTTATGTTTACGTTTGTTAGACATTGCACTTATCACACTAAAAACCCGTACACACGCAAATCCACAGGAGACTGACCGCACTACGTAAACAAAAGCAGACTAGATCAAGGTGTTGTTGTGTTGCGATTCTGACAATTAATTAAGCTAGGTGTATTGGCGAGGGGAGGGGGAGGGGGGCAGAACGGGGCAGACGTGTAGGCTACTGTGTACAGTCTCGGTAAGCAGTGCGTGCAGACGTACAGTCCGCACGCATTATCGTCACATCATACACGTCTGCCCACCCGTTCATATCGCTCTACGCTAGTTGATTGTTGACACGCTAGATATTGCACTTTAACTGATGCGCTTATTTAAGTTTAACTGTTGTTTTTTTAATTTTGTTGTAGTAAATGGACTATTAAAATTGGTTTTTGTGTATTGCTCGTTCATATTACGACACTACGACCCCTTAAAATTGCTTCCATCTTGATTATCTACGTTATTTCGGCTAATCCGAACAATCAGCTAATCCGAACGGGGTTCGGTCCCAATTAGTTCGGATTAGCCGGACTGCACTGTAGAGATTGGCTCTCCCTTTTACTCTGCCTTAACCCTCAAGAAGAACAAGAATGAACTGTACTGATACATTTCAGGTTGAAGTACTGAGACAGTATCACGCTACCGACTCACAACACATATTTTTAAAGCTTTTTTCTACAACGTCAGAAGCATGTGAACTGTTTATGTAACTGTTAAAATATGTAGGCAGCCAGTAACCCTCCTGCTGAAATATTATTATGCTTTGCTTTCTTCAAGTGCCCCCCTTCCCTTGTTAAAATAATAATAATAATAATTCCCTTGTTGCACTTCATTAGACTTCCACACATTCTTCTGGACTTATTATACAACATTTTTAAAATGGAAAATTTCCTGAATACTTACAGAAATGACTTATTGATAAAAAAATAAGAAAATGTCTTCAAAGCCGCACTCCAGTATTTCAACCAAACAACACAAAACAGTGTACAGTAGAACTCCGATTATCCGAATCAATAGGGACCAGACCCCATTCAGATAACCAAAAATTCGGATAATCGGAGTTTTACCGGAATTCTGGGAATTTTAAAGAAAAATCCTCATTTTCGGTACTAAGTGAACTTTTAATTAATAATAATTTAGATCAGAACATTTTTACAATTTACAATGCTCATAGTACAAGTGTTCTATACATGTTATTAAGTCAATAGTGTTCCATCAAAGTCCAAAATTGGCTAAATGTGTTTAATGACAATTCTTTGATATTTTGCAAAACTTATTACTGTAGCTTTACGATTTTAAAATTGTTGAAATAAGCGATTCGGATAATTGGAGATTCGGTTAATTGGAGTTCGGATAATTGGAGTTCTACTGTACTTCTATTAGGCACATAATACTTAAGTTGGCAACACTTAAATATACTACGACCACGATCAGCTGATTTTCATTTTTTCAGATTTTCATGCGAGTAGCGTAACAATACTTCTATTCAATTCATATTTATTCATACTTATTTACAGATATACAAAAGTATACTGTACATGAATCGCATTCAGAACTATACATCATACATTATATAGCCTAATAACTAGACAGAATGTGATACATATATATAAACAATATTTATTTAAATACTGAAAAATTCCTCAACTGTATAGCGCTTTGGTTGCAAGAAATCTTTTTAATTTCCTTTCAAAGCATTTAAAACTCTTTTCAGGTTTTATTATTTCAGGAAGGTAGTTATAATATTTTATTCTAGAAACAGTTGTTGGATTTTTGTTTGAAATTGCTTTCTTAGGCCGGCCACACACAGAACCAGGCGGGTCGGGGCGCGAATAGGCACGACGAGATGCCTGACTTAAGCACTGTCTTGTTGCTGTCACACACAGAATGAAGCAGGGCACGTCAAATAAAAAGTTTAGCCCCCATAAACCTGAAAATTAACATAGAATTTTTTATTTCTGAGCCTTAAGCCGATTTAGCCAACTTTTAAATTTGACTTTATACTTGGGAACAGAATAGAAAACAAAATTCAAACAGTCATACCTCCAGAGGTGTGGTTTTTTAAACCCTTAAGATATGAACGTTGGCCCTCTCTTTCCTCAGTTATCAATACCAAGATAAATTATTAATTATTCAACCACTTTAGTAATATCATCACTGTATAGTCGTATCAATAGGTGTAATCTTTGGTCGTATAAATTGTTACAGTCTTGTATGTAAATTGTATCAGTTGTAAAATAAACCTTATCGAAATTAGCCCTTAAGGGAATAAATCACATGACCGCGCATGCGCAGAAAGTTCTACCCGGGGCGTCTTGTGCGACGGGAATTGCATGGGCTCTTATGGAGCTCCACACACAGGACCGAGCGAGGCAGGGCACGTCAAAAAGACGCCCCTGGGCGCCCTCAGGGCAAAATGTGAAGCTCTCGAAAATTATGCCCTGAGGCAAGTCGCTGCCAGGCAGAACATTCTGCGCATGCGCGGTCATCTGATTTATTCCCTTACGGGCTAATTTTGATAAGGTTTATTTTACAACTGATACACCAACCAAAGATTACACCCTTTGAACGACTATACAGTGATAATATTACTAAAGTGGTTGAATAATTAATAATTTATCTTGGTATTGATAACTGAGAAAAGAGAGGGCCAACCTTCATATCTTAAGGGTTTCAAAAACCACACCTCTGGAGGTATGACTGTTTGAATTTTGTTTTCTATTCTGCTCACAAGTATAAAGTCAAATTTAAAAGTTGGCTAAATCGGCTTAAGGCTCAGAAATAAAAAATCCTATATTAATTTTCAGGTTTATGGGGGCTAAACTTTTAACTTGACGTGCCCTGCCTCATTCTGTGTGTGACAGCAACAAGACAGGGCTTAAGACAGGCGTCTCGTCATGCCCTGTCGCGCCCCGACCCGCCTGGTTCTGTGTGTGGCCGGCCTTAAAGTTATTAATTTGAACTTTTTCCTGATTTCTTGTATAATGTGTGTGAACATTCTGTTGTCTTGGCAAAAGTCTCATTTTTTTACATGTTATACTGTTCTAAAAATATAAATACTAAAGACAATCATAATTTTCAGATTACAAAAATGACCTCTACAATGAGCATCTTAAGGAAGCTTAAGCATAGGCCTAATAGCAACTTTTTGAAAATGTAGGAGGATTCTTTGTAGATTTATAATTGTTGTTGCCCCATAAAAGCTCTATAGGCCTACCATACAGAATGTGTGAGTGTTCTAACAAATAATAAACTTATTTTACCAAGTCCAAATTACAAAAAGGTGGCCTACCATAAAGAATGTGTGAGTGTATTAACAAATAATAAACTGATTTTACCGAGTCCAAATTACAAAAAGGTGCCAGTCTTCTCAATGACAAAATTACCTTAACTAATTTAAAAACATTTTCTCAACATGTTTTGTCCAGTAAAGAGTGTGATCTAATTGTTGGCCCCAAAAAATAGTGTTATCAGAAAGTTAAGTGCGCACAATCTTAATGATTTAATTTAGAAATATCTTTACACTAAAAATTGATTATCGTGGTTTTATTTGTATTCTATAGTAAGTTATGATTAATTACATCATACTGCACAGAAAAAAATAGTAAATTTTAAACTCATAACACAATTTATTTAGGACATAAAATAAATTATAATATTTTTATATTTCAGAAAATAAAATAGGCCGTTGCGGTTAGCCGTTTATTTCATCAGCTGACTAAGTGCACGGTAAAAGTACATTACGTTACTTTTCCGTGAGAAGGCACGGCAAAGAGCAACTTTCCAGCCTATCAATACGGATGGAAAGTACCTGCTTCTGTGTAGTATGATGTAAAAAATAATGTGTAACTCGAGAAACTTTCCACACTCACCTGTGGCTTGTGTGTTTAAACATTTCTATTATGTGCAGCAAAGTGCCACTTTGCACACTCTAACACAAATGACTATTGTCTCATCCAATCAACTCTCATTGTTCACTCTTCACCATAAAATACACAGACTGATGTCTTGCGTTGTTAAAATATATCTAGGCTATATCGCTATTGAAATTCTCCCTGCACAGGGGCACTGGGCTACAATTGCCACTTTTAATTTGATTCGGAGAGAAAAATAAGCTTTCTTCTAATTTCTCTTGATTTTTGAACATTTGTGTGGTATTCTTTGTTTAGTTATTTTTATGATAGTGAAATATTTATGTTCCGTAGGTTTGGAATTAGTAGATTTGATGACGCCAAAATATCAAGTTTAAAGTCAGCAGCTTTTGGGGATAAATCAGAAGAAAAACCTAGAAAAAGAAAATTCAAGAGTGGACCTAACCCCCTTTCCTGTAAAAAGAAAAAGAAGAAACTCGCCCTCTCTGGAAGTGACACTAAAACCTTAGATGAACAAGACCAAAATACACGCAAGAAAAGGAAAAGAATCAAACTTCCTAAACATGTAAAAGAATGTTTAATTAGCAATTCTTAATAAACAGTTTTATTTTTACCTGGACTTTACATTATGTACCATGACAATCACATTAATACTTACATATAATTAACAATTGAAAAAATCTAAACATTGTCATGAAACATCAAATAAGCAATTCCTAATAAACTGATTTATTAACACAATTTTACATTTTATGTACTATTATAATCATATGAATACTTACATAGTATCTTATTAAGAATTTAAACAAAACTTAAAACTCTTGTCATGAAATATGAAATATCTCTTGTCTTAGGCTCAAGTTGGTCAAGAATCATGACTACTGGGGTCTGGTCAAAATTAAAGATCTTTTTCAAAATTTTTGTTTATGCATATTTTGATCTGGCAAGTCAAGATACAAAGGATATTTTCTATTTACAAAGCTGGATTGAAACAGTGTGAAATCCATATCTTTCCCATGATTGTCAGAAGAGAACATTCGGAATGTTAGTAATAAGTCGATTCTTGTAAAATCTGCCTGCAAAGTAAACAAATAATTAGAATGGTCTTTTTTTTCAAATATCAAATCCAACTATGTAATACAGTAGAACCTCTTTACTTCGTACGTCTACTGATACGAACGCCTCATTTCTGTACTCAATACACAGTACAGTAGTTCTTAATTGTAGACTGTATATGTTCTGTAATCTGAACTATTCAATAGTCCGAACAACCTCTGGTCCCAATTAGTTCGGATTAAAGAGGTTCTACTGTATTATCTGATTTACTACATATTTTTGAATCACACTATTAATTTCCCAACACATAAAAAGGCAATGAGGGCATATAAGGCTTGATTAGTAAACAATACCGATGTGTCTAGATATTTTAAAACTAGATAAATAAGAATTTAACAGCTCATCAAAATTGGTGTCACAGATGATAAGACAAGATATTGTGGCCAATCCATAACCTTGCATGTTGAAATGAAAATCCTTCTTTATTGAGGCGAATTTAGGACCTCATGGTCCTTTCTTACAGTTAAACTCTAATGTTGAGATTTAAATAACAAAGAGAAAAACATATTACACAAGAACTTAGATGAACCTGGGTCTGAGACAATAAACCCGAAACAAAAATTAATTAAAGAGCACATCAGAATCCTGGACTATCTCATTGTAGGCTAGGCTATCTGGACAAATTTTAGGTTGTGACTAATTTCAGGAGACGACTATTAGGCATTATTTCACGAAACCACGATATTAAATCTAATTTTGTCTCTTCAAACAAAATTTTTCGTCATAAGTGGTCTGATACTGTCCAATTTATAATTACAGTATTATAAAAAATGGTTTTCATTTAATATCTTCATCAAATTTTACTTTTTAAATTTTACTTAATTTTGCAAGGTAACTTTATTTCAAAACAAGCATGACATTTTTGCAAATGTTAAATTTTAACGTCATTATTTAAGTTTCAATTTTATTATTCCACACAAAGAAAGCACGTAAATAAACTGGTTGGCACAGTTAATAAGTTTGTGTATAGGAGAGAAATCAATAGGTGATAATAGCATATTTCGTTGGTGGGTCAAGCCAACAACCCCCTTTTTTAACTCCATTACACTGAAAACTGGTTGACCAAAACCATAATAAAAATTTTTATCAAGTGGAAGCTCAGTTTGGCCAACAAAGGGTGTTTGAAAAAAAAAACAAAGGATGACACATAAAGATGAAGTTCAGAACACAATGGTCGATAATTAAAAATATCCCCACCACATTAAAACTGCAGACTAGGCCAATTTTTCACTTTCCTGATACGAATTTCAATGAGATATTTTCTTTAACATAACAAATTTATTCCTTGTTTAAAAGGCATTAAGTTAATTGAAGTGCTTAGGTTTGCTGCTTCAAGGAAGGTATTAGTGTGAAACAAATGAATTTGCCAAATTTGATCAAAATATAACCATAAACAATAAAACGACGATAGTTTACTTATTCTCCATTAGAATGATTTAAATAGGGTTTCTTAGAATTTTCTCCGCAACTGTTAAGCGTATAACACATGAATAAACTTTTTAATTATTTGTTTTTTTTTTTCTCTACAAAAAGGGATTTTTTCAAAAAGTTTATTTTTAAGGTTTATTTTCAGTCTAAAAACTCGCTGCAATTTTTACATAGTAAAGGGATCCCCATAGTGAAAGCGGGGAGTTTTAATTTACATTTTACTTTACTTTAAGCTGTTCTTATTTTGGGAAATACACTTGCAAACCACCAAAAAGGATAGGCACCATAGTATGACTTTAGTACCATATTAACAATTAGGATTGTCAGTTAATCAAGGTATTACTTTACACTGTACATAGTGTTGGTAGCTCTCACCAGTTAATGAGGTTTGGTGGATGACAGTAGGGACTGGGAGGCCATCATGAGCAGTTTGAGGCTCCTAGTGATTCTATTGTTGGGGTTGCTGGAGATGTACAGCTGCAGTTGCCGCTGTAGATTGCTCAACACGGCCGGCAGATGCTCCCGAGTCACACTGTTGTTGATGTCTAGGTTCATTAAAGCTTCTTCCAGATACCTAAAATTATATGACATGTGAATTAGTGATGGTTAAAACCAGACCTTTTAAATCTCAAACCGATTTAAAAGATATTTAAAAACATCTAATCCTGTATCTCAAAAATTTAAGGCAAATATTGTTTACTAAACCATTTTCTTCTTTTTGGTTAAAAAGAAAATGTAGCCTAATACTAACATGTTTATCATGAATCTTACTATAAAACCTAACAAAATACCATAAATAACATGACTAATACACTGTTAACAAAAAAAATTGTTAAACCTAACAAACACTGAATTGAATCAACACTTAGTTTTGAACAATACTTCAATTAACTACAATAGTATATGAAAACACATACTTTGCCCCTAAGCACACATCAAAATAAGAGTGGGGCTCACGAGTGCCGGACTGCACAACTTAGAAGAATATTTCATTTCTCCACCTGTGTCAAACATCACCCTCATTCGACTGAGCCCTTGTTTAGTGAGTTAGTTGGGAAGTGTGTAGTCAAAGTGTTCAAAACACCTTATGCTCAACACTTACTTGTGCTTGATCTCCGTATTATTGTTCATGTCGGCCGACAGTTGTTGTACCAGAGACAACAGAACGTGTTGCTGCAGAGGACAGGGGACTTGACTGAACAGCTGTTGTGGGTTGACATTCTCACAAATAAACACAACCAGGCCCAAGTCTGAGGCTGACAGTGCCTGCACAATAGTCTTGTGTTAATATTACATTAACACGTTCACTGCTAATGACGCACTTGTGCGTCATAAGTATATTAGCAGATATATAATACATGATGTATATAATTACATAATATATTTTAATCCACAATTTATAGTATAAAATTTATTTAATTAAAGATATATTGTCACTCAATTAACATGATCATGTTAATATTTGTGTTTTTTAGCCATTTATAAAAGTATTACATATCATTAGCAGTGAATGTGTTAAAACATATATAAGTTCGAGATGAGATTCTTTTTCTCATCATAATTCGAGACAAGATTTATAAATATTATTACTATCAGGAATTTTTTGTTTGTGCAGTTTTACAATGGTTATCCTACTAATATTATAAATGAGAAAGTTTGGATGTATGGATGTATGTTTGTGACAAGTGAGCGCGAAAAATACTGGTCGGATTGGGCTGAAATTTGGCATGATGATAGCTCACATTCCCGATTAACATATAGGCATATTATTATTTCAAAAATCCTTTCGGGCTCCGCCCCAGTGGCTCTGGAGTTTCCCATGTTAACCTTATGAGAAATGGAATTATTGAATCTTAACAGCTGTTTCAATTAAACAAGTTGGTTCTGTTCTATGATGTTCAATAGCATTAAAGTTACAAGGATTTGCCAACAGGGTGCAGCACTATTATTTCTTTTACATTTATGACAACAGCTAATTTGCAACCAAAAGGTGAGTGAGCGTAGCGAACGAACTTCAACCTGGAGGCGAGTTAGCGTAGCGAACGAGCTAACCTGAAGGCAAGTGAGCGCAGCGAACGAGCTCCAACCTAAAGGTGAGTGAGCGTAGCGAACAAACTTCAACCAGGACGTGATTGAGCCATGCGAACGAGATAATCTTGAAAATTAAGAAGTTAAACGAGGCAAAGCCCGCGGGTTACAGCTAGTTAACAATATGGTTAATAACAATGGTTACTGTAATAACAATAAAGCACTATTAAAACAACAACTAAAGTATGACTAATTATTCTATTACAAAGGTCGATACAGAAAAAGTGTACAAAAAACCAATAGCTTAAAGGAACTTAAATTGTTATTGAAATCTTAAAAAAGAAAAATGAAAATAAAATAAGACATCTTTAATGTAAAACTGTAACATGCACACCACAACTAACTGTATCAGAACAAAAAAAAACAGTCTACAAGAGATTAAAGAAAATTGTAGTACAGTACCGTAGCTTGTACGGTGTTACTTCTGATCTCAGTGATAATGATGTCATATACATTAAAACCTATTAAAACTGGTATGGACGGGACTAGGGTCATAATGGATAACCAAATTACCAGATAAACAGATTTTTGAGATGTACACAGTTAACTTTAAAAATGCATTTAGAAACCCTGCAATACAGAAGCGCATTGATGTTGCATTTCCTTTGCGAAAGCGTTCTAATTTTGTTTTTATCTCGACTAAAAAAAGCCTTGGAGCAAAGCCATTTGCCATTGCTCAAAACATAAGATTTCTTAAATCTCGCAAAAACTTTGGGTTTTTATTCATGATTAATGTTGTTAAAATTTGTTTAAGGTAAATAATTTGTTGTCTTGTTATTTGAATTGACAAGTTTGTATTGTGAAAGGATAAAGCATTTGTTTGTAGTCAATTGTCATAGTTACCTGTTGGAAGGCTGTGTTGACTTGTCCCTGGCTGATGAGTTGTAACAGTTGGGTCTGCTGTAGTTGAGTGTCTATCACATGTGGAGCTGGAGTGACTGCTCGAGACCTAACAGCAGCTATCACACTGCCTTCTAGAGTTGCTTGCTGGAGAGTCAGTGCTCGAGTCACAGCCTCTAATATATTCTTCTCGATGCTTGCTACATTTTTCTTCAAATCCATCCCCATCTGGTTGGTACTAGTCTTCAACATCTCCGCTACTGCTTGCAACTGAGCGCTTTGATCGTTGTTCTTCTCCAAAACCCGTCTGGTTTGAGCATCGAGATTCACCACAAATTCTTTTGAGCCTTTGGCAAAAATATCGTTTATTTGGCTGAACATTGTATTGCACGACTTTTCAAAGCCAGGCAAGGCGACAGAGCTGAAATACTCCTTGTAGCATTGAGTTATAACAGGAGTAATGGAGGAAACTATAGCTGTACTCAAAACATCCATCACCGACTTACTATGAACGAGTTTTGAAATATTTTCTTTTAGTAAATGGTCGGTTGTACTTAACTTTTGAGTAAGTTCAATATGAACTTGGTGTTTTAGCGCCTCCATCTGGTTCATCACTGTCGGCACAACGGTCTTTGTAATTTCTTTATTTACAGAGTCAAGAAATTGGGTAGATAGGAAAGAAATAACCGATTGGGAAATGTTTGCCGCCAAAGCTTCATGTTGTTGTGTGTTATCTTTTGATGCAAGAACATTTTCTAAATGTAGAGTCTGTGTTTGGGAGTTGCGAGTCATAATTTTTTCTATTTCTCGCAACAAATTTAACTGGTGTATTTCTTTCCTTAAAAGCTTTACTTCAGCCGCTTGTTCTTCAAAAGCTTCCAGCACAGAATTCATTGCATGGATCATGGTACTTACTGAGTTCTCAAGCCTTTGATTCACTTTCCACAATTCATTATCACCTCCTCCACCACTACAGTCGCCTTGAATTACACTTCTACGGGCTTGTTCCTCATTCTTTCTAACTTCAGTAGCTCTAAGCATAGGAATTTCAGGCCAGACAGCTGAATCTGTTTTTTGTTCGGGTGGCGTGACTTGCTCTTGTTCTGGCTGAATATCGTCAGTTTCTTGATAGAAACATTTACCCTCTCCTAAAATCTCTTGAACTTCTCTACTAGGGCTACTTCCACCACTCGCAAAACCCATTGCTATTGCTCCTTCTGCTCCGCCAGTTAGTAGGTTGTTGTCAGTTTCATCTAGTGAATGCGGGCTTGCTACTAGAGTTGTTGAAGTAGAATAGCTAGCTTCCTCATTAACAGATTTGTTAATTAGTGAAGAACCAGAAGAGTCGTGTTTTACAGGAGAATTAAAGGCATCTGGCGTCATCAGGTTCAGTTGTAAGGAACAGTGATTTGCTGGTAACTCTTTCAAATTCTGATTGGGTGAATTCAAATCCCCATTAGTAATATTTACATTCAAATCAGTCAAATTATCATGGTATGTGTGTTTCTCCTGACGCAGTAATTCTGTTCTATTAACAGAGCCAGGTTTGGGAGGTAGATAAGCTATTTGACAGTCTTGCAGTGATTTAGGTTGTACCAAATACATTTTCACCAAAATGCCTGGTGTACCTTCTTCGTCATTTTTATCTTCACACAATTCTTCTAATCTGTCAGATTTGAAACGTTGTAGTCCAGCATCTACAATTCCAAAGCTCAGTATAGTATAAGGTAAGAGGAACTCTGAAATTGATATTATTGCTGCAGATGTTTCGCTATTAGTGTACAACTGTAGCACATACAGGATTTTGTGATGAAAATCTGATAACACTAAAAATCCAGATGTCAAATCTAATCCAGCATTCAATTTGAGTTGAGTGTCAGGACTAACCTGGAATGCTAATGTCTGCAGACAAGTCCATGATTCACAACTCCATACTTTCAATTCTGAATTGTTGTTAGCACCAGTAATAGCAAATTTCCAAAACTGAATTTCTGGGTTATAATTTTTGTGATTGTCTAGGAAGAACAATGAAGACACAGGCTCTCCTCTGTGGGGTTTCCACTGGTGTAAACATCTAGGCTTTTTCCCATTTTGCATGTAAACTTGGAAAAACTTAACATCACCATCCAAACTAGCAGTAGCTATGGCAGTACCGTCAGGGGAAAAAGCTGCATCCACAATGGGTTTAGTATGTTCGGTAATTTCTAGATAGCCTGATTCTACCTGTCCAGGTTTTACTTTTTTACTTTCATTGCCATCCGTTACCATTTTTACATTCCACAACTCAACCTTCTTGCCTCTAGATAGTGCCAAGAGCCAACAAACATCCTCTATAGGATCCAGTTCCTCTTCTTCTGAGTCTGGCAGATCTAGAATATAGGGGCACCAAATCACTCTGTAGAAGTCTCCTAACTGAGGTATGTATGTTTCATCGGGTTCTATGTGTAAGATAAGTTCACAGGATAGGTAAGGTATTGGTTGATTTTCTTCCAAAACCTTATGAATCAACAAATTTCCTGCCATGTCCACACAAGCAAGGACTACTTCATCAGGAATATGAGAGAAGGATATATCTTGTACAGCACCGGAAAACCCTTTAATAAGAGTTCTGAGATCAGTATTTCGGTTAGCCACTCTCACAGAGTCAGCCCTTTGTCTTGCAGCTGGAAAAAAGAAATGGTTACTTAGTTTGAATCAAAAGTTGGAAAAATACATAAACCCTTTCTTAAACAACCCTTACGAAACTGGGCCTAGAGATCAGACACCCTACAAATAAGTTAATTATGTAAACATTTACAATTCTGTACATATAAATATATTGTGGATGTTATATGAATGCATTCCTAAGCCTAACTGCAAACAGTATATCAATGCTTGGTTTTAAATTTTTTTCTTACAAAATATTTTGTACTCAAAAGAAACTATGAAAGTATGCTAAGTGATAGTGTTGGAGACATTGTCATAACTGTACAAATATATTATACGGAAGAATACACCAACATCAATTTTTGTTCAGGCAGAGGCGGTGCATCCAAGAGGGGGTTGATCAAGACTCAATTAAGAGAACGGCTACCTGTCTTATAGCTTTAAATACCTTAATGTATGGTAAAAACTAAATCTATAATAAGAAGAGTATATTTTATAAATTTAAAACCACAATCTACATCCTGCTTTGGTAGACCTAGATAAACAATTTTAATTGACAACTGTATTTCCTTGAGCTTGAATAAAGTTTGTCACTCAGTTGTTGTTATTCAGTGTTTATATTCAGTTCTACCAGGTTCGGCACTTTAAAGATCTACTTGCTGATTAAACTTATGTGGTTTTGAGTCAACTTTGGTGAAATTGCTTCAACTGGTTTTGAAGCAATCTTTTTACTGTTCAGATTTCATTCCATTCATTGAACACTCTTTGTCTTAGACAATTTGCCATTGAAGATTACCTTTCAAGCCATAGGCTATATAGACTCCACTCATGTGAACTGCTAGTAGTTGACCAGTGTAGAACCTTTCCTCCCAGGTGTAATCCACCATATTGTGCAGTTTGACTTTGGAGCTACCCGTGTCATGAGTGCCTTGACTAGGTATCACCGCTACATCTGTTGCGTATACCTCAAAGGGTTCTTCTTTCTCTGCACTTGAAAAGTCTCTAGAACAGTTGAAAATATTGAAATGTAAAGAGATAATTCTCTAGAACAGTCGGAAATATTTAAATGTTTATAGAGATATAAAATTACATTAGTGATTTTTTTTTTTACTTTAGATCGGTAGTATATTGTTTTTTTTACCGAATTTCCCTAAGGGGAAGAAGCTATTATGGGGGTGGCACTGCAAGACCTTCATCCAGGACTGATTTGCTTTCTTTATTACACACAATCTAAAAGAGGATGTTTGTTTGTATATTTATTATTTGGCAGTGATAAACTCAGACACCACTGGACCAATGGCCACAAAACTTGGTACATTTGGAATTATTCATGGAATAGGTTTATACACCATCAATTTTGTAATAATGTTCAGGTAGCCTACCTGTGCTGGTCTCTTGATTTGTCTTTAATATAAATCATGATTATAAAAAACCTTATGTTATATTAGAGGTTTTTATAGTAGGTAGTGAGGTTGTTTTGAGTATTGTTTAAATGTTGTAATATAATATATTGACACAATAGGCCTGAATACCTTATTAATTATCATTGTATTGATCTCGGGAATAACTCAGTACCCATGTCAGGAATTTTGAAAGAAGATTTAAAAAGAAGCAAAGAATATTATTGACAGATGTTTCAAATAAACCAACAAGTTGGGTTCTATGAAGTTCAATGGCATTAAACAGTTACAACAAGTTAAAGGTTTACCAACAGATTGCAGCACTATTTTTTTGTTTTGTTTTCCCTGTAGCAAAACATGGGTACAGCAGCTAGTAATGAATACAGTATTATACCCCCGCCGCAGCAAACCTGCAGACTAAGCGAATTTCCATTTGCCTAAATTGATTTTAAATTAAATCTATTTAAATAACATTAGGTTTAACAAGTACCTAGGTTTGCTGCTAAAGGGAGGCTAATAAAAAGTTGTTTTTAAGTAAAATATTAGTAGCTTAATATGAAATAAATAAATTTGCCAAGTTTGATCAAAATATTTCCATAAACAAGCAAACTACAACATTTTACAATATTTTCCATAAGAATAACATGGGAATTATAAATTTACAATTTTTTTTTAATTTTCTCTATTACCAATAACAATAACCGTACAAAAACACTATGACATACTACATTATTTGTTTTTTAAGCTTTTTAAAATGGTCTAGAGAGAAATTGGTAAATTTTGTATTTGAGGGTCAAAAATGAGAAAACCCAATTTTTCCCGTAAAACCCTGTTCCCATGGTCCAATCATGTTGGGTCAAGAACTCATTCGAGTTTATCCCTCCTTACACCTTCAAACCAAATTTCATCAAAATCGGGCAAAAATTACTCAATTTATCGATTTCACCGACGTATATAAATCTTGATATATATACTAGCTGTGTGCCCGTTCTACGCACGGGGATCTTATAGTAGTCAGTTGAAACCTTCTTATATAAAGAACAGCAGTTGGTTTGCATATAATTTTCAGATATGCTGGTAAAACTATTATCTATAAACCTAATATAATGACATATAAAAGAAAAAGCAAAATTTATACAGCAAGACATCAATTAAATTGAATACTAATGTAATAAATAAGGTGCAGCACTGGACACATTGGGAAAAGCGAGTTTAGCATCATTGCAGTTATGATTTTTCACTTTACACTTTACACAACCACCATTGAAACGCCGTCAATGAGTGGAAACCTTGTTATTAAGCTATTGGCGACGATGATTTAATAAATGTAAGTTTCCCAGCCCTATAAAACACTGTTTCAAGGTCTTTTTCCCGGCTATCAAAACTTCAGAGCAATTTTATACACAAAGAATCTCTAATTTCATTTTACACATTATTGAACTTGCCATTAATTAAATCCTTTATGTAAGGAAAATAGTTGTTTTTAATCTCACTTGGTTTGGATTTTGCTTTCAAAACGTGATCGGAAACGTTTGCGGTATCTGTAAACAACAATGTAAACATATCAGTGACAGCTAGAAAAAATAATCTTGATCCGAACAGCTGTTCGTTATTTCATAGATGATTATGTGATAGACATTGGACATTGGGAGAAAACTTGACAAAAATTGCACAAAATTGGGTTTTTAAACATCCGTAATTTTATTTACAGAGTAGGGACGACATATTTTAATGGTTAAAGACAATTTTGCCGATCCCGTGAATACATTAAAATGATTTGAATCTTGATAGGTACTCTCGTTTTTCAGAAGGCCGCGTAAAATGGCACTTGGGCCGTGACAGACAGAAATTTATATGAGACTAGTTTCGGTTTCTTTAATGTATAAAACGTAAAAATAACCTAAAAGTTTATGATTCTGAGCAATGTACAGACTAAACTCTAATTTTATTAATATAGATATAGATATACACAAAACAGGCTCAGACACTGAACGGTCACTCGTACGCGACCCTACGTGCCACAATAATGTATGCGACCCTAAGTGCCATAATCATGTATGCTTCTTTATTAAACAAGTCTGACTATACCTCCAAGTCGTAGAGAAGCACAGAGTTTTTTCCGGCTGGTCCGAGGTCCCCCCTGACATTGGCCAAAGCTTACTAAAAGTGCCAAGGAGAATGCCAACAGCCTTGCATTTTTACATTCTTGCAATTTTTATTAGTTTTGTTTTTAGTTTTATTAACAACTTTATGATTTTATGCTTAACTGGATTAGGGCAGGTACAAAATTATAGCCTAAGCTTACTGCTTCTCACCACTTGTAATGTAACAAACAGCTCTAGACCTGAAAAAAGTTTAACCTATACTACACATGTTACTCACATTGTTTGATATCCTTTAACAATCTTATTGCTGTTTGCAGATGTTGACTCTGAGGGATCCATGGTTCCTTAATTAATCTCAGAGTGAATGTTACTATAACTGAAACATAAATTGTCACACTTACTTAGGCTATATAACTTTAACTAAGCCTTTGAGTCCACGGCTAATCCGAACTAATTGGGACAGAACGCAGTTCGGATAAGCTTGAATACAGTGTAAAACCTAGATTATCTAGAGTAACTTATTAGGGGGAGGGAGACCATGCATAATAAAAACTAAGGTTTAATTTAGAATGAAATATACAACAAACACAAAATACATAGGCAACAGAAAGTAAGCCAAATACTGTTTTTAAACAGACATCAACACGTTCGCTGCAGGTGGGTCAGTACTGCAGTGCAAAAATCTTAATCTGTTGCTCAGTGCGAGCCTATCGTTGGTCGAAGGCGGACCTATACCACGTTAGCGTGTAGTGTGTGACTTGCTTTTGTCGTGTTGTAGGTTGGTAGTAAATATCCCAGCAAAATCCCTGTCTGGCAAGCTTAGAAATCAACTTGTTATCCCGTCTTTCTCTGTCCAATTGGCAATTTAATCGGACCAGCTACATGTTGACTCTCGTCGTAAATCAGGATATCACCGCATGTTATTTGCTATTTGTCAGACCGAAATTTGAAAGCCAATTGCCCGGCAATCAGGTTTGTTCGACGTTGCGTCAACTGGGGCTACACCTGCCATTTGATGGGCCGCAGCGAACGTGTTAATCTCATAATTTGCATTTTTACATAGCTACGTAATAACAATATTGCACAACCATAAAAGGCCTGTTGCGTTATCATATGATATTTTAATATGTCATTGACCTTAGTCCAAATATACTGTAAACCAACTTTAACGTTTAAAATGACAACTAACACAAACTTAGAAAAAACTTAGCCAAAAACTGTAGCCTACAGCATAAGATCACTCAATGAACAAAACAACAGCTCTTGTACGCTCCTGCTAAGTTAGTTGCATGGTACTTAGTTAGTTGCACTGGAACATTTTCTTTCAGAACAGAAACATATTGATGGTAATAATCAACAAGCATTGATCTTCCCATTGTCAAAAGGTAATAAAAATATTAGGCAACTCATAGAAATCAACTCTTAAATACGTTATAATAATAAAATCCAGTTATCTTTCCTCAATGTTTTAATTTTCTTTCTATGGTTTCTCTGTTCCCAAACATTCGACAGGTAACCAAGTGGTTTCTGATCATCCAATCACAGGCCACTAAGCGTTACAGTACCTATATAATAATAACAGTAACAAACTAATGAAATGTCTCAAAATATTTCTTTGTTTTGGTTCCATTTTATTTTTCCCAAATGAAATGTATCCAAAACAATCATGTGGGAGCTTAAGTACTGCATGGGCAGAAACAGTTGAATGTAGGCCTACAATGCACATAGTTTAAAAAAGTTTTATAGTTTTAATTTTTTTTTTGTGACGATGGACTGCATAGTTCAGTTAGGCCTATTAGTTTATTTAGTTCCGACTCAATCTATCCAGCAACTGCTGATGAAGAAAAGAAGTAAGTAAGTTAAGAAGTATGAAGTAGTAGGGGAGACCGGGGATACTTGATACAGTTTTATAACTTATATTTTTCTATTTTTTCCTATTTTCCCTAGAACCACCTAACCAGTTTTTTCTGTTAACAGAACATTTTGGTTAGCTAAACCCAAAGTTTCAAACATTAAAAATCATGTTATATATTTTTTTATTTTTATTTAATAAAAGCCTGCAAAGTGTATCAATTCTCCCCAGGGGTGGGATACTTGAGACAGCTTTGGGGACACTTGATACACAGGGTTAAATTGGTTATAATAGTAAGAACTCACAAGATATGTTTATGGTTTTATTCAAAAAGTATAAAAAACAGCTTACAGTTATATTAAAAATACAAGTCTAGGCTATAATTGAACTTTTAAAAGACAAAATTTAACCTTACAAATTGGTTTTCCTTCACAAAATAAACATTACTTTCGTTAACAATATAACTAGGCCACCTGAAGAACATTTATAGATATATTTAAATACCGTAATATAGAATGTAGGCCTACAATACAGGAAAGTTATAACTTTGCATGTACACAAGAGGTAAAACCCGAGATTAAGTTACCTACTTAAAAAACAAAGGTATGTTAATCAGAAAAAAAAAAAATTATTGCAACAATAAGTTAATATTGATTAGGCTAGGCCTAATGACCTAAGGATGATGGCCAAGAAACAAATTTAAAATAGGCTACCGGTACCCAAGTTAATTGACGCATTCAGTTTATAGCTTAGCTTATGCGTCATAGCCTACTCTTGTAACCTTTAAGAGCCTAATGACCTAGGGTTGACGTAAAATACCCAAGTTAATTGACCTTTGTTTTGACTTAACTTATAGCTTATGCGCTGTACTCTTGAGACCTTTAGATTGAGTTGCATAAGTTATAATACGGCCGTCAATCAGGAAGGGTCAAGTTTATATGTGTTTTCCATGTAAGGCTACTAAATCAATTAACTTTACATCTTAAATACTTATGAAGCCTTGTCAGCTAATTTGTATTCCAAATAGTTTTTGTGATTAAGTGCCTAACTTATGCCTAGGCCAAATTTTACAGACTAAAGATGGATTAGGCCTACTGACAGATCTATATAATTAATACGCTACATGAAACTTTGTCGACTGAACTCCTCCGCCATTTCTTAACCGATTTTATCCATTGACGTCTCATTGGAAAGAGCGTGTCGCGTAGATTTGCAAACTGGCCTTACATTTTTGAAAAAGTCCCTTGGGCTCTGCGCCAGTGGCTTTGAAAGTTCCCATGTTATCCTTATGAAGAACATAATTGTTTAAATACATTTTGATCAGCTGTATAATTTAATTGCTGTTATTAATTTTTCAGTTCAATGAAACACATTGAGTACATTTTACTATTAGAGTTTGTGTAAACATAACCCCCTAGACGGATCGTGTTAGTATGGTTGTAACTTATCTTAAATTTGTGTATTTATCGTTGTTTTGTGTCGCTATGACGAATCGTGTTAGCATGATTGTAACTTAAATTTGTCCATTTATCGTTGGTTTTTGTAGCTAGGCCTATAATTTGTTTATTTGTTGTTTTTTTCTTTTTAATGCCTCCGACGCTACGACAACGAAACATAGACAGGAGGCGTAATCGTAATAACGACCGCAGCTACAGAACAGTGGCGCGTAATATAGGCTTAACTCATCACAGCCAGTACCTGACCCTGGGCAATCTCAACTTTTAACTTAGGTTACAAATGTGCCCTAACACTAACCCAAAAACGACTTTTCGTTCTCAATTGGCCCTCTATCAATGACCTGTGTTGCCTGTACAGCGAGGCATTTTGAGAAGGAGAAAACCGGCCGGAATGCTTTAGGTTTATCAATAACGAAGAACGAAGATAAACTTGGTCTGAGTTAACTTATACACCGGTAATCTTTGAGTTGACTCTTTTAAACTCATTGTAAGTATGACTGTTATTCGTTTTGAAATAACTCCTGTAATACTTTGCAATTGCTCGAATTCGAGCAACATGTAAATACACTAGTTACGTTATTATTCGGTTACAGTTTCTTAACTGGGCTACCCTAATATCGATTGAAACTAGGCTATCCATTAATAATCAAAATTTTTAAATGTCAAAATCAATAAATTATAAAATGGCCTTAGCCTAGGCCAACCCAATTTAGCCAGCGTTGGTTGAGGTTAGGCCTATGCGGTAACTTCCTTAACTAGGCTAGGCATAAGTTAATTTATACAAATAAGTATCTCTCATGTTTCAAAATCAGCGTCAGCCTACTTAACTATACTACTCAATAGAAAACTTACCTTAAAATGTCCTTAAATTACAGTACTAATTACACCATTATTAACTATAAGCGGCACATTCATTTGAAGATGTAAAAAAATGAAAGTGAAAGTGAAAGGTTGGTTGGATTGGGGAAATGGAACTTGGTTATTGGTTTGGTTCTGTTCTGTTCTGTTCTGACTTCTGTTGTTGATGTTGGTTGATGGTTTGGTTTGGATGGAATTGGAATGGTTTGGTGTCGTGGTAGATCGGTGGGGCACACGGGAGGGACTAAGGCTAACATATCTTGTAGTGTCAGCGTTCGCCGCTAGAACTGCTAAGTTGAAAGAATTTAATTTTTTTTTTAATTTTTAGTTATAAAATTAACTTATTAATTATAAAATATTGTTTTAAAATTATAAAATAAATTTTTAATTTTTAAAATTAAACTGTCATAACATAACCTAACCAACCAGACTTGCTGATAATATAAAAACTATATAAGATAAAAATCTAATTAATGATTACTTATAATTTTCAATTAATTATAAAATTAATTTTAAAATTTAGTATTATAAAATTAAACTGTCATAACCTAACCTAACCAACCAAACTTGCTGATATGAAAAATTTGTTGACAAAAAGATAGTGCTGCCAGCGGGATTCGAACCCGGGACCTCCTGAACACCAATCCGAAACGCTACCAACTATGCCACGAACGCCGCAGAAATCACATCGTTTCGTTACGGTAATCGTGCCGCCTCAAGAGAAGACATTAGCCACTAGAGATATGACGTCACTACACCTATAGCCTTAGTCCCTCCCGTGTGCCCATTCCCGTGGTAGATGAATAGAAATGGAATTGAAATTGTAAGCTGATATGGATTGAAGTTCGACTCGGAAACTAGTTTGGACTAGACTAGACTGGATTCAGTGATTTATCTCTATGCCACGGCCGACAGCCACCTTAATCACGGCCGCCTCCTTCGAAGTGGCAACGTCGCAAGTGGTGTTGTAACAGCTGTTTTGTTTAGAAGCAGCTAATGGTATTTGTGTATTTACGAAAGATTAGTTACTACTGGACTATGATAATATTGAGACTCCGCTTAAAAATGTACAGATATAGATTTTTAGCGAATTTCCCTATAGGGGAAGTAGCTATTACCGTAGGTGGCACAGTAAGACCTAGACCCAGGACCGATTTACTTTTTCATTTTGATGTCCCCAGAGGCCAAAAACACCATTCGTTCAAATTTTTATATATGTATATATATATAGACTTATATATATATATATATATATATATATATATATATATATATACGTCCGTGAACGCGATAACTTGAGTATTTTTTGTCCGATTTTGATGAAATTTGGTTTGAAGGTGTAAAGCGGGATAAACTTGAATGAGTTCGCGAACCAGCACGATCGGACCGTGGGAACGGGGCTTTACAGGGGGTTTTATGGGGTAAAAATTGGTTTTTCTCATTTTTGACCCTCAAAACACAAAATTTCCCGATTTCTCTTTAGACTTTTTTAAAGAGCTTAAAAAAACAAATAATTTAGTATATAAAAGTATTTTTGTTCGATTTTTAGTAACAGAGAAAATTAAAAAAAATTGTAAATTTAAAATTCCCATGTTATTCTTATGGAGAATATTGTCAAATGTTCTAGTTTGCTTGTTTATGGCTATATTTTGATGAAACTTGGCAAATTTATTTATTTTTTACTAAGCTATCAATATTTTACTCAAAAACACACTTTATTAGTTTCCTTGTAGCAGCAAACCTAGGTGCTCGTTAAACCTAATGTTATTAAAATATATTTAACTGAAAATCAATTCAGACAAATGGAAATTCGCTTAGTAGGCAGGTTTGCTGTGGCGGGGGTATTAATTCATATTGTTTCGATTTTCAATTCTGTATGTTTTATTTTCAATATTTTAATAAATGTATTTTTATAAATTTAAATCAATAAAGTGCGAATTAATGAGTTGATGACTCCTGTCTGCCATGTTATCTTGTCTGGATGTCTGTCACTAAACAACACCACTTGCGACGTTGCCAATTCTACCAGGCCGCGGCCTGTAGTTAAAGGCGGCTGTGCCTTAATGCGGGTGGAAAGGGGAAAGGGCATAAGGCCCCACTGTGGCCCTAGCTTTGCCTGTTAAATAAAGGAATTTAATTTAATTTCATTTCACCTTTTACTTCAAGCCGCGTCGCCATGGCCTTCGAGGTGGCAACACTGTCAGTAGCTCGAGTGCTGTTACAGGCTACAGCTGTTTTTTTTTTGTTTTTTTTGTGGCAGCTAATGCGTATTTGAATTTGAGTATTTTATTTTTAAAGAATGCTAAAGCTTAGTTTCTGGGCTATGAAAAAATATACAGGAATAAATTTTCGATTTATATTGTTTCGGTTTTGACAACTCTATTTTTATTTTTAATCTTTTAAATTAATAATACGCTATTAAATAAGCGGTTGTCACCTCCACCTCTTTGTTATGTTAGCTTATGGGTCGGCTGGCTCTGAACATGCAGCACTACTTGTGACGTTGACAATTCTACCCAGACCGCAGCCTGGAGTTAAAGGTGGCCGTGACTGTATTAGCCCACCCCTATAGCTTAGCTTTGCTGAATTGTGTCCGATTTGTATTCCGTTCTTGTTTGTTCACTCTCGAGTCTCGACGCCAGCAAAAGAAGGTGGTCACGGTGATCGTCCGCTGGTTACGATGAATGAACACTTTATTTGGTAGTCTGAACACCCAGACCAGTACATCCTAATAATTCACTTGTAGCTTTCCAGCCGTGGTCGTCCAAGGTGTTTAATTTACAGGTAGGGCCTATCTTCTCTTAATCCTCCAAAAATTCTTCCAATTTGTAGTAGGCCTTTTCTAGCAATTTTTTAGTTTTTACTCTTGAGGGGACACCTTTACAACAACACGGAGAGCCATCGGTCTTGATGGTATAGAGGATAACATATCAGGCCGTTGAATAGTAGGTCACCGAATCGAATCCCACCGGAAACACTAACTTTTTGTCAGAGACTCGGCTTAGAATGCGATTACTTCTTGACTGTTCATCTTTTGTAAGAGTCTGAGGCATTTATAATTTGATTTAAGAACAGACCTATTCATTCGATTTTATCATTATCAGCAAGTTTGGTTTGGTTATAACAGTTTTTTTTTTATTAAAAATTATTTTTATATTTTCTCTTTATTTTAAATTTCAATTACGTTATGACGTCATATAGCTCCCGTGAGCCTGTCCGGAATGCGACCCAGTCCTAATCGACTTAAGACTAACGAGGCTATGAAAAAAAACGAAAATCAGCTGTCACTGTCAAGTTTTTATTATTCTTTCTTACTACTAGTACTAGTTCTGTATTGGTTTGGTTTGGTACTCACTCAATTAATTTTAAGTTAATTTTCATATTTGTTTGTAGAAGAGAATACGTAACATAAACAAGTTTTTCAATTCTGTATACTGTATTGTTGTGAACGTTACTACAATATACTGAAAGATAATGTTATCTTTAATTTGCAGATACAGTTCTTGTTTAGGAGTTAATTTCAAACATCAGTAAATCCAATAGATAGGTAATTAAAGATAATAAAAGTTCGATTTGTGCGAATTTAGCAAAATTTTAGTGAGCATATCATAAATACTAGGCCCCGAATATGGAAGAACAGAATACACCTAACAGTGAAAATTTACCTTCCTCAACTTCTCATATTTTTAAAAAATTCCAGAAGTTGTATGCTAAACAACTAAAAGAAGTTGATGAAACACCAGGATCAGATGGCTTGAAGGTAACTAATGTTTGGCATAAGCTAGGCCTAAATTCTCATCTTGATGAGTCGTGAACCTGCAAGGCCAAAGTCAAATAGGCCTATTCAATATTGTATATTGCTCCTGGCAGGCAGCTAACCTTGGTTAGAATTATTGGGCTACCTACTAAAACTTAGGCCTAAGTAGCCTATAGCAATCTTAAGTCGCTTAGACACAGAACGCTCATTACATTCAGAACTGTAGGCATTATGTTTAGGTATGGTACCGTAAGCTTGCCTCAGTTTCAGCATCCTGTCTATAAAGCTATCCTTCATCATAGTCCTAAGTAGGCTATTCTATTCCTTAACTCAGTTAGATCTGTGTAACTTAATAAATAATCATATAAAGTTAACTATCTCGTCTCCTTGGACTACTTACTTACACTTTACTTACGTTACTTCCACTATATTCCCATTTAAGATCTTCAAACAAACCAGCAAAGCAGGTGCTTCTTCAGATAACCATGATCTGTGACAATCCCTGTAAATAGGTTTTTTTTTGCTGTCTTATACGCTGATGGCATTTTTGTAAACGGAGGTTAAGTGTATCACAGGAGGAATTATAAAGGCCCAAATACCGGTAACACTTTTTGGGAAAGCGGTTCAAACCCATAGTGTTGTGGATGTGCCGGTAATCAAAAGTTTACTACACTTAATTTATTGTATAACTTAAGAATTGTTATCCATCTGCAATGGACAGGAAAGAAGAAGCTGTCTATCTTACAGCCTTCTGAGCCTAATACATGATTGACCGACATAATGGGTTCTCATGTAAGATTAAAAAAAATCTGTTGTTCCATAAAGTAAAATTTTATTGTTGGTATATTTGTTGGTATCTCCCTCTGTAGAAGTCGATGGAGAATGTATCAATTAAAATTGACTCAATAAAGACTTTATAATCTAAATCTGTAAATGATAATCGAGCTCCTTTTTGTAACTATAATATAATTACCTCGTCACAGCTCTGAAGTTTCCGTATATTACCGCCGTTTCGGCATCAAAATGCCATCCTCAGATACACATAATATCTACCAGAATTAGCGTGTAGTTAAACTTTACATGCACACGAACACAATAAAAACATAAAAACACGTAAAACAAGAGACAGGCCTGTCGCGTACATGATTGCTACGAGTACGGAAGCGGGCTCTTCAGCTTCCAGAAAGTTCAGAGCTGTGATGAGGTAATTATATTATAGTCATCAATTCAGCTCAGGGGCTAAATCATGTTTTTTAGTCCTTTTTGTATCAAATGATTTTGCCTTTAAGTTACATCCTATTCGATAAAACAGTTTTCAGTTTTTGTTTTAGCTCAAAGTTAAAATATTAGAGAACTGGGTAGAAGATTTGACTGAACAAAACATGATGCTTGTGAAGACTGTAGATGAGCTTGAAAGTGAAGCACTCAAACGACTCAGCGTGCTAGAGGCCAATCTGAATCAAGGTCAAGAAACAGTAAGTAAATAAATATATATATATAACTTAGCCCAGGGCCGGATCCTCAAAATATGGGCCCCCCAAGGGCCCCTAGAGCTGGCATCAATAGCAGGGAGGCCTTATTTGCGGAGGGGGGGGGGGAAAGGTTTAAAATATAAGTAGCTGAAACTGAATTTTAACGATATTTTAAAGATAAAATATTAATCCTCTTTGTAAAGAAAACCTTTTTTGTTAAAATGCGTAATTCTGTAAATTTATGAACTAAAAAAACAGCAAACTTCAAATAAAGCTTTTTTATTCTTATGTCAATAGGATTTCTTAGCCTTTCAAATAGGTTTACAAATTATAAAATACATATTGTACAAAAAAAGTAAAAGGTTTTTCATAAATAATTTCAAGCATAAATAATAATGTAAAATAATAAACAAACGACTCAATTTAAACTTAGTTTATTTTTACACTATATTTTCAAGATAGATAGGCCTACATATCATGGTTCCAGAGGGTGGGGCAGAGGGGCCAAAGCCCTGGGGCCCTGGGCTCTGAAGAAGGCCCGGCCTGGTCAAATGTGAAATCTTTTCTGTAAATGTAGGCCTAATCTGCTAAAATCAAAGATTTTAGCATGGTTTTTCAGTTCACATATTAATTTTTGAGTGGAATAAAGTTGCAACTAGAGCAAGAGAATTAATCAAACTATCATGCGTTTTATATTTATTGTTAAATGTTTAACAAAACGGCACGGAGGCGGCCAGACACTAAATCGGGAAAATAGGGGGCCGGGGATCACTCAGCTCAGAGGCCCGTGACGGCTCTCGCCGGCCCTGAGGTCGTTAGATAACGCTACAGAGGTTATTATAAGTCCCGCCTGTACTACAGACTTATTGCTCAGCTCAACTGGACTGACTGAAAGTGACAGTAAACCACAGATTAAACTGTCTACAGCGAGGTCCCGAGTTGTTGACGAGTAAAATCAGTAGGTCTAAATTTACTCAATAATTGTAACTTTAGCTTTGATATTGACAATATTTGTCTGTCAAAACTAAACTTACCGTCCTATTCAACTATGTTTATATGCATTAAAATAATTTTAAATTATAGAGCTCTTTGGGCTTCCTAAGGGCTTGGGCCCCCCTGCATTGCGGGGTTTCGCGGTTCCTAGATTCGGCCCTGACTTAGCCTACTTTTACCATTGTTATCTGAACGTTTAGTTTTTCAGACAAAAGGTTGGTTGGAAGTAACTAAAGTTAGGATGATACGTTTGAAAATCTATCTAATGTCCCAATTTGTCACCCCTTCAATCTAATATGCATTATTCTCCTCTCCTGCCTATCCCAATGTGTAGTAGAGCAAAGTAAAATTTATGACTTTGATCCTGGAGGAAGTTGTAATCAAATATTTCAATCATCTAACTTGTCCTTGATTTGTCGTGTTGTCAATTGACAAACATGCGTAAATCAAAATTGAACTATACTCGGGAGTTAGAGGCTGCCGGTACGGTTGATGGGGTATATGCAACTTTAATAGGCCTAATGTAAGTAAATAATTACAAATTTTAACTGCCCAGAGGTTGTAATACATTGTCATGACTTGCCATAAACCTAAATATGGGCTAAGTTTAACATCTTTTTATACGGTAGGCTACTTATAGATCACAATCTTTGATCATTTTTCGGTTTAGAACAATTGCTTAGAGTTTCTCTCTAATTACTGGTGTTGGTGGAAGTTGACACCATTCTATTTCAAAAGATGATTTCAATCATTAAAGATGTCAGTATTGTTGTTTCAGTGCTAAGAGATTTTAGCTGAGACGTCTTGATTGTTGAGATGATAGATGTTTTAAATAGCATAGGCCTAGTGATAGAGTCTAAAAATGGCGACAATGTCATTGGCTGCAGATATTTTTTGGAACTGATTTTGTTGCAAGGCCTCCAGAACTAGGCCTGGGTAGGCTCCCAAAGTCTTCAAACTCAAACAATAAAGAATAAATTGTAAAAACAATTTGAAAGGCAAATGTTTAATGACAAGAAGTTAGGTAGGCCTAGCTGTAAAATAATTAAAATAATCAGACTCTTAGTTGATAACGATAACCCATTCTCTTTTCTTCTAAAACCACTCACTATAACAAAAAAAAAAAAAAAAAAAAACAGTAAGAAATAGGAAATGTTCATTGAATATGTAGGTACATAGTACCGGTACTATTCAGGATCAGGAGGCAGTCAGAAATATTTTAACCCTGGTTTTTAATTGAATATAAGAATCCTACTGGTGAGAGGCGGTGTGTAGCTTTGTTACAAACCAAGGCAATTACCGGGCTATTCCGCCCTCGCCTACGATTTCACAATGTTCACGGATCCAGGAGCTATTTCGCTCGGGCCTAACACCTAGTATTTGAAACTACCAAAGCTATTTCTCTGCCTGCTTAATTACCGGGCTATTCTGCCCTCGCCTACGATTTTGTGACTTTACTTACCAGGGAGAGATGTGGCTAGATACTCGTCTAGCCATTGACTGAGAGTACGCTGTCTTACGCCGTATTTATAGGGGTCGCGACGCTAGCGTTGTGCATGGCCGCTCGGAGAACTTTTAATGACCCCGCGTGGGCCATTTAAAGTGGTATGAACGCTCGTTTTCCTGATCTTGTAATAGTTTTACCATTACAATACAAACTGTTTTGTGTAGAAAGATAATCACAAGATTATCCTAAGACCCTAAACTGAGCATTACTGTAAGTACTGAGAAGGCTCTACTGTAAATTTTATGGTTCTTCTTAACATGTTATTGATAGGAAATGTTAACTTTAGTTTTGCAATAAGTGCTATTAAAAATAAAAGCAGTATATACATTGGAGTTTATTAGGATTCTTGATGAAACTTAACATATTTATTTACTTTTAAGAAGAAAAAAAATAGTCTTTCTTCCCATTAGCAGAATGCCTGTGTAGGTTACACACAAAACCCGAGTTTAATAATATTGGTTGATAAAGTACCTATACATTTCTTAAGATAGTGAACATGTTAATGAAGCAGCCTGTAATATCATTGGTCACCACCACATTTGGTAAAACGGAGTGTTATTTGATCAAATAAAAATGTAAGATGATCATATAGTTTAGTTTGAAAATTGACACCGATCCCAAATCTAAGATTTTGTAACAGAGAGATGCTCATGTAAAAGATTTATGCAACGATCTTACAAATCTATTGGAACTTCTGAGAAGATTGAGAAAAGTGGGATTTTGGTATCTTGATGGATTGCGTTTCAAAACGATAACGTATGAAGATATTTTTGGTGAAACACCAGAAAAAAAGAGCCAGTAAGTACTAATAATTGAAAATATATTTTACTGCTTATTTTACATATGTTGAGTTTTTCCTTTGATATTCTGAAACCTATTTTGAAACTTTTTTATACATGTTACTTTTCTTTTAAACCTTACACAATCAAGTTTTGTTATAATGAAGATCAGGAATTATCTTCCACAACATCAGGAAATTTTCTCAAGTTTTAACTCAGTGAGAAAGTATATTTATACCTATGTTCATTTGAATGTTCTGCTTTAAGTATAAAGTGCTCTGTATGTTAACACACTTCTTCATGGACCACTCTGACTGTAACCATTTTTAAGAGATTGCTAAAACTGGACAAACCTTTTAAATTCTGATACATTCTTTTATCAAACATGGACATTTTGCCTTTCCATTAATAAATAGTTCTATGTCTTTTAGTAGAGAGAGTTCTTCGATATGAACAAAATTTTACTTGAATTTAAGAGAAACCATAATTATTAATTTTTCTATAAAACTTAAAGTGATTTCTTTAGCACACAGTCAAAGGCATTATCACACAGCTTAGCCTCTGTCTTCTAATCATATACTTTGTAAGAAGTTGACTAATTTTTAGCAGAAAAATGTGAATATATATTTTAAATTGATAACACTAGTAAGATACTTTGTTTTTTTATCTAGCTCCCAAAACCAAAGAAATTGTCAGAAACTGTCACGCTCAATTGGCCGATGTGTAGACTTACAATGCTTCTGTTGCCGAAAATCTTAAGCCATCACTTATGAATCTATCATTTTTGAAGTTGTTTTCCACATTTCCTGTACTATTGTTTCACTGATAAATTAAATTTTCCTTGCACATCTTTGCTTTTATTTATTTGTACTCATTAGTAATCTTATATAATAAAATAGGAAAAAGTATAACTTATAGTTTTAGATACCTTTGGACCGTTCCCTATCATGAGATGTAAAAAATGCCAAAGGCTAGGATAAAACCCTATAAATAAAACAGTTGGGACAAATTCCCATCCTCATAGAACCATAATTATGTTAGTCATGTCATTGACTATACAGAATCTGTGTATAGTTAATGGTCGTACATTGAAAGTATCACCACTTTAAACTCCCACAAGCTTTATATGCCGGTAAAATGTAATTTTAATTGATTGTCTGCATTATAATCTGTTTTGGTGAGTCTGTTGCATGACAGACTACGATTCCTTGGCAGCAATGTCAATGGATGGCGTTCTGGTGCTGGCCAATTAATTTTATTGGTCCAGTTCACAAATCACAATGTACCGGATTACCGCTTGGCTTGTTTTGCTGGATACATTCCACATACAGGTCAAATGCATAGTTAAAAAAGGCATGACCTGAAATGCAATCTGAATTATACCTTATAATCCTGGACACAACAATTTAATACCGGTTTTTGTATTTGTCTGTTCTGTTTTTATAATAAGAAATTATGGTAATTTGAGTGTGAATATTGATAAAAATATAGAGGTTTGTGAGATTCAAATGGTATGAAACTACTTTGATTGTTAAAAGTTCACCATCGAAGGGGGATTTCATTAAGAGATGTTACTGAGACATTAATAGACTCAGGCTCGCTTTAGTATATGGGGGGGGGGGATTGGATATGGGCCAAGGGGAACAAGAGGCTTTGGGGGGCACAAGAAAGAAGAAATTACCCTGCAGGAGGTGGAGAGAGGGACGCCAATTTCTCTCGAGGCCCCTAGCACGTCACATGCAAATCACAGCCTGATTAGACTTCTGGTTGTGAGAAAGAACATTGAGACATTTTGACTTTAGTTTGTTAGAGAGGTCGCTGAGACATTTGACTCTTGGTTGTGAAAAAGTTCACTGAGACGTTTGACTTCTTTAGGTTGTTACGGAGAACAATGAGACGTTTCACTCATGGTTGTCAGAAAGTTCACTGTGACGTATGACTTTAGGCTGTTAGAGAGATCACTAAAACGTTTGACTCTTGGTTGTGAGAAAGTTCACTGAGATGTTTGACTTGTTGTTAGAGAGAACAATGAGACTTCTAACTCTTGGTTTGGGGAAAGTTCACCGAGAAGTTTGAATGTTTAAATTACAGTTGTGAGAATGATCACTAGGATATTATTTGAATCCCAATGTGATAACAATCATTGGGATACACTAGAACCCCGGTTAACCAAAATAAAGGGGGGGGAGCCGTTTCGGATTACAAATTTTTCGTTTAACCCGTCATATACTAGAAATAGTCTATTTATTACCACGGTGTGTTGGAAAAATGAATTTAAAACAATGTCTAATAGGCTACAGTGTTTTATTTCAGCTACAGAAATGTTGAAATGGGTTAGATAATAATATTGACTATTGGATACTGAAGGAGACGTCCCATTTATATGGACCAGCTGTAGCCAAATTTTTACTAAAAAAGATCGTAGACTTTGTGTGAGCCAGTCACAGAATGTGCAAGTGACTAAAACTCTATTTTCTACCTTATTTTTTGTTGCTGGCCAAGTTGATGGGTCATAACAGTTGCTATCACTCACAATAAATCATTCCATTAGTTTGAATTGGTAAAAAAGGTTGTGTATTCAACAGAAATCAGTAATTTAGATCAGCACAATCTGTTGGTGGCTCACATCAACTACGACAATTTTGGTTAAAAATCTGGCTACAAATTCAACATGGGGATGGAATGTCTAAATACTTAAATTTACTGAAGCATTTTACATTTCACATTATGTACTTATATTTTAGCCATGTATTATTTTATGGAACAGTTTCGGTTATCCCGGGTTTCGGTTAACCGGGGTTCTACTGTATTTGAATCGCGGTTGTGAATAAGACTGCTGAGACTTTTGACTCTCATTTGGTTTGAGAAAGACCATTGCCTGGTGTCTGCCGTTTGGTTGTGGCTGCCATTCGAAATTATGTTTCTTTTGAAGTGGCCTGGTTTTAAAGGGGCGCTCGGGTATGCTGCTTAAACCCCTTAAAATTGTAACTTATTATATTGGTCATTGACAGATTGGAAATCTTGCTAACAGAAATGTCCTACCTACAACAATCATAATTCTCCATCACTTCTGGTACTTGATTAATTTACATTCTCTCTCTACTATTGTATGAAACTCGTTGTAAATAGATGTGCAAATTATACTTCACATTTTGTGAATCAAATTTTTGTACACAAAACATTACTATGGTTTGTTTCAGACTCTGGCAGAAGGAACTTTTGGAAGACACTCAAATTTGTCTAAAGGACTAAAGTAAGAATATGAAATTGCATGACCATAATAGACACTTAGTTATTTGGGATACAATTTTCTTCTGTCTATCACGAGTATGATCATTTTTAATTAAATCATTGGTGATAATAAAATATTTAGCTTTCTGCTGTTTTACAAAAACAGTATAGTAATATTTGTTGTTGTAGTAAAACATGATCTAGAATGAAATTTGCTGCCTTAATAACTCATGAAAAACAAGCTATCCAACATAATTTTCTTTATTTTTGTTTACATTTTATGCAATAGACTTTGATAAATTAGCACTGGATGGTTGTTGTCTTCACAGGTACTTACGTGTTAAACCGACCACACTGATAAATCAACTCCCAAAAAAGAATTTAATTAGTTTAAATAACAGAATCTTCCTAACCTAACCACCCTTAGGTTAGGTTATAATTTTAGGTGTGGTCGGGATAATACTGCTCACCTAACAATCATGTGACCACTCGTCAGTTTGATCCCGAGAAAAGTCATGAAGCTGTTTGACGCTTTCTAACTGGAGTCAGCTGTTAATAACCAGCTGATCTTAGTCTGTAACAAAGCTACACAGGTCATCTAATTCCATGCTTTAATCATCTGCATGGATTCAGTTCATTCATATTCAACTTACAAAATACTCACACTGTCCCTGTGATGTGATGTGAACATAAAACAATTTTGGAAAACTTGTATAGCTGTTACTAGAAAGCAAAATCTTCCCCGGTACCAATGTTACCTTATTAAATAATAGTGGGTGTCAAAACAATGTATAAAATAGCTATTTACATTACAAGTGTAGTAAGGGCGTTTTTACATCACGCAGGCGTACGTTGTGCAACGAGCGAAGCGAATTGCATATTTCACCTAAATGATGTAAACACGCTCTTTCGTAAATGTGTAACGTACAAGATATTACCTGACCCGACAATATACAGGGGGTAACACACAATATTTGTTTATGTCCTCACAATATAAAGGACGGGGTGTAAATAAGTTAATCTACAATATATAAACTGGCTTATTTTAAGTGAACTGTTTTTATTGATTACAATAAAATACAGGATATTTTTACTTGGAAACATAACATTTAAAACACAACATAAACAATTAACTATCCATTTCACTCATCTTCTATTAGTAACGTTCTTTTACAAACAAAAGCTAGGTTAGGAAAATACTTAAAAGCATAACAATAACATTCAAGCGCACAGCTGATTTCTAGCGTTGAACGTCGTTGGCTCCATAGAGGTATATTTTATTAAGTTGAGCACTCAATGTTATTTGAACGGGTTTAATTACTTCACCGAGTGTAGTAAAGAAGTTGTTTACATCACGCTTGAGATAGGGTTTAACATGGCGGGTTAGGTAAATACATTAACACACACAGAACCATCCCATACTATCAGACTAACTGGAAATGGTATATTATTATGTCATAATATATATAATACACCCTGTTTAAACTGAAATTTCTAAAATATTTGTTGTGAGTTTTTAATTCCCTTTTTATTGATCAAAGGAAATATTTTAATGTTACGTCAAAGTATCAAACCGTTCTAAATTTTTACAAAATTTCATAGTGCGTACACAAAACTTTGATCAATTTAATTTTGTCTGATTATTATTGGCTTTCCTCTTTTAATTGGGTTCTTAAATCTTATTTTCCCATTGTTGGCACCAAAAATAGTACCCATTAAAACATATTTTTGTAGTGATATAGTGCTGGTATTTTAAGTTAACGTCTCTGTTTTATTAATCAATTGCTTCTGATTTTCTTTGTTAAAGCTCTCAGATTGAAACATTATGTCGGGAACTGGAATTGGTGAAAAGTCAACTTTCAGACAAAGAGAAGCTAATATCAACTTATCAGACACGCATTGAGGAACTAGGCTCAACAATTGAGGTTAGAATGTATATATTGTACCGGTATTTAATATTAAATATAAAGTAGGTAGACACTTAGTAATCTAACATTTGTAGGACATGAGCGAGTAAAATTATAAAAGGTAGCATATAGGCCTACTGGACCCATACAAAATACCAAAACTTGTCTAATGTAAAATATATCACTGTCTAAATGAATTAAATCCACTAACATTAATTTCAAAAATAAACCATGCTAGTTGTTGAGAAATGAAGATCAAAATTGTATCTTAATGTATTAATTTTAAGTTTAAAGTTTTTGGTGCAAATGAAACTGACATTGAAACAAAGGAAAGATAATACAGTCACACCCCAATTAAAAAAATCTGATATAATGTAGTTTTCAGTCTGTACAGGCTTGATGCATGGTGAACTACTGTGTTATTCAACCAAAAGGGTTAACTCAACAGAGCCCATTATGATTCTACAATATTTGTTTACATAGTGTATTCTAAATTATATATGTTCTAAGTATTCCCATATTATAATTATAATAATGAATAAAACAGTTGTTACAAATTTTTCAAATATTCATGAAATGTATTTAAAAGAAGTTTTATCTACTAAGTCTAAATACTAATCAGTGTCTAAATATACACAAAAAAAAGTAAACTCACTTTGTAATGTTTCAAAAATACAGTAGATATAAGCAAACTGTTTATTTTCTTTATTCAATAGCAATTTTTTTAAATATCTGTGTCAGTTTTTATCATCAACTTTATAGTGTTCTGTTCTTTTTACTCATACAATTTGTTTCTAACCAATCCACATTTCTGCCAGGAAGGGAAAGCTGATAACAGTGAGAGGGTTTTTGCCCAAAGCCATAGTAAGCCAGAGAGTGTTTATGATCAAGACCGTAATGTCCAGCCTTCTGTGTACAGAGAAGTAAGTTAAACTATAGTCCTCGCCACCCTAACTTTGGCAGCCCTAAGTTGAGGCAGCCCAAGGCCGCACGGCGTATATCCAGTGCGGCCTTTGGCTGCCTCAACTTAGGGTGACAAGGACTATAGTAATTAATGGTGTTTTATCTCAGAATAGAATAGAAAGAAATATTCTTGAAACCCCAAATAAATATAAAGAAATATGATTATAAGAATGTAGGCCTTGACTAAACTTGGCCTAAACCTGTCTGTAGGTGGCATATTGAGGTGGTGACTGGAGAGTTTTTAGCCTGGGGCAGTAACTAGTTGTGTAGTTTTCATACTGGTTAGTAAGGTGTGTATCAGATTAAAATATGTACAACCGTCTAAATAAGTGTCAAGTTGGAAATTAGTCCATTAAGAAATTGATCATTGCACTGGTAAATCCTTGTTTTGAACTCAGCGTGGTGTAGGCAGCGCATTGCAATAATGGTTGAAGTGTACTCTAGTATCATCTTTTGTGATGTTACTAATGTACCCATTAAAATAATTAATTAAGAGGATTTCACTGTAATGATGTAATTATTGGGCGATAGCAAGATGAACTATATGTTTTTGTTGTACCTAAATGGTAGTCTCTGTTAATATTTACCCTAGGCTAAAAACAAATGTATATACTCTACGTACTTGCTATCTACTCTTTTAAAGTAAACGTTAAGTTTTGGTTAGATGCACCTGCAATATCAAGTTGTCCAGGAATAAGTTGTATATTCGTAATGCAAATAAATTATTATGTTACAGTATATATTTAGATAGTCTAAAGATTGTAAAACAAAATATTTACCTAAGTTTCAACACTCATTTCTTATTTCTACGGATGTTTTTTAGGGTTATTTAAGGAAATTATTAATTTTACTTACCTAATTATTATTACTTCGCTTTTTAATAATATTAGATTAATTAATATTTAGTGTTATTAATGATAAGTTTTTCAGTAGTTTAACAGCTCTTGTATTGGTGGCTAATGGATTTAATTTTTCCTTTTGTTCTTCAAAATGGCTCATTTCCTTTCACAAAAAAAATTCAAGCACTCAAATCATTTTTCTGTAGCAATTTTTGTAAGAGATGCATTCATAAAAAAAAACTATGTGATTTTTATCTTTAATTACATTTTGATGTCCCACTTTCTTCACATCCTAGGACATAAGGTTCTAGCCCGGAAATGTTTTACACATTACTTCAGGCTAGTCCTACAGGGTCACGGCATTATCAACATAAAATCCATTGGTGATTGGTGGCATTTGACCCCAGGACCTCGGGCTCCAAAGCCACGAGCTCTACCACTAGACCAGCTCGCTCCCCAAGTTGTAGGTACTAATGGGTTCTTAGGCAGTAAATAAATTGTCCATTCTTATCTTTTTATCTCACATTAAGTTACAAGATAGGCTGTGTTCTTTATAGGGAATTAATTAAAGTTATGCATCATCTTTGGAACCTACATCACATTTGTCTTGAATTAATACTAATCAAATCTTTTTAAACTTGTAAACAAAAAAAATCTTCAGGAGTCATAGAGTTATTTGTAAAAATCAGGATTCAGGATTTCAAAGATACAAGAAAAAAGAAAAATGACGGCTTGAAAGTAAAATGCCTTTAGACGAGTCGCTTATTTCAGCTGGAAAATACACGCTTACAACTGACACAAGTGGAAAAGGAAGTTATTCAGTTGAAGAAGAAACTGAAGGAAGCCGAAAGCAACATCAAGAGATTGCGAAGTGACTTGGTGTCGAGTGAGAAGGTAAGAATACCAGTGTTAGCAAGTGTCTAGTTTATTATTCATTTCTTTATTGTAAATAATTATATCAATGCAAACTTTATGTTTAGGAATTTTACTGTGGTTAGAAATATTTGATTGTGAAAATTAGCGGTTTAAATCACAACGCGGTATCATTACACATACTAAAAGGAAGATTAAAAATAGTTGTTAAAATTAACCAAATATTTCTAGAACTATTTTGAAAAGTTAAATCTATGATTTATTTCCATTGGCCTACATAATAATAGTCCCATAATTTTGGTTTTAGGAATCCAAACAGTTAAGGGATTTTTGTAGGAGCAGTCTCAGGGGCTAAATATTTCTGCTATAACTAAAGACGGCTTTTATAGTTTGTGATATAAATTTGTCGCCACGATTGTAGGAGTCGTCCCCAATGTTTCCGAGATTGTGTGGAAATCAGTATATTAAAAAGACGATTTAAAAAAAGAGATGGATATTGTCAAAATACTGGAAAATACTTTGATAAAATACTAATATTCTGGTATCGGTATTGAAACCAAAGTCAAAAAGTAGTGAGAATTGGAAATTTCTCGATACCACTGGCATTGATGATAATTTCACAGTTAATGAATCAATATTGGAATTAGCTCATCCCTATGTCAGACTCTCTGAGGACGTTTTGTGACAGAACGCAAAGGAGATGAGAGCTGCTTTGACAGCAGAGGTGGCAGACAAGCATGACCAGATACTGGCGCTGCGCAGGGAGGTGAATCAGCTGGAGGAGCAGCTACGCCAGGCCGACATGCAGACGCACTTCAAGGATGACATCATCAAGGAGCTGCGCAAGGAGGTCAAGGTGGCACGTAGTAAGGTGAGTGGATATAGTGCTCATCTAGCAATCAAACACGAGAAAAGTTTGCAGGTAGTCGACTGAGGTTAGGCGTAGATAAAATAGTCTACTGATAGTCCTCTTTTGAAATTGAGTAAAGTTATTTCTTAACAATACATACAAATTATTAAGTCATTAGTTAAAAATAGAGCTAATAGTATTTATAAATTTTTTTTTTAGTTTACAGTTTATTAAAGCACATAATGTTAAAACATTTGATCCCATTTTATTTCCTTTTTTTTGTATAATTCATTCACTCAAAATGTTGAAAAATCATTAAAAACACCATTTGATTTATTTTGACAATTATCCTACAGAAATAATCATGTCATCTAAACATTATTGTTACAGCTAGAGTTTCTTGGCCTTTACCCCTCAACCAATACTTCTTCCACTCCTGAGAAAATCAGACCAATCAAAGCCCCAACCTCTCCTACTTTTGTTCCTGTCCCGGAAAAACTGGATAAAAGTAAAAACATAAACTCAATTGTAAAAGCAAGGGCCACAGAAGAAGTTGATCAAGTAAAAACTTGTAAAGTGAACACAAAAGCCGCAAGTGTACAATATGTCAACAAAGCTACCTCTACAAGCCCAGTGAGGGAATACAAGTCTGAACACTCGCCTAAATCTCCTCAGTGTAGAAACAAGAGAAAAGAACTGCCTCACAGGCACTATGTTGGAAAAGTTGTAGAACTGGATAAAGAGACAAATCCAGAGCTTGTGTATGAAAGAACTGAAGTTTGTCCTGTTCATGGGGATATATCTGTCTGGACAACTGTCTGTGCTCACTCTAAAGATTTAATTTATAAATGATGTATTCGTTGTTCTGTTGCTAATGTTATGTTTAAGGCTAAAATTGAAGCCTTTGTTTATGTTTTGGTGTTTGTAATATATCTGTTCCATAAAGATACCCGTTGTTTTTATTTGTTTTTTTATGAGGGACATTTAATGATTTAGTAAGGAAACTTTTTGGTCAGTTTGCCTACCAGAAAGAAACAAGCTCCGGTTAAATGTTTTGGTATTAAGAATATACCCTTAAAAAAATCAATTTAAGTTAATTTTTTAAATAAAACGTTAATGCTTAAACTCTTAAGACTCTTAATACTTGTATAATTAGGTCAGGTATACTTAAGCTAATTTTATGTTTCTCAAATAAAAAAAAAAATTAAAAAAAACAGGAGTGTTTCAAGGCATACCAATTTATCTCGGCTATTGATACCATAGTTTGGGGCTCATCTCTTTGTAACCAAACAATAGAAGTGTGCGAGCCTGGGATTTTTTCTCAGTTTTGTATGTAAAGAATGTGCCATGGTTATAAATAAAAATATATTTACAGCTTTTGGTTATAAATAAAAATATACAGCTTTTAGATATCAAATGAGATTACTCTGAAACCAGTTATCATTATTATAACCCAGAATTAAAAATTAATTTTGTCATATGATACAACCATATGGTGGGTTTTTTTGTGATTTGCACAATTCCCATATTCAAAAACTACTTGCACACCCTTAAAAATACTAATACACTACATGTTGACAATATTATTTGCACAGCTGGTCTCTGTGAAAAGTAATGGTAATGAGTTTGCTGGGTACCTATATTGAACTTCCCAAATCTTGCTCATTTGCTAGTCTTTGGTTTTGTAAAGGGTAGGAAAAAAAAAATAATGAGCCTTAGTTGAGAAAATGTGATTTACTGATCTGATCAGTATATGGGACTTAAATTCTTAAAAATAGGCACCTCCTGCATTGACAAATGTCAATTTATAGACAACTTTTTAAAGTCTTGAAGGCGTCTGCATGGCCTGTTCCGGGATGGCTGCAATGGTTGTCTTGACAGCAGTTTGTATTTCCTTGATCATTCCACTCTTTCAGCACTGTTTTCAAGTGCGGAAATAAAAAAAACTTTAATTAGTAGGAGCTTTCCTCAATCTATTTGTGCTTAGAAATATCAAACACAAAGCAAATACTTGTTCCAATTTTACTTTGTAATTTTCTAATATATTTAAATGTATTTTGCAGGAGACGTTGGTAGAAGTACTGGGTATTAAGGAGCGATCCTTGTCTCACTTGGAACAGCTGACTGAACAGTTGGAGCAGAAGAACCAGGTGATCAACTGTTTGAAGCAACAGCTGGCGACGGGATCATCTGATCTGTTGTATAGAGTAAGGCAGCAGGTGGACTGGTTCACAGAGAACATCAGCCAACAGTGCAGCAAAGGCAACTGTTCTGAGGAGGTAATCATGGAGGTGTTTGGATCTTTGACTATGGATAATAGATATTTCATCCCAAGACTATATAATTGTTTTAGAATAAAAAATAATGTAGTGAGATTGGGCTAACTTCCGCACCATATGGGAAACTACGGACTGCTGCCCTGTGAAATATGATGCTTAAAGAAGTAGAGTAGTAAAATACAGTCTGAAAGTTGTGTATAAAATCTGTTGAGTGTAAAAGTATAGTGAACTTTCTTTTACTTGTTGAGCTGTCTTGATATTAAACTAAAAAAAGTCAGAATCATCAGAACCTCACACGTAATTTAATGGTAATGTAGATTCAAAGTCTAAACCAAATAGATCTGAACAAAGGGTAGGGTAGTCTACAGTCCTGGAAAATTATTAGGCAACATTGAATTAACAACGTCATGGACAAGTTGTTACAAATCCCTCCAAACATCTGGAATTATGTTCCTAATCATACAGGAGAATTATTTCAATTCTATTCTAACTAAAGTTTATATTTCAGTTCAAGAAGTGCATTACGACAATGGTTGAGGAGCTGAAAGAGTCGATAGAATGCTGCAACCTAAACCCTTCAGACTCCACTGAGATGGGTAAGGTGAGGTGATCATTGTCAATAGTGGCTAATTAATTGTCAAGTTTGTAGTTCAATGTTTATTTCAACCCTTTTGGACCCGAAAATTATCTTAAGCTTTTAACACTCCTTCTGTTGGAATCATGAAATGTATAGGCTAGTAATTTGTGTTAATGTAAAGTTTGCAATTTTTTGGTAAATGGCTGGATAACTGGGTTATAGTTGTGGCTGACTCCTGATTTCATAACCTTCAGATTGATCCTGACCTTAGAATGTTATTGATAATTTTGAAATTTAAAATTTGGACCTATTTCAATGTCTGGTAAATGAATCCTATCTGACAAGGTGGAGTTGTGCCGTGAGTTCAACAAACCAAATAAAAACTTTAAACATTTGGATGGAATGTATATGAGGGGGTCAGAAGCCAAGGGGTACAAGTGACATTTTAAAAAATTTTGAGTTAAGTACAGATTTGGATAGAAGATTCAAAAATAAATTTGGTGGTAAAGAGATACAAGTGAAACCTCTGTATAGTGCTGCTCTCTGGTGGAGAAACTAAACAACAGCTGAATGTCTTGTCAGCTGTTTTCAAACATTTGGTGGCCAAGGGGTATAGGTGGCACTTATACCTGTTGTGCTCCAAAGTTGTAGGTTATTATTGAGTGTTGTTTTGTAACAGTGTGTTTCCTCTACCCTTCTCATTTAGTAATATAACTTACTATTAGTTATTTTTCAAGATTATTAAAGGAAGATAAGATTATTAAGTCTGTATGGTAATTTATCCAGTGAATATTTTAAGTTTTAATTATGAGTGATTCAGATCCAGATGATCCACTTCCTAACCTCTTTGGTGGTAAGTGCCAATTTTACACCATTATTTAGTGTTTTGTATGAGAATAGATAATTTTAATGACTAGGAAAATACTTAAATAACCAATTAACTAAATGATTCATTACCTTTATGTAAATCTTGTGTACATTATAAAACAGAATATTGTTATGGCACAACTCTGACTACAGCATAACCTCAATCCATTTCAGGGTATTTTTAAGACCCTTATAGACCAAGTAGTTTTTAAACAAGTAGGCCTAGAATTAATTATTATTTTTTGGCAAAATATTTTACTAAATGTAAACAGATCTGTCCCAGAATGGGTATTTGCCCATGTATTTCCAAAGATAACTAAAAAGTGCGCATTTAGTTATGCATAGGCTTAAAGTTTATAATAGACTTAACAGCCAATAATAATAATAATATTATGATACCATAGCCATATTTTATTCTTATGGTTCCTTACTCAATAATTTGGTTTTGTAAATTTCAATGAGTTGTATTTTTTTAGATGACGATACAGACGAGGATCCAACGTATGAAGAAGAAAGTGCAGAATCTGACGATTCAATTGGCTCTCAAAGAGATAGTGGTGGGTTTATTAACTACTTTATACACTAAACTAACCTAAACTAAAATAATTAACGAACTAACAAACTAACGTAACATAACAAACCTAAACTAACAAGTGGTGTAAAGTTATACTAATTTTACTTTCACCCCCTATATACATAGTATAGGGATAAAGTATTGTTTTTGTCAAAATTTTCGAATTTGAGTTGGCAGTGGAAGTAGGCCTATTTGTTTTGGTGCTCCCTGAATCCAAAAGAGCTAACCGCTTCAGTGGTTTTTGGATTTGTGTCTTGTCTGTATGTGAGTGTGGGTGTGTACATAGCTAGAGAATTCTCTGTACACCGTTGGTCCAATTCGGATGAGATTTGGTATGTAGGTAGGCTATGGGTGATCAATGTTATTCTTATGGGGATTATGTTTGTTTCAGGAGTATGCTTGAGGAAATCTGTTGTCTTAAGCATAAATAAGGGAGAAAGTATGTGTCAGTCTACTGATACCTTTTATTCACTATTGTCTTTCTCCTTTACTTCATAATACTTAGGCTACAAAAAAATTTCAACATTTTTATTTTTTTCAGATGATGGTGCGCTAGATGAGCCACAACCAAAGAGGACAAAACATGAAGGACGTAAGAAAACACGAAGATATGATTTGTGGAAAAGAAATATTTCTAAAAAGAAACGAAATGAAGGTAAATCTTATGTTGATAGGAAAGGCGTACATCATGACAAGAAGCAATTAAGAGAGTGCATCCACCGTTGTAGGTTTAAGTGCAATGACAATCTCAGTGAACAGGATAGGCAAAACATTTTCGAACAATACTGGAATCTTGGAAATTGGGAGCTTCAGTCTGCCTACTTGCATTCATGTATAAAAACAGTAGAACCAAGGAGAAAGAAATTATTTGGACAAGGATCAAAATCTCTCAGCGCCCAATATTTTTTTCTTGACAAGAGAGTATGCAAGAAATTCTTTCTCTGTACTCTTGATATCTCTAACAAAAGAGTGACAAATGTTATCAACAAGAAGACGATTTCTACTTCTGGGATTTCTCCTAGGGACAAGAGGGGTCATAAAGTACCTGGAAACAAACTTTCTGAAGACAAAGTTGCATTCGTTAAAGAGCATATTCGTAGATTTCCAAGATACACAAGTCATTATTCACGCAGTCAAGCTCCAAATAAAAAATATTTATCTCCTGGCCTAAACATCAAAAAGATGTACAACTTGTACAGAGAAAGCTGCGTTAAACACATGGTAGAGCCTGTGAAGGAAAGCTATTATCGCCACATCTTTAATACGGAATTTAACTTGAGCTTTCACAGACCACATACCGACACTTGTGTTACTTGTGACACACTGCAGAATACCATCAACAATGGAACTCCAGATGAGAAACAAAGCGCTATTACACAAAAGGAAGTACATTTGCGGAAAGCAGAATCGGCACGACAACAAATAAAGGACGCTCAAGAAACTGCCAAAGATGATACTAGTCACTTTGTGATTTGTTTTGACCTGCAAAAAATGCTACCCTCTCCGGTCCTTACCTGCTCCAGAGTGTACTACGCGCGACAACTGTGGACGTATAATTTTTGTATACACAATTTGGTAAGTAACAACGCTAGTATGTTCATGTGGCATGAGGCTCAGGCTGCTAGGGGCTGTGAGGAGATGCTCTCTTGCCTGTTGCGACTTGTAAAGACACTGCCTACAAGAGTAAAAAAAATTACAATGTTTAGTGATAATGCAGGTGGGCAGAATAAGAGCCGTTTCACAGTGAAGTTCTGGTTGTATATAGTACGTACTACCCACATTGAGGAGGTGGACCATAAGTACTTATTGTCTGGTCATTCGTATAATGATTGCGACAAAAACTTTGGAGTCATTGAAAGAGCCCACAGGAATTCAGGTACAGGGATATTTACACCAGAACATTGGATGAATATTGTTGCTAAATCGTCTAGCAGATTCATGGTAGTGAACATGGAAGACCAGGATTTCATTTCTTTGAAATCTTTGGAAGAGCATTACGTTAAGTCAGTCACAGGTATTCGTAGTATGCAATGGCTACGTTTTCAAAAGTCAGATCCCTATACACTGTTTTATAAAAACACATTCAATGCTGACATGCCTTTTTCGCAGTACAATATGAAGCCCAAGGAGGCTCCAAAACAACGCCTTCCTCAACAACTATCAGCCAAAAATGCTGCCCCAGGAATTAAAGCAAGCAAGTACAAAGACTTACAGAGCCTGCTTCAGTTCATTCCTCCATCATATCATGCCTTCTACAAAAATCTGAAGATTCAGCGAGAAAGACAACAGCCTGGAAGGGGAGGAACAGTGCCAACCGATGCTGAGGAAGACCGTACTGAAGTTGAAGACGAAGAACCTGATGCCGTTTGGGAAACTGATTCTGAGTAATAACTCAGACGTTATTACGGACAATACAATGTCTCTGTATTCAACTCACTATTTTTGTTTACATTTTGTATTTTAATAAAAGTTCTCTTATACACTATTTTAATTTTTTTCTTCAACTTATTGTCCTTTGGAAGACAAGAGGTACAAGTGACGCTTGCTATCACTATTATCTTAATAACTACCATATTTCCTAAGATTTTTTCACAAAATTAGTATCTAAATTTAAGTTATGATGTGTACAACACAACTTCAACTAATTTAATTTTTAAAACAGGTTGGTTGTTTTACCATAGCATTTTAACTTTGAAGAGTTTTATCTCAAAACTAAGAAACCGTCACTTGTACCCCTTGGCTTCTGACCCCCTCATATAATGTCACATCCACCATTGACCTCAAGGTGTTGCAACTGTAGGGGGTGTAGCTCAGAAAAATAAATAAAACTCTTATCTTACCTTAAACTGTTTTATTGGCCAGACTTTGGCCTTGGTGTCTCGCCCTCCTTTATTGGTCCTACCTAGCTCACAATTGGCAAACTCCTGCTCTATGCATACATTTTTACTCCTGATGTCCATCTCCCCTCTGATACTTATAGCTCCCAAGTTGTTGTGGCCCTTAAGACATCTCATTCACCTGCTCTTGTCTCAAGTTTTCTGACATTTTTGCATCTTGAACTCCTGGCAACTCACTCCCGTAGGCCTACCTGACCGACCTCGTCTCCGACACTCCCCTGACTGCCTCTTGTCTATCTGTGGTTCTCGCTCATTGCCCCCTTCCATATGTAACAGTTTGTTTGGACTGGGGATTTATTTTACTTTAAAATTCCCGACAATGGGAAAAGTGAGCCAGTAAACACACAAAATTGATTCAGGCTGTTTACAAATCACCACTGAAAGATCTAATATTTTCATCATTTGCATTTTTAACACAAATTCTCATTAATCTTTCTTAACAACATAGGGAGTGTTAAAATATTATACCTTTGACTGTAAGGAAAATATAAGGTCCTGAAATTGTTTTACAAGGTATTTGGTAACTTAACAAAACCATTTTGTACGCTTAAAATGAATTTATAAATAAAGTAATTATATTTTAAGGAATAAGTGTATGCAAGTATTAAAATCAGAAGAAATTACATGTACTTCATATATCTTTTCAACACAACTGCCCAAAATATGTTCCTAATTTAATCTACCACAAGGGTTGAAATAGTTTGATATCAAAACTTGATGTATGTAAATCATCTAGGCAGGTTGAAATAGTTTAAGTAGTGGTCAACCGGAGTAGTGTGAAGTCTACTTGCTTCACGAAAGAAGACTTATGCTGAGCCAATGATAGACCTTTTTCTGCGACTCTTGCCATAACCCCAAATATTTTTAATCCTCATTGGCTATTACTTTGATCATCGGAGTTCTAGACCTGTTAAACAGGGTATGTAACTTATTTGTTGCACATGTATACACCAATCAACCCTTAGTTGCTTATTGGTCAAGTTCTAATCCATTTCTTAAGCTAGGTTTTCCTAAGTTCGGAGAGGGGAACGCTTGAGAGTGGCTTCCTCTTGTCTTAGGTAATTTAATGTTACTGTTTTCCTAGAAGAGGAGTGGAACAGCATGTTAATCGCTTTTACGCCTTCCGCTCTCCGTCTGTTATTAGTAGGAAACTTTAAGACTTGTTTGGAAATTAAATTTAACTTTTAATAGACAGAAAAGAACACCACACCAATACAAACTGAACAATTACACATTATAAATAATGTCATATGTTTCATTACTTTTATATGAATAAACAATAATAAGCAGGCTTATTGAAATTGCTTTAACACCGTCCTCCGCGCTCCTCTTCCGCGTCTAGAAAAACACGGCTTTAAGTAAATTGCCAGTTTAGAGAATCTTTACAATATGTATACATACCTAAATCCTTTATTGGGAAACACTTTTCTGTAGACTCTATAAGTTTTGATAGCAAAATTATTTTAATTTAGGTTTTAAGTCATATTTTTTCAACTTTTTTTTCTTATTGAAATGACCATATCATTTTATGAAATGTGCAATCAAATATTTAATCTTAAACCAAAGATAATTGTTGTATAGCAATTTATGTTTGACTTGGATTTGACTACAGAATGAAGTTGTTATTGTAATTTAGTGGTATAGTGATAGCTTCTATTTGTTTTAAAAGCATAAAATAGTTCGTTTTGATTTGAACGATTAGATGCCATCGTTTTAAAAGCATGATATATTTTGTTTTTGATTTGGTTAATGACATGCCAAAATAATTGGTTTATTGTTCCTAAAACATGCCTTTTTAAGTGCCTTGCAATCATAGTGATATACGTTTACATTCCAAGATTTTTTTCTCTATAAATATTTATACCTAACAAAATAATACTTTGCCATATCTTTTTTTATAATTTCTGTTATGCTGTTGCCTTTTAATATGTAACATATTACATACAATATTGGTGTATCCTTACATTGTGGTCTGTGAACTAATGGTACTCTTGTCTACACGAAAGCCATGTTGTGCCAAAAATCCATGACAATAATTAAGTGATTTAACAGAAAATTTCAAAATAAGTTAAGTGCAAATCACTATTTTTCATTATGAATTTCTATGCCAAATAATGTTAGTAAAATGTTAAGTTTCGTTTTAGATATATTATTCATAGTTATAGTGTTTGATATATGTTAGGGAAAAGGTTGTTGTTTTTTTATGCCATAGGTTTTATCAAGGAGGAAGTATTACTAACAAAAAGAATATAATATACAATATATTTTTGACTGTCTCTAAATATAATTACAATTTGTCGTTTTAGGTTGTTAGAAGTAGTATTTCCCATAAATTTTTTTTACTATGTGGTTTAGTTTACACATGTATGGTGAAGAGAAATAAAAAGTTTTTGTCGTTAAATTTATTTATTTTTCCTTATGCCCTCAACCTTGTTGATTCTGCTCTCTGTATTGTTAGTTACATATTTCCTAGTGCCAATTTTATTTACTTTTCCATTGCATTCATAATAGCTTAATCTGTTCTTAAACCCTAAGAATGTCTGCAAGTATTATATTTTTTTCTGGAGAAATTAAAATTTACTCGATTTTGTTACTGCGATGGTAGCCCAGGTTTAATGGGTTCTTAAGATAAAAATTGTAATTTGGATTAAGGCAGCTGAATTGGTTGGTTTACTCCTGTTTGCAAGAGTTGTTCACAACCATGTCAATAGACAAAGCTATATTGTGCATTGCAATTGCATAAAATCCCTTACTCCTGATTTTAAGATCATCACTCCTTAGTTGGAATTTGTTTTGCACTAATTCATCCATACGGAATTTTCTTACTTTGTATATTCTTTGTATTCTTATTCTTATCAATTATAGTGAAACTCTGGCTCTATGCTAAAATTGACGGTTAATATAACAAACACAATAAATTCTTTAGAAACACTTCTCATAAAAAGTATACTCTAATATACTCAATTCTGAGGAAAAAAAGTTTGTTGGTTGTAACGTGAAATGTGGAGCACTTTTTTCTTTATCTTACCTTTGCAAGCTTAAAATAAGAGATACGCTAAAAAGAGAATAATACTATCTACTGCCGAAATGCAATTAGTTAAACGTAAATGTGAATTTACCAAAATTTAATGGATTGCATTTTGACAGCTATACTATTTATTTAGCTAAACTTGTATAATTGTCAAATCATATTCCTACGAAACTTAACAGTTAGCTTCACATTACTGTTAAAGGATCCCATAAAGTTTGTAACTTCTCTACAACAAAGTTTGGACAAATCAAAGAAGGACATTTGTCAATCATGGAACTCCATATCAGAAGCTGTACAGCAAGTAAGTATTCAAATCAGTAAATATTGGTAGTATAAAATCATTTACTAGGAAAACTTAGTGACTCACAGTTTTGCCTAATTTTATAGAAAAATATTTGTGAAATTAAATGTACTGCCGAGCAATATGCAGTATAAATATTTTGTATGAACTGAATAATGTATTTCATTTTCAAAAGCCTAGTAACCTTAAACAGTAACAATAAAACCACAGTTGGAAGTAAAAACCATCTTGTCACTTTAAAGCCATACATAGTAAAGAGAAAAAAATAATAAAATGAAAAAAATAAATTAAAAACAGGAACCCAACTTGCCACCACAATAACATTAAATACACTGAATGCAAACATAAGAATATAACTTGATAATATGAGCAATGTTTCATTTAAAAAACTTGATCATTGCCAATCATTTAAATTTTCTGTGGTTATGAATTTTTGTAGTTTTTTTATTGTAAATTGTGGAGGTTTAGCCATTTTTGTGTAAACACATTGTGTAAGCAAACTATACAAGTAAAATATTCTGATGTATTTACTGAGCCCTTAAATCAAAATCTCTACTCTTTTTGTACATACAAAAATGAAGTGTCATAAATATCCTTATCGCAAGGGGGGAGGGGAGTTTATAAACTCAATAACAGTTTTGGCAGATTTAGTAATCACTAAAAATGACAATTATATTGTAAAACTGTGTGTTTTTTAAGAAAACACAAAATTTTAAAGTGGAAAAATGCTTATAGGCAATGATTATTTGAAAAATTGGGCTAGTGCAAGGAGATATTGAGTTATGGTTACAGAGTCACTTGGTTTTTTTTTTTTTTTTTTTTTTTGTATGTGTTTGCAACAGATGAACATAACAGACACGTCAAGAGGTCAGGATAGCCTCATAATAATACTTGATTTGTTAAATATGTTTGCAATAGATGAACGAAACGAATACGACTATGTTGGTGGATCAGTGGAAGGTCGGTCTATGTAAACAGAAGAGTTTTCAGCAGAAACTGCAAGAAGTAGTCAGGTCCATCATAGACATAAAAAATAGTTCCAACACCAATGTAAGTTGAACGTTCAGTCATTGTTATATTGTTAATTTTTTTCATCCTTAACAAGCTTAATGGTCTAAAATATTTAAAAGATCACTGCGGACATTTTCCAGTTTTCATAATTTTTCTCAGGTACGAAAATGCCTAAAACATTAAAAAATTACTAGACAAACCGAGCCTAAGCTGAAAATTTAATCAAGAAAATTCTGTCAACTAATTTTCCTGAAAAAATGCAACGATATATTTTCCTTAAAACTGCCAACAGATTGAGAACCCTAGCATATTGGGGACTGGAAGCTTGCTGTGCCCTAGAAGGCAAAGGAAGAGGCAGTTGTGATGTTGTATTTTCACCCGTAATTTTTAATAGATACGTGTAAAGAGAATGACCAATTTACTAATTTGTACAAGATTATGACTTGAGCAGTTCATAAAAATATGTGAACAAATTTCCTTTTTTTACACATAGTTTTGATAAAAAATTCCTCAAGAATCCCTCAAGTAGCATAACACTTACCAAAAGAAAAAATAACCTCCAAACAACAAGATCTAAATTTTATTTTCTTGGTCAGTTCAGCAGGATGAAACTTTAAAAATTAGTTTGTTTTACCAAAACATTTCAATACAATTCCAAAAACAAGATAGGTTTACAATGTTTACATTACAATACTACAGTGTTAAGTTCAGATAGTGTTCGTTAAATTACTTAAGTTGCTGTGTTCAAAGATATATGAAAATTGGATCTCTGAAAATGCCAATGATATTCTAAAAACGTGGTTACTTTTGGATCTAATACAACCGTTGAGCATGCGATGCACTCGGCTGCATATTCAGCATCATCAAAAACTGCTAACTTTAATTTTTGACAAATAAACATTTTATTAGGGCTATCCGAAATTAACAGACGTTTTGAAACAAACCATATAATATATACAGTGGGAAACCCAAATTTTATTATATACATTTTAGGCTATTTTTCTTCATAATTGTAATTTAAATAAGACATTTATCGTAACATGGTACAGACTTTTCATCTGCCGCTTACATGGTTGTAAATACCAGCATGGTGTTCAGCCACAGTGTCAAAGCGTTGCATAGTGAGCCTCGACTTCATCTATGGGAACTGGTTCACTCATTATTCTATGGCTGCACAAATCACAAATTTGGCGATGAATTTTAAACAGTTTGTAATTTGTTGCTAACAAAATTCTTATCACACCACACACTTCACAACTGATTAAGTTTTTAATTGCAGTGCTCATATAAAAACTCCACTATATAAAAGGCACAGAAGACACTATGCTCTAGGTACTACGGCTGGTTGCGTACTGAGTGTAGGAACATTCTGATGCCAAGATAGTGGTCCTAGCCCCACCCAACGCCGCGCCAGCCCAAAAAATCTTTCACTTTGTGGATAGCCCTCATATAACAGTTAAACCTATCTAAAATTATTTCTAGATCTCCAAGGAATCAACAAACAATTGCCTGTTAAACTGTTTCAGGTGTACTGTGTCACTAGATCTATGGATTCTTTGCAGTCTCTGTTGTTTAAGTTTACAAATGAGCTCAACACCCAGCCAAGTGTAAGCTGGAATTTGTCATAATTAAAAACTATAAAAATAATTGTGTAATCAATAAAAGGTTACAGTACCTGCAGACTGCCTTGTGGGTTTTTTGTTAATCCAGTAGGATTACGTATGTTTTGGCAAATATATTGCCATCTTCAGATCCTTACTTGAAACATAAAATATTTATTCTTCGACACATACGGTCATGTCAGAGTTTAAAAACGAACACATAACAAACGAACATTTAACACATTTAGGCCTACTATTAGAGTACCGAACAGGATACACGATGTAAGCATCTCTCGTGCCGAGTCTCGACTGGTGGTCGTCGGGTCCTGTCAACTGGTTTCTGTGTGTGTTAGTTTTTAAACTCAGACGTGACCATATGTGTCGAAGAATAAATATTTTATGATTCAAGTAAGGATCTGAAAATGGCAATATATTTGCTGAAACGTACGTAATCATACTGGATTAACAAAAAATCCACACGGCAGTCTGCAGGTACTGTAACCTTTTATTGATTAGCTGAACATGGTTTAGAAAAACAACTACAGTATGAAGTAATTTTGTAAGTTTATTTTAAATTGAATTGATTCCAATATTACCAGTTCTTCTCGAAGAAGTTTATGTTAATTAAAATGAAATAAAATTAGTTATTGCCTTGGATATTGTAAATGCTTTACAGGGTCAAAAATCAGAGCATAACTATCATAGAGATAGACATATGAACAAAAGAAAACCCATAGCTGTTACAATAATGAGAATACGTGAAAAATTCTAATAAAATTATCAAGTATAAATAGTAAATATACTGAATAAATCTCACAAGGTGTCTAGTATTGATTTCAGACAAACCTTTGGACCTACAATTATGAAATGAAAGAATGTTAAATGAAACCAACCTCAAGGAATAACGTAAATATATTTTAAATTCAGGATTTGCCAAAACCAGAAGTTCACTAATTTAACACTCACTCACTCACTCACTCCCATGGCCATTTATGCCCAAGGCGGGATTTGGCCGCACCAACAACTGCTTTCCATCTCTCTCGATCTTCTGCCTCTTCCACTTCTGCCCCCACTTCTCTGACGTCCCTGGAAACACTATCCCACCATCTCTTCTTGGGCCTTCCTAATGGTCGTTTCCCTTCTGGCTTTCCTATACTTGCTTCTTTTAGTAGTGAACCTCGTTCTCTCCGTAGTGCGTGTCCTGCCCACCTTATTCTCCTTGCTTTCACGTGTGCTACTACATCATAATCATTGTACATATTCCTTATCTCCCTATTATGCCTTTTTCTCCATTCCCCATTTTCTTGTATTGGTCCATATACCATTCTTAAAATTTTGTTTTCAAAAACAATCATTTTGTTTTCTTCTTTTTTATTTAGAATCCAAGTTTCAGCTCCATATGTTAATACTGGTCGAATTATACTATGATATATTTTTATTTTCGTTTTATGTGAGAGAATCTTTGAAGTCAACAATTTCTTACAAGAATACATACATTTATTGGCCTGAGCAATCCTATAATTTATTTCCATTTCTTCACTATTGCTGCTTGATATAATTACCCCTAGATATTTAAATTGTTCAACAACTTCAAAAGTATGTCCATCTATACTAATTTCATTTGTCCTCACTTCATTTGGCTGTCTCGTGAAGTGTATATATTTTGTCTTCTCATCATTAATCTTTAGGCCCATTTTTTCTGATTTTTTTTTTTTTTATGAACAGTCTGGTTAGCTCCTCTAGGTCATTTCTGTTTTTGGACAGAATTACTACATCGTCCGCAAAAGCTAGGATGTTTATTTTTGTTCCCATTTCTAAACCTATATTTGTTTGTCTTACTTGTTGGAGGGCCTCTTCTAATGCTATGTTAAATAGTATAGGTGACATTCCATCACCTTGCCTTACGCCTGTTCTTACTTCAAAGCTTTCTGATAACTCTCCATCTACTTTTACTTTGCATTTTGATTCATTCAAGGACATTTCTACTAGTTTTATTAGTTTTCTGGGGATCCCAAACTTTTCCATCTGCTGATATATTCTTCCCCTGTCAAGGCTATCATAGGCCTTCGAAAAATCAATGAAAAGCCCATGTACTTCTTTATTGTATTCCCAGTGCTTACTAATAACTTGTTTAAGTATGTGAATCTGGTCCATTGTAGATCTCCCTTTTACAAATCCTGCCTGGTGATCCTCTATTATACTACTTGTGTATTCCTCGAGTCGCTTTTGAATAATCTTTGATAAAACTTTATATCCATGACTGAGCAAAGATATTCCTCTGTAATTTCCACATATTCCTTTGTCTCCTTTTTTATATATTGGCACTATTATAGATTCTTTCCATGTTTTTGGCATTTTTTCTTCGTTCCATACTCTACATATTATATCATGGAGTTTTTCTAGTGTAGTCCTGCCACCTTTTTTAAATAATTCTGCTACTATACCATCTTCTCCAGGAGATTTGTTATCCTTTAAGGAATTTAATGCTTGTTCTACTTCTTCAATACTTGGATTCTCAACAAGAGGTTGTACATCATGGTATATGGGGATTTCTTCATTATTGTCAATTTCTTCCCCATTTAGTAACTCCTCAAAGTGCTCTCTCCATCTGTTGGTCACTTCCTGTTTCTGTACTAAAATATTGCCCTCTTTGTCCTTAATGCCAAATGCATTTGCTATATATCCACTTCTGAAGTGCCTAACACATTTAAAAAAGTCTCTGGCATTTTGTGCACTCTGATCTCTTTCTGCTTTTTCTAGTAATCCCTTCAAGTACTCTCTCTTTTTCTTACGCAGGGTTCTTGTGGTTTCTTTGTTTACTCTAAAATATTCTTTTCTATCTTCGTTAGACTTACTGTTCAACCACTTCTTTTTCCTCTCGCTTCTTTCCAGTATAGCTTGCTCACATTCTCCATCAAACCATGGATTCTTCCTTGCTCTCTTCTTTTTACCACAAACTTCTTTTGCTGTGTTAAGTATACTGTTTCTGAACGTTTCCCATTTATTTTCTATGTCTTCCATAATCTCTGTTTCTTCCGTGTCACCTAGAACTTGGAATCGGTTATGTAGTTTGATCCTAAATTCTTGAACTAATGTGGTTTGCTTTTTTAGTTTTTCTACTGCTAAAACTTCTGTAACTTGTTTGCTGTGGTTTATCTCCAGTGATATTCTTTGAGTGAGTTTGACAAGTATTAAATGATGGTCTGATCCACATTCAGCTTCTCTAATACTCCTAATATTTGACACACTACTCTTGTTTCTATTATCTACTAGCACATGATCGATTTGATTTCTGGTTCTCCCATCAGGAGACATCCAAGTCTCTTTATGTATATTCTTCCTTTGAAAGGACGTACTCATAATTCTGAGGTCTTTTGCCATTGCAAAGCTGCATAATCTTACTCCATTACTACTTGTTATATCATGTAGGCTCTCTTTACCTGCGACTTCTCTCCATATAGGTTCTTTTCCTATTTTCGCATTTGCATCTCCCATTATAATTTTCATATCGTAATTTGGTAACTTGTCTACCACTTGCTCCATCATTTCATAGAAGTCATCTTTCTCCTCTTCGTCCTTATCTTCAGTAGGTGCATAAAAAGTTACAATGGAAATATTCTTAAATTTACCCTTAATCCTAATATTGCACATTCGTTCATTCACAGCCTCAAAATAAATCACAGATTTAGCTAGTTTTTTACTCACAGCAAAACCAACTCCACCATAATATCTATCTTCATCACAGCCACTATAATATATACAATAATGCTTTGTGTTTATTTTGCCTGCCTGCGGCCATCTTGTCTCCTGTAAAGCAACTACATCCAATTTATATTTATTCAATTCCTCTGAGAGTATTTCACTTGCACCTGGCACAGCCAAGGTTCTTATGTTCCATGAACCAAATCGAAGTGATTTTTGAGGGGTCCGTTCCGTTATCCGTAAATCCTGTCCATTTTCCGAGGCTTGTTGTTGGTGATACGTAACATTGTGATTTTTCCGAGGCGGGTTGTCGGCCCAACGCTCAACCCCCAACCTGGAGGACCAGGAGTTTGTGATCAGAGTCTTCTTCTCCTAGGCCAATTGCTTTCACTGCAGCTTTAAGACGTTGGCCTGGCCTTGGTGTTAGATCAGAGTGTCCTTCTCCTAGCCTTTGGGCATCCAAGCCCTATCGTACAAGGCAGTACGGGCAGTGCTTATTTAATGGCGGCACTTCCTCGCCATGACACAACACTATCATCGGGCTCATGTGTATTTGCTGAGTGTGACCCTGCCACAGATCACCCTCCCACGCCCTCTGGTGCTGCCGCCTCGGTCCGGGACTACTTATTCGGGTTACCCCTTATTCGCAGCTGTCCACCATATCTGATGGAACGTTCGCCATCCGCCACCTGCGACCCGTCCAATACCTGAGGCTCGGTTCCCAGATTAGGGTGGAACTAATTTAACAAACTCAATTAATAGTAAAAAAAATATCACTTTTAAAAATTATACTTAGTTTTAAAGAATTTTAATAATACAACAAATTTTAGCAAATTTATGGTGTTTTTTTTTACAAATAGCAGATTTTTATGAATTTTTTTAGGGAAGAAGTTTTACTGGATGGCTGAAAAATCTTCATTGTGTGGTCACTGAATTGATTACAAAAGTTCAAGAAGTATCTCAAATGATTTCTGATGTTGTAAGCTATTGAAATAATATGATTATTTACATGAGATTTGATTTTGTAAAATTAGTTAAGATTCTAAAAATGGAGCAGTATTGATCTAATACTTCTATTTGGTGTATCAATATCAATAAGCTGTACACTAGCACACCATCAGTGTTGAGTCAAGTTTTGTTCTTCTATAATCAACATTTTTGGATTGGAGAAGAATTTCCCTAATTTTGCACTAAAAGTTATGATTTAAGAACGGCAATTGAACAATAAATAGTAGTTTACGCAACGATTGCGTTAAGTGAGTCTTTACGACACGAGTAGAAAATTTAAGGCACGGGCCTTGGCGAGTGCCTTAAAAACTTCTACGAGTGTCGTAAAGACTATTAACGCGAGTTGCGTACACTACTTTACCTACGACCGTTTTTTAATTACTATCAATCTGGATTTAATTACTAACAATCACTACTGATAACTTTTTAGAGAGGTTATGTTTTCGTGTATTGTCAGTGCCACTGAAAGTGATGCAACAACTTGTTAATTGATTAATCAGCTGATTTCCTGTAATTACGTGTTTGTTAAACTTCGTTAAATATTACATTGCTAGCAGCATTCTTACCATAAATAATATTGTATCAGGTACAATTCGGCAAATATTTCATTTATTTTTGGACTTCCACCAACTTAATTAAGAATACGCGAGTATCAACATGAACAAGTCGGATCAACAATTAAATTGGTCAACTGATCAGCTGATCAGCTGATTAGTTGACGTTTGAAGCATTACAATTTTAATTCTTTTCTCTCAATACTTGAACCTCATTGGTCCGTTACCTGTGTGGATATGAGAAAACTATACGGATATGAAATGAAACTATGCGGATATGAAAGTAAACAGCTGTAAAGTGAAACTTTTTAATTCTAAGAACTGGACTGAAATGGCTACTTTAAAAAACGGTCGTAGGTAAAAACATTAACCATCCAGTAGTCTCTCTCATTTAGACACCTCAAGGCAAAACCTAAAGAATGTCATAAAGAATCACCAAGTTGTGTCAAATGAATGAATACCTATGTTTCAAAATCAAATATGTGTGCATAGTAAAAGTTAGTACCATTATGTTTAACAGATTGGTAATGAAAATATGTATCACCACCCCTTTCTTTCTCCTCAAAATTCATGATTAAAAGTATAAAACAATTTTGATTTATAAAATCTTACTTAATGTTACACCTCTGAGTGGGGCTTATTTATAAGTTTTAGAAATTTTTGTCAATTAAAATAATTCTGTTATGGTTTTTGTAAAGACATTTTATGTTAGGGACGGAACAAGTTAGAAATTTCGATGAAAGCCTGAATTAAAGCTCTTAAAAAGATATATCTATCTATACTTTTTGACTCGACAGTATTTGTCGTTATTAATTTCAGCTGTTTCTATACAGGTGTGACAAGATTATTTTAGGTTAGTCAACAGTAGCCTATACCAAACACAATAAAAAAAATCATGCATTTTAAAAATAATTATAATATTAATTTTATTTTTTTTTAGAAAAACAGTGACGACAAAACCCATGCAGACCTGGTGTGTAAGATGCAGATTGTGGATTGCCTTCAGCAGGAGCTCAATGAAGCTTTGAGGTCTGAAGCTAAGGCTTACGACAGCCTTTGTAGGAAGGAAAAAACTCAGGTGTTTTATTTACAATTTACAGACACATTGGTAACCTTTAGTATGTAGATATGCTTTGATATAGTGTCGAGAATAAATAGGTATATGTTTACCCTGTATGCTAGCAAGTAAGCAATAACATATTGCTCAACACTCTTTGTTTGAAAACTCTAACATGCATTCACTTAAATTAAACAGCATAAAGGCGTAAGAGTTTAGGTTTTTAAATTTTTAATAGCATGTTAGTTTAACTGAATGGGAAAGATTCCATCTTGGCAAAAAACACAACCACTTGTGACTGTGCACAATAATTAGATTTTGCTTGGTTCTGACAACATTTTAAGGTTGTAGCAAAATAATATATTTTGTAACTATACACATCAATCAAATCATTATTTATTCAATAAAACACAAGAGTACATGTGTTGAATAGAGTCAAGTCGAGTATAAAATATACATTAAGTCGCCGGGCTGACATAAAATTAAAACAATAACGTATTTCTAAATACCGTGAACTCTTCTCCCACCGTAACCTTTATTTTGTACAGAATTACCATTGCATTAGTTTACTATCCCAAGCATCTAGTGGTGTGGCAATCTGTTGTCGTTCACAATCTGATTGACACAATCTTTACTTGTTCATTGGTTTCTAAAACTAATCATCTTTTACACCTGCAAAGGTGACTAAAGTAAGGTGATCAGTATTTCACTGATACAAAAAGGAGATACTTGTGCTAATATCGGATGTTGTCTGGTTATACTTGTACCAGATACTTGAGTTAACTGAAGTCATCTTACAGAGAGTAAAAGTTGACTCGTTGATGGCCTTGGTACTTCATCATCAGGAGACTTGGAAGCAGCAAATGACTCTAACTGATGACTTGATGAAGGAAATTCTGCGGCTGAGTAGGAATTCAAGGAATAGTGTAAGTTTCAAACAATGATATCTGAAAGACAACTTAATTTTTAAAGCATAATGTCAGCGATACAACTACCCGTCAGCATAGTCTATGGGTCTCTGCTACGATCTAAAGTTAGTTAAGTAACGTTACGGTATTAGTCACATGATCAAGCCAGTGGTAAGTTAGTGCAAGCAGCTGGTCTAGAACTAGCAGCCCAAGACAATAACACTGATCTATCGTATATCAATGTAATTTCAACAATACAATTAAAGTTCATTCAAATCTTGACAATCTACGATTTGCTCTACAGAGTAATTGAATTTGAACTAGTTGATGTAATCGGAGTGTAAAGTGAAATGCGCACAGTGTTTTGTTTCTTTGTACATATTTTGTTGCCACACTGTGCTGTTTAACATTGTAAGGTATGATAAACTATTAATTAGCACTAAATACTGTGGGATTTGTAAAAGAAAATCATCATAAGTCAATTGAAACAGATTTTCTATTGGTACCAGTAATTAAATCTATGGAATATTTTCATTTTTTTCCCATATTCATATAGTTTTAAATCATTATGAAATATGAATATATTCATCCCACTACAATATACTTTTTCCAGTATTCAAAATCACCAGTTGCAAATCCAACCGCAAGAAGAAATGTAAACTGGAAGTCCCTGATATCAACAATTTCTTGTGACATAAAACAATCACTTTGTAATATTGAACAGAGACAGAACCAGGTGAGAAAGTTAGCTAATTGCTTATTTTAAAATGTAATGACCAAGAGCTTGTCCAAATCTTTCTACTCCTCCTAAATAGTATGCAGTATCATTAAACATAACTACCTGTGGGGATCCTTAATGAAGTATTAGCACGAGCAAAAACCAGTAGAAAAACTGTTGCAAAGCATGGGTACAGCAGCTAGTATGTTTTAGAAGAATTATTCACCAACAATAACATTTTTAGCAACTGATGCAGTCACAGTTCAATCATGGCAGGACTGTGTATTTCATTATCCACTGTTGGTTGTAAATATAAAGTATTGCTCTACAATTTTAATACTGTGTTGCCGAGTGGTTAAAGTGTTTGCCTTCAACCCTGTTGGTTGCTGGTTTGATCCAAAGAAGCCATTCATCTTTGGGATATCAATTGATGATGCTATCTATCAAAAATTTACCAGGGTTTGTTCGTTTTTTTTACAAGAGACATAGGAAATTCAAATCACATTTAGACACAAAAAACATGCTGTTTGTCTTTATATGCGGAATTTGATCTTTATTTCTTTTAGGTGGTATTGCCTACATTAAATATTTTTATTTTTTAAATAAAGTTATTTTCCAGGTCAGCCATTTGGAACTGGATTTGAGTTCTGTCAAACTGGTACTTGAGTCTGCCCAAAAGGAAATTGATGAAATATCAAAGGTAATTAATTGTAACATGTAAACTAAGACTAAGACTATAGAAATTTATAAAAATACCAATAAAAAACTTGCAAAATTATAAATACACTATTTAAATTTAAAACAATCGCCAAAAACACCCTTTGTAGGCTGCTCCATAATATTTATAACCAGTTGTATATATATATATTATTCCAGACTAACAATCACCAAGATGTAATTCGCAAAGTGACTGTTTTGCTGTTGAAACTAAAGAAACAGATCGCAAATGCATTGATCAAGGCAAACGATCTTGTAAGTATATAACAAAACATATACAACGTTTATTATTATTTTTATGTCCCGTATTGTTAGACAATTAAGGATCGACATTCAGTTACTTATTACAGAATAATTTAGGAAAATAATTTATTGCAGTACTAAATTTTTACCACTTTTATCAATTTCAAAATTGATCCAAGGAAATTTTATTCTCACTGCACAACCTTTTGATAGAAATTTGTAAAACCCATAAATCCTGTGATTTTTCTTGGATATTTGTAATAAGCCTTCTCACTAAGGTAAGCCTAGTTAAAGAAAATAAAAATGTAATTGAATAAATTGTTTTTTTCTCATGTTATTAGCCTCCGGGTAACTGGTACAGTAATAAATAATGGTTTGAATACCTTATACTGTCAAAGTGATCCTTAATGTGACTTTGATGGATTTTTACTATGACGTCTTACTCTGGAATGAAATTTGATGTCCTTCGAAGCCTGATGAAGTTCCCCTTGGGAATGAAACTGCAGTAGCCTATATAGACTACCAAGGATCACTTTGACAGTATAAAGTATTTAAACCATTATTTATTAATTTTTTTTTATTGTGGTTTTCATGTCTAATTAAGTTTTGCCCCTTCTGAAGAGGGAATATTGATATGACAATATGGTATTGTTTAGGACTTTTCACTGACTGTGTACGTTTTAGGTAAAAGCTTATGAGAGTACCAAACAAGAATTTATAAATTCATCAGAGCGTATTCATAATTTACAAAAAGAATGGGACGTTTTAGAACGAGAAGTACGCAGTCATTGGGAACAGCTCTCAAAGGTAAAGTATAACACTTTGTAGCAAACAGAACTGTTTTTATTACAACTTGAAAATATGTTTGATTTTTTGTACTCACATAGTAGCTTTTAAAAAGTAACCAACTCAAAAACATAGGAACAACCATTGAGAAAGTGTTAAAGAAATGTAAACTGACAAGTAAAATAACTTTATCTTCAAAAACATGTCCTTAAACATGTTTTTAATTGTCAAAAACATGTTCAGGTAACCTCATCCTGTTCTCTATGTAACATCCAGGTCAATGTTGGTTAGGGTCTGAACAGTCTTAAAAACTTAAAAAATACCACTACCAAAATTAAACACTATAGGTACATTTTTGTTATTTAAAGTGTGGTTAGTTAGACTTTTTAAGAAATAAAGCAAAAACAACAAATAATTTCATTTACTTCCTTAATTTTGTGCATGTTGCCACTAAGTTGAAGTTTCTAATACAGAAGAAACCGATCAGAGCTATTAAGGATGAACAACAACAATTCTGCCAAAGAACACTTTATACTTAAGAACCCTCACTGTTTATGGTTTATATGTTCTTGCCTATATTATGTTTGTAAAAAAAATCAATCCACCAATTAAAGAAAACAATCACAACTACAATACATGTAACAAAAATAACTTTGTAATTACTGTATTGGGAATCATAAATTAGAGCTCTTTAAAAAAAAGACTGTCAATGCAGGATAAGAATTCTTCAAATTTATTCCTGAGAAAATTAAAGCAGAACAAAAACCCAATATAAAAAAAAAACTTCTAAAGGAATATTTGATGGACCTGTCCATATACTCTATTGATGAAATAAAAAATGGCTTTATTTTAGTCTTAAGCATTAGTTTTCAACGGATTTGACACTATTCATGTAGAGCTATGTATACTTATGAATAAAGATTCTTGACTATGACTATTTGTCTAATTGTTTGCATTGGCAATAGTATTTTCTGAAATTAATGGGAGGGCAGGGAGGCCTGGAATAGCATTCTGGAAATAGCAACTCCAGACTAGACTGGAGGGTCCAGACTCAGTGTGTTTGTGTGTTCTGTTGTGTCTATGTAATATGCTCACAGTTCATGTCTCCTTTACCAGGACTTTACGCTGGGTAGCTATCAAACACTATTTATATCTATCCTCTTAGCTATTTGTTTAGGTTTGATCTGAAATATTAATTTTCAAATACCTTTATAGGGTTTTTAGGTAAATCCTGAGTTTTTAATTCATACTCTAATATAGGTTCATGAGTTGGTTTATATTTTTTAGACACCAGTCATCAGTCTTCAATAAGATAAGATTTACAATTAATTGGTCATTTAATTATTTATTAGTAGGCCTAATACTTTCTTGTATTTTTTACTACGGTATAGGTTTTTCCCTATATATTGTTTTGGTATAACATTGTAAAATGTGAAATTTTAATTATTTACTTGACATTTTGGCTCTTGGTTTTATCAGATTTGGATGCTTTAATCTAATATGTAACAATTGTTGCAGGATTTCAGTTTACCTCAAAAACCTAACAAAGGAGTCTGCCCCAGTCAAGAAGTCCTGGCAACTTATGGGCAAAAAGTAAGTATCAGATACAATTTACGTGTTTCTGTAGCTGATTATTACTAACTTATCAAAAGGACATAGGATTACTTTTAATTGAAAACTTAACTTATTTTAAAGGAGATAAAAATGTATTTACAAACTTTTAATCCTTCTAGAAGCATCTTGTAATCTTCATTTTCACATATCATTCCGAAAGGACTTTAAAAGTTCCAATCTTGTTATAACATGTTCCTATTATTTATTTTTAAGATTTACCCTTTTACCGATGAGCTATTTTAATATTTTAAAACCAAAAGCTGATTTGTGGACAGTGAGATTGATATATCTAATATTTTCAAGATTGAAGATTGTTCATTAAAAAAAGAATAAAACATCGATATATGTTTTATTCAGTTTAATCTAGTTTTCCATGAGCAATAAACTTTAATCTCAGTTTTGAAAATAAAAACTCAAAGTAGCTTAGTAACAAGATTCAATTGTTGTAGGTGAAGGAATTAAATGAAACTCTCGACTCTTATTTTCTGCAACAGCAAAATGATAAGGTTGATTTTTCAATGTTTCTTTTGGTGTTACTTACTAATATAATTTTGCAATATTTTCCAATGTTATATGAAATTGTTCTTGTTTCTTAAAAATCAACTATTCAGTAAACCAAAAAGCCTTTAGAATAAATGGAAATTATCTCTCCGTTTTGTAAAACTTCATGTTAACATGTTTTTCTAATATTTACTAAGAAAAGATTAAAAAGTTAACAGCTACAGATTACTTTTAAAATTCAAATTATTTTGACATTTGATGATTTGTTTTTAGATGTTACCAAAATTCAAATTGTAAACCAAATTAGTAATACTATAATTAAATATCTTCCTGTGTAACAAGCTTTTTGTAAGTTACAGTATTTAACACAATGTGTTTTGATTTCAGGCACCTTTTAAACCACTTCTTAGACAGTACAGAGGAGTAGAGCAAGTTGTAAGTTATGTTTGTATCAACATTGTAGTGTTTAAACTTGAATTCCAGTCCTAAATTAATGCTAGGATTTTAATTTTATATCCTTGAAGCAGGAAATAATACTTTAAACGGGACCGAGGCCAGTCCGGATAAGGGTTTTTCCGGTTAAACTGACGTCCCCAAAAACTTGTTAAAACAGACCGTTTGAATGCATACTGTATAAAGTATTTGACTTAAATTTAGGAGAGCATTGTATTTAGACTTGCGATCACTGGTCTCAAATCTTTCCCACGAGAACAATTGTTTCAGTACCGCCCACTTCCTGCCGATCTAGTCCGGTTAAACCGATGTGCTGATAAAAATTGTCCGGTTAAAGAGATGTAATTTCTGCCGAGTGTAGTCCGGTTAAACCGCGGTTAAAAGGTGTCCAGATAAGAGGGAGTCTAATGTTGGTAATTTTAAAACATTCAATTGATATTAGATATTTGATTTGGTATTTTGACATTTATAAAAAAAATTGTTAAGTCACTGTTATAAGACATACACTTTACTTTTATTTGTTTCATAAGTACAGTAGAGTAGTCATCAAAATACATAGGGTAACAGGTTGGATTTTAACCATAAAAGATTTTAGTTTTCCTTTGTATGGCCAAAGGTTTCCAAATTTAAGAAAGATTTATTACAAATATTAAAGAAAATATTTTTTCTATTTTAATAAATGAATATTATAAATATTAGTCAACAAGTAAAACAATACTGATGTTTGAATTGTATTTAAGTTACATAACTTATATCTGTGTATGTTGTCTTCTTTATTTCACAAATATTGAAACGTTTTACCATGATTTGTTTGGTTTTAGCTGAAGAAAGAAACAGATTCTGCTATGAAAAAAGTCAAGGGAAATATGGTGGAACTGAAATCAAACATTAAAGACAGAGATAAACTGGTAAGATTCAGATTTTAAGACAAACATATAATATATGGTACTTAATTTAAAAGCCATAAATATTTTATCTAAAAGAAAGTACAGTGGAACCTTGATAAGAAGACCCTCGATAACAAGTCGCCCTTGATAATAAGTGTCATTTTCAAATCCCCTTAAAATTATTTTATTATTAAATAAAATTATTAAAATTATTTATTACCCCTAATCACATGTTATTACAAACCTCAATAAGAAGTCAACCTTGATAACAAGTCTTATTTTAAAATCCCCATGAGAGTCTTCTTATCAAGGTTCTACTGTAAAAATAAAAACTTTATTGATATAATCTGAAAATAAAATGTATTTTCATTGAATCCACTCATATTTACCGATAATTACTCTACTATATAAATTATTGTAGCAATATTTAGTTAATTCAGTTGATTGCATAGTTGAATGAGTGCTATTAGATAAGTGAACAAAAAACTCTGTTAAAAACCCATACCTTTTTAACTTTTGAAGAGGAAACATAGAAGAAAGTGCCTAGGTTATAATGATTTTTGTAGGGATGGACGGGTCCCGAAATTTCGGGAATTTTTCGGGAAAAAAATATTCCCGATTATCGGGACGGGATTACATTTGATTCGGGAATTTTTCGGGACGGGATTTGGTCCGATCGCCGGCGATTTTGCCGCTTCGCGAGTGCCGATGACGCCGCTATTGCGAGCGATAGGTCCGCGAACGCAGGAGACGAAGTCGTTTCGACGATTGCGCCGTGACCGCGGAGTCATACCGACGATCACGCCGTGACCGCGGGGTCATACCGACGATGACCCCGTGACCACGGAGTCATATCGACGATCGCGCCGTGACCGTGAGTCATACCGACGATCGCGCCGTGACCACGGAGTCATACCGACGATCACGCCGTGACCGCGGAGTCATACCGACGATCGCGCCGTGACCATGAGTCATACCGACGATCGCGCCGTGACCGTGAGTCATACCGACGATCGCGCCGTGACCGTGAGTCATACCGACGATCTCGCCGTGACCGTGAGTCATACCGACGATCGCGCCGTGACCGCGGAGTCATACCGACGATGACCCCGTGACCACGGAGTCATACCGACGATCGCGCCGTGACCGTGAGTCATACCGACGATCACGCCGTGACCGCGGAGTCATACCGACGATCGCGCCGTGACCGTGAGTCATACCGACGATCGCGCCGTGACCGCGGAGTCATACTGACGATCACCCCGTGACCGCGGAGTCATACCGACGATCGCGCCGTGACCGTGAGTCATACCGACGATCGCGCCGTGACCGTGAGTCATACCGACGATCGCGCCGTGACCGCGGAGTCATACCGACGATGACCCCGTGACCACGGAGTCAAATCGACGATCGCGCCGTGACCGTGAGTCATACCGACGATCGCGCCGTGACCGTGAGTCATACCGACGATCACGCCGTGACCGCGGAGTCATACCGACGATCGCGCCGTGACCGTGAGTCATACCGACGATCGCGCCGTGACCGTGAGTCATACCGACGATCGCGCCGTGACCGCGGAGTCATACCGACGATCGCGCCGTGACCGTGAGTCATACCGACGATCGCACCGTGACCGCGAGTCCTTTCGACCGCGAGTCACAAGTTTCTACAGGTACCTGAAAAATTGTTACCCATCTCTTGGTTTTTATAGATCAGTGCCACAAAGGGTAAAGATTGATTTTGTATGCCTTTTTTGGTAACTGCAATACTCAAGTCTTTCTTTTTATGCACAGAAAAAAATCCCGTCCCGTCCCGTCCCGAAAATCGGGAAGGAAATAAAAATCCCGTCCCGTCCCGTCCCGAACTAAAAATTCAATCCCGTCCATCCCTAGATTTTTGTTATGATGGTTGATTCCCGCACCCTAACAAAAATACTTTGTCTTTAACTATTCATTCTTAGCATGCATATTGCTCAGAATTTGATATATTTGTTGTAAATTGGCAACAATACTCAATCCATTGTTTTAAGAAAGGTCTAGTTTTTTGATCTTAGATTAAAATATTTTTGTTCAGTATACTACATAAAAAAGTCAATTGATTGAAAACCAAGATTTGAATTAAAATTTAATCAAAAATGTAGTTTAATTTGTATATAAATATTGATCACAATATAGTTTGCTAATTTCTCAGTTTTGACTTAATGTAAAAAATATTTAAATTATAAAATGATAATCTATACATAACACATGGTAATTTCTTGAGTAAAGTTAAACAAAAAGTTAGTTTCAATGGTTTTGTTATATTCTCTTTTCAGACTGAAACGCAGGATAAAACCATATGTGTTCTTCAGAACTCACTTAAGCGATGTCACACTGAAGCAGAACAACTTCGCAAAACAATTCATTGCCTGGTATTTATTTATGTTAACAGTTATCAGAATTTTATTTTTATCATCGTATTTCTGCCAATTTATGTAAAGTTTTCCTGGAATCTAATACTAGAAACTAAACTATTCTTTTAAATCTGCCGGGTGATTTTCACTCATAAAGTTTCAATTTACTGTATAACTTAAAAAGCTATTCTAAGCTGATTTTCTAGCAACAGTATTATAAGCTGTACCTGATTTTGTCTGTTCAAAATTCAAAAATGGGTCTCTGCACTTTTTATTAACCTTGTAATAACTTTTAATTAGTACCTAATAACTTTTGATTACATTCCAATGTTTGACTTATTTTATTTATTTTCTTGTGGAGTAACACAAAACAGTTTTAAAACATTCATATTATTCTAAAATACAAAAGTTTTGTCTAGAGCATATTATATCAGGGTACATTGCACGACGTCAAAAATATAATTTTTTATTTGTTTTATGATGTCCAATATAAAATATTTGACTGTAGCATGACCAATCCCATGACGTCCAAAGCTTGTAGAAAGACTAAGTTTCTTGCAGTTACTGTACTTTTGAACATGATGAGATATTACATCGTGTAACAGTCGAACAGTTTATATTGGATGTTGTGGGACAGCTCAAAAATTATATTTTGGACTTCTTATATCATTTTGACTTATATCATGTGTCACAGTTAAACTTGATCTTATCCTTTGAGCACCAAAATCCGATATATTTGATGCAAGACTAATACAACCATCCTTCCACTTAAAACTACGCTTGGAATTTTTTTGCATAAAATATAATTGTTATATTGCAATTCTTAATAATCCTTGAAGTTGAATTACACTACATGTTCTGAGGGAACAGCCACATATGTAATCCTCTTTTCCAATTTGTGCTGCATAAAATTTAAGATTGAACTCAGAACATGTTGACAAATAAATATAAATAACAAAAGATACTATATTACTCAGTCTTGTTACGGGTTGCAAATGGGCTGATAAAATCTTTTATTTTTTATAGGAACTACAAAAATGTGAAACTGAAAGGGAAAGTAAGAGGAAAATCCAAGAATTGGAGTCCAAGGTGAGTTTTCCTAAAGATTATTTGAACTTGCTCCCCACTACTTACTAAGGTTAGGTAAGTGGTTTTCAAAACTGCTAAGCCAGAAAGCTCACAGAGCTTGTTGCACACACACCTCAGGGGATGTCTCTCTCACTGTTGATACAGGCAGTTATGTGGTGATAGGTCACAAGACTAAACAGATGCGAGGTCAACTCACATCTGGTCCTTTTAATCCATAATGCCTAATCATTTGCCCTCCATTATAAGCAGGCTCCACACGCTCTTGTATATTTTAAGTATTTGAGGTTCTTCAGTTTGTTGCTGCACATGGCATAAACGGATAATGATGATCTCATATTCATGAGAGCCATGTTGGAGATAGAGTTATGAGGTGTTTCTTGGTCGTTCAAGAAAAGAACGCTATTGAAATACTCCAACTTTGGCTGGTATACTTGGTATAATTCATCAGTACCGCTACCTGACTTTATCGAATCTTTGTCTTTAAAACTGCTCCACATGTTGTTTATTTTCTTTACCACATCGTCTTTGTTGACCCCAGGCTTTACCAATTTTTTTTTTAATAAATAATTACTGTAAAGTCAACGAAACACTGATTTACCTCGAGGCCTACCCTACACAATCCTCCACATGCTCTGGCCGGACTTCAGGCACAACTGGCCTGCAGGCCTACGATACCAAATTTTGTATTGGATTTTTCGGCCTGCAGGCGGCACGGCCACAGGCATAACTCAACAAAATTCTCCATCCACACGTTGAGATTTTCCTTCAGGGCAGCCTTCAGATTTAACGGAGCGTATGGAGCCTATTTTAGTGTTAGCCATTATAACAGTATAATTGAAGGATTGTTTAGAAATATTTAGATTATTTCAGAAAATTCACGACCGGGGCACATTTTAACACCTTTTAAACTTTATTTTTTTTAATAGGTGAATTTATGTGTTTTTAATAAAACTTTGTTACATTTAGTCGTAACATAATCTTAGCTTTAATTTTGTTATTTTTTAAGCCCTCCAAGTTAACATGTTAATGTGCAATATCTGTTTTCGCAAAGGTATGCAAATCGTTCAAAAGTACCCCACCACTGGAAGAAGTGGGGTACAATTGAACACACTATTTCTATTGGAGCTAACTCTTCATTTAATGTTTTGGATTCACATTATTTTGTAGCTAAACGTTGCAAAGTTAATAGCAAATTATATTCGTTCGCTGCACGTGCAGTTCTCACACTCATTGTTGGTTGAGGAAGCTTATAGTCTTATATTATTATTATTCATTACTGTCTTGTATAGGAAACAAATATAATCAGTTGGGGTACATTTGAACAACATGCTTACCAGATGAAAACATGGTGTTCAAATGTACCCTTCAGACTCTTGTTCACATCTACCCCACTAGGCACCATTTTGCAAAAAGATAAATTATGTTTTCTTGAATTGTAACTTTACTTATCAATGTGAAATGCATAATTGTATCTAAATATGTATAAGCCATAAGGTAAATGGATCAAACTTATCCGTAATGTAGTTTTTCTATGGAAAATTTACATATTCCTACTGCTAAAAAAGTTTTCTTGTGGTGCTCTAAAACTTCTTTTCCCAACAATAAACTAAGAACTGGTCAGAAATGGAGGGAGATGAATGCAACCTGTTGTCCTATTTGAGGGCTACATTTTACAGCTGGTCCAATGGCCTGTGAGTATAAAAATTACGGCAATTTTAAACTGTTCAAATGTGCCCCACTCTCCCCTACCGCTTGTCCCTGACCATCACGTTTATGATTTCTATCATAAAAATTTCAAAAATTAAAATATCGTCATATTTCAATGTTTTATACACAAAAAAAGCACACCTCTATACAAACATAACGATTTTTCGGGTCTCAGGTAAGTTTTTTCGGAGTTATACAAACTTAAAAAGATTTTATTGTCCTTTTTTTCTATTTTTTGAGTTTTTTTTATTTTTTTCTAGAAAGACCAAATATACCAAAAGCTCAGTGACCTTTTTATTGTATAATGGTCATAAAAGTAAATTAGTTTATAGCAAAACATAGTTATAAAAATAATATTAACTATTTTTAATATTCATTTAAACGACTATTATGGTCGTGACAGGATTTTGTGTTTTTCCACTAAAGATGCTCTTTAAAAAAAAAACTACCAAAGATATTGCGTTACCATGGACATTTTATGAAACTTAAAATGTTAATGAAATAAAAATAATAATAAAAGTTTTGAAAAAAGGGGAAAAAAATTTGCAAAGTGCTTTTCCTGAAAACGTACGTTTTTAAATTTTCACTCATAACTCAAGTACAGACTAACAACTCAACTTGGGTACAGTATTACTCCAAATTCTAAGAGCAATTGATGACTTGGCACAAGGATTTATATCAACAGTATTCATATATATATATTTAAATTAGCTGATTTGCTTACGGAAGTTAGTAATAAATTATACCAGATAACTTATCTAAGATAACCAAACCATACATGTTCATTAAAAATTGTGAAAAGGTTAACCTGTAGCTTATAAAGAGGTATATATAGTAGGCCTAGTATTTAAAGTCCCATTAAAATCCCAGGATAGGTTCTATGAGCTATCTTAGGTTATTAACTTCCCTGTTTAGTGTTTATGATAACAAAGAGCATACGTAAGTTCTTACGACCTGAAACCCTACCTAGCCCTAGCACCAGATTGACAGCGGAGCGCTATATTTTTGTTTTGTTTTAAAGCGTATAATTTTGACAGTAGTACACTCTGGAAGCTGCTCATTCAACTTTGTTTGCTAAAATGAATAATTGGCTCTTACTGGTCCATGTAAATGGAATGTCTACATTTATACAGACTGAATTTTATAATACATACGCTGCTTATGAGAAAAGGGATCACCAATAATTATTTTGCGCTTAAAAAATTAATGCAGAAATAAAGTAGAGAACCTGTATTAGATTGTGTTAGGATATTGGAAATTAAATGTCCACTTAATTAAGAACAAAATAGTGTCTGTGATTTATGGATCAGCTGGTAAAATAGATAGTTAATCGTATAGATGAAGTTATCAGGTTTTACGTGTTATCAATCATCAAAGTGAATTGCAGTCAATGTGAAGGCGGGTCCACCCACACATACGACATTCTCAAAGCACCAAATACTTGTCTAACTACTTGGATTGGCATCAGCCGATTTCCGAACAGAGCCACACATTCGTCACTTTCTGTGCAGTCCAATCGTTGCGGGGATAGCAAATATTGATAGAAACAAAAATCCTCAAGCATTGATGGTTGCCGAATTATGAGTAGTGTGGATTTACTTGCTATCCCTGTGACGAACAGGCTGCACAGAGAGTGATTAATGTGCAGGCACCTCTGTTTGGAAATCAGCTAATGCCAACCCAAGTTGATATGTGCGGACCTGTCTTTCCAGGCTTGAAGTTGGTAATGTTACAAACACCTCCTGTATCATTGTTATGTTTCTCCAGATTTCAAAACTTCAAAGTTGTTTGAAGAAATATGAAGAGGTCAATGTAAGTAATTTAAACTTTGTATGCAATTTAAATTTAAAACGTTTGATTCTGTATGAAATTATGCTGTGTAGATAACAAGCTGGTTCAAAATGTTGTATTAGAGTCAATCCTCTTAAAACTGTATTCAGTCATCAATAGATTTTAAAGTTGTCATATATCACTATTATTTTCATAAAATAGTTCAGTAAGACATTTAAATTTTCTTCCATCAAACTTTTAAAAAATCCGACAAACAGCTGAAATAGGACAGGTAGATAATTTACATGTTTCAGTATGTATCCGCCACTGTCAAAACATTGTAGTTGGATGAAATCCTTGTCATTGTTTACTAATAAACATACACAGAACATTTACACGGACATAGACCCACAAAGACATTTACGAATGATGGATACAAGCTGAAACATATAAACAACCTACGTGTCCTATTTAGGCTGTTTCTCGGATTGGAAAGGTATAATAGTATAAGGTATAAATAAATAGGTATGCAAACCTATTAATTAAATTGAGTATAATAGTTCAGCAGCTGGAATGGAAATGAACTGTATTTTTTCACCTTTCATTCTAATATTCTTGATGGTTTCACCTTGTTCATATACTATCAACAGCTTAAAAATTATTCAAGTTTAAATATATTAATGAACAAAACATAAAACTGTGATATTTAAATTTTGAGTAACTGACAAAATTTAAGGCATTTAGAGCAGGATACTCTAATAATTATTATTGCATAGGTGGCTAAACCTCTCATGTTATTATTTTGGGAAGATGAAATTATGAAAAATAAATTAAATAAAAACTCAAAGTAGGGCTGGTCAGGAATCACATAAGGTATGGGTATAAAAAAAAATCTAGCGGCCAACGTTGGACTTATCGACTTGTTAAATGCAACTTACTTGTTCTTGTTGTTTTTTTTTATTCCGAAGGATTTAAAAGAGAACGATTTGGTAGAAAAGCTTCAGTTTGCCACACTTGAGCTCGCCTCACTTGCCGGTAATCTACAAGATGATTGCAAAATCGCTCATCTCAAAATAACAGATCTTTACGAACAGCTGAGTGACAAAGAGGTGATACAATCTAACAACAACTAGTACCACTAACATACTAGTCATGATGTGCAAGGAATTAGTCTGTTTGTCGCTTATTGTCTCCTGTAGTGGAACCTCAATAACAAGTCACCCTTGATAACAACCGTCATTTTCAAAATCCTCTAGAATTTATTTTACCCCTACATGTTTTATGTTATTGCAAATCTTGATAAGAAGTCAACCTTGATAACAAGTCTTATTTAATAATATGCCTACACAATGAGAGTCTTGTTATCAAGATTTTACTGTACTTCCTTCAGTCACTCTTTCTGTACACACAACACAAGCTTTAAAGTTATGACCAATAGCATTGTTTTAAATTTATCTTGTTTGATAATGTGCATGATAATGAACCCATTCTTTGATTGATACATTAGCACTGTAGATCTACTGCGCTAGATCTACTTATCCTTAAAACTAGCACTGTGTATGTGTTTGACTAACAGATACTAATCAGTAATCAGTGTGCAACGTTTTACCTGTGTGTGGTGTGCAACTGCATAAATATTATTGCTGTTACTAAAAATTTAAGCTGTTAGCAGAAACCTTACAGCAGAAAACTTTGTAAAATAACAAATTACAGGTCTTTCAGGATGCCTAGGGTTAAATTCTGTTATGTAATTCTAATGGTTTTTTTTATTTATTCATTTTTGTTTACACGTTCTGTTATTTCCAAATTCATACTATAGTACATAATACATATATATATATAATTTATTATAATTTGCATGTTTTAAAAAGTTATGTAACATTCTTATCCATACTCTTTGTTTCAATTGGATTTTAGCTAGTTTGTTTTAAATTTTTCAGAAACGTCATCAAAAGGCTGAAGAAGATTTTAAATCAGCCATTGCCAATTTACAAGAAAGCGTGAGTATGACAATAAGAGTAGACCACTTAAGACTCTTTTTTTGCAGAAGTTTTTTATTTAAACAAAATCTAGGTAATTCAAAATTAAAGTCACCAATTGAAATTATTGTCAGTCTTACAACATTCTAAAAAAAAAATCAGGCAATCCAATATTAATATGAATACAGTAGTTTTAGCATATGCCTTTACTTGTGTACATACATATTTCGTCTTCAAATTAATGTAAGTATGTTTAATTGAAATGACAATAGAAAAAAACTAGGTTCTAGTTTCTTTCAGCATAAGTAGTGAACAGGGTTTGAAAAAAACAAAAAAACAATTGTAGCATCATGAAAATTTGTCCGTCTACCTTATTGAAACTTTTTCAAAAGCATTGAATTAGAACTATAATCTTTTACAAATAATGTTAATTGGTCCGTTTTTAGTTGTAGACAATTCAAAAGTGAAATGTGTCACATTTTTGTAAACCTGATTCTCTGATTTTATTTAGTATTTTTTTTAAATATATCTACGCCAGTGACATTTATTAGAGTGTGGTAACAATTTTGCTTGGAATCAAACCAGCAAATAATGAACTAATCACACATTTTTCAGATATTTAAAGAACAAAAGAGGGTTGGCGAGTTACAGGACAAAAATAGACAGCTCGAAAAGCAAATTGAAAATTCAAAGTTAACTACTGTAAGTATAACTGCACTTATTAATTGTAGTTGGCACTTTAGCAGATCAGATATAATTATTATTTCAGTTGTTTTGTCTCTGGATCACTGAACAAACTATAAAAGGTATACAATTTCCTGAGTGCTGCCAGAGTTATCCTGTATAGTCCTTACAGATTACGCGTTTCGAGGACTTGAGTCCTCATCATCAGATGTCGTACAAGAACATTTATTAACACTGTCACTTCGAAAAGGTCGTCAAAAGTTTAAATATGAAACACAGACACATACTACACACGTAGACATTTACACAAACAAAAACGAGCTGGCCTACTGACAAAAACTTACAATGTCTTACAATTTCCGACCGTGTACGCACCTTTACCTGTTAACTGTGCGCACGCGGTCGGACTTACCTTTTGTAGAATGATTATAAGTAGAGCATTAGTATTGTGTTCCTGGTAGGGATGGACGAGATTGAATTTTTAGTTTGAGACTAGACGAGACGAGATTTTTTATTTCTCATAAAATTTCGAGACGAGATCGAGACGGGATTTCCCTTCTCATACACAACGGGAAATGCATGTTCAAAATTTTTACCTGATTTTGTAACATTGTTAGATGACTGTTTAAATACAAAAATAATGATAATAGGCAAGAATATTTACAATCTTTTATTAAAAAAAATCAGCATAACATTTTTTTATTAATCACGCCTAACTTATTAAAAATGCCTACGATTAGGAAACATAGTGATATCAGTTAGGATAGAGTTCAACTTATCCTAAAATAAAATAAATCATAAAATAAAAGCAATATTAATTTTTATAAAATAGTTACTTGTTTTGACTTTTTATAGTAATAAAACATTCCTCACACTGCTTACACTTAACAAAACTTCTCAAATGTTATTAAAGTAATATTATTAAAATAATTAAAGTAATATTTACATTTATAGAATTAATTAAATAAGAACGCCTTCGCAAAGGAAACGCAACTACAACACGCTCCTGTATTGCGGGTATTGCATTTGCTTTCTGCAGGCGTTTTTAATTTTTTTTTTTTTTTTTAATTCTTGTCTCGATAAAAATCTCGGCCAAAAAGAAATCTCGTCTCGTGTAACGAGATTTAAAATTTCCCGAAATTTCGAGACTTGACCATCCCTAGTTCCTGGTAAAGAAGCAGCATCACAGACCGAAGGGTTGATTCCCTGGCAATTCACTAGTATTATAGGAACTTGTAAAATTAAAGAAAAAACTTGTTATAATAATAGAATAACAACTTTTGTCTTGGCGCCATGTTTATATAGACTTTTACTATTATAATCTGAAGATATGTAACCTGCAAGTAGTTATGTAAAAATTACAATTTGAATATATCTATATATTCCAAATAAAACAACTGGCATCAACAAAGATTTTAACCAGAAAAATGTTTGCTACAATAATATTTGGTAGGTAGGGTAAATGCTCGGTTATTTTTCAAGCTATCAACTGAATATCCAGATGTTTATTTAAATGTTATTGGAGTCATTGGGTTTTCTTCTTCAGCATTTTGCAAAAATTTTTATCATCCAATGGTCTGTTTGAAATGTTGCCATACCATATTATTAAACTATGTTTGTTCAATCAGGAATCAAAGAAAATAAAAGAGGAAAATGTGCAGAAAGATCTAATTGAAGAGTTGCAAGATAAGGTAAACAACTTTTTAAATCATTTACCAACGACCTGTGTCTTTAACTAGCCTTTTCAATTCAGATCTTAAAATTGGAAAGATTCACTTTCCCGCATTGTTTTTTTGCTTTACAGGGAAAGGAAAAAGTAACAAAACAGAGGTTTGAGGATTTAAAGAAAAGAAGTTAAATTGTTATGCTTCAACTTATAAGCTGTTAAGACCAATTTAATAAGTCGCTGCAATGAGAGCTTATAAACGAAAACATTACCTCTCTTAGAAGTTGAAGTTATGAGTAGTGATTGTTAGTAATTAAAAAACTGTTGTGTGTAAAGTAGTGTACGCAACTCATGTACAGTAAATAATCTTTTCACCACACTATGATGTTTTTGGCTGTATTTCATACGTTAATTGGTGGCTGAAAGTTACGTTTTGCTGGCCATACCAGCTGTCATTGTAATTTGGGGACCGAGCAGGTTTTTACATCCCGGGGCCGCAAAATCAGCTGTCCGCTAGCATATTAATTACACAAACAGTATCCATAGCATTGAAATAGAATTGTTTTATTTTCACCGTTGCCTAGCAACTGTTTATTATTATATTTGCTGATTCCTAAAATTACTTCTTGACATAACCTTAAAGTTGCGTTGACTATCAGTTTTCATTATTATTTATTGTGAATAGTAGCAGTGTGGTGAAAAATAGTGTTTGTAACACAGACCAAAAATGGTTTTGCAGGTCTCGATCGATTTAAGTTTTTGACTTCGTCTCGAACTTAAAAACTATCTCGAGCCGGCAAAACCTCGTTTTCGGCCCTAGTACGAAACATACAATTACGCAATTGTCGCGTAAACTATTATTACACTATATTATTACTTGCTAGTTAAATTTAATCTTCTTGAAGTTTTATATTATATTTATAAATATAGATGATAGTGTTGCTATTGTTAGGGTTTGAACTTTAACTTGCTATAAACAATAGGGGAATAGACCTTACGATTTAGGTTAAATATTTATTGGGAATTGTTTATTTTTAATTAAAATGATATTCAATATTCAGTTCCCTGTTAGAGTGGGTAGCTTTTGAGAGAATTCCCAGATAATAAGTTCCTGGGTCATTATTGTTAAAACATGTAAGTAACGAATGAATTAAAATATTTTAATTTGTGATTTCACGTTCACATAAAACATAACAATAAGTAATTTTACTAAACCTGCAGGAGCCAAAGTAAAACTGAAATCCCTTTGATTATGATTCTACAATAAAAAAATATGACCATATCTTTGAAATGCAATAGTAGATTTTTTTAATCATCATATATTTTTGAAAAAAATATTTTCTATGTATGCCTATTAATAATTTGGTTTAATCTATTTCTTTAATACAACTTAGATAATATTAAACCTGAAAAAATTGTTTTGAGTAAATAAACAAATACCCTTGAACTACCCTTAATTCCTCAGTTTACAAAATTACTAATGAAATTTTATTATAAATCTACTCTACATAAAACGTGTTAAATCCACTACCATAAACTTTTTTCTAGGTTCACGAACTGCAAAATAAATTGAAGCTTTCCGAAGAAACAGTTGTGAGTATGAGAGTAGTTTGTATGCTTAAGGTGTTGTCCTAAAAATGTATTTTACACCATACTACAATGTTTTAATGAACTTCCCACGCAAGGATTTAGTCCATGAAACAGCTGTTATCCACCAGCTTTATCAAATGAGGTTTCATTACGTACCACTGTACTGAAATTAGTTTTTACTGGACATAAACTAGCTGACTATATTTGACAATGTGTGGTTATAAACAGGAGCATAACCTCTCTTAGAGGTTGAGAGTAGTGATTGTTAGTCATTTAGTCGGTGGGTATATAAGAATTTGCTAACATTTTTAATTGTTAAGTTAGCTTAGAGTAGCATGGCTTAAAATATCGTACGTCACTCGTATAAAATGTGTTTTCCGTAGTCGTATGGCAATCCTGCACTCGACTTTGTCTCGCACAGGAACGACCACACTCATCTGGTAAACAAACTCTTTTCAGGACTAGTAATGTAATATCCTATAATTTGATAATTTTACTTATTTTAAGAAGAATTTGTTATATGAGGCTAAGATAGGGCTTAATTTAGTTTAAGTATATTTTTGTTTCTTTGAGGACTGTTGATTCAAATTTTTTAGATATCCTCCTAATTAATATGTTATTTTTTTAATCATATTTTATCAGGTCCAGCCTTTATTAAACTCCTTCAAAATACCTGCATTACAAAATCAGTGTGACAAAGGTTTTATTTTTGTTTAATTTTATTGAATATGCATGAACTACGGTACATGGACTTATACAAATAAATTGTTCACAAAAGGCTTATGCAGAGGATGATAGTTTAAGTCATCTACAAGATGCAAATTTGGAATTGGCAATACTAGCTGGTCACATGCAAGAGGACTATAGAAAGGCAGAGGTCAAACTGTCCCAACTTTACCAACAACTTAGAGATAGTGAGGTACCATGTCTGTTTATCATGGAATGTATAAAATGTTACTAAGCAATGTCGCATGTCGAATTTTAACAAGCTTTATATCTTCGACTTAACCTGTGATAGTTTGTGCCTCCAATGGAATCGCTAATCCAACTAACATATTTTAAAATTGAATAGCCTTTACGATGTGTTGCAAGGTAAATTTTAAAGGTTTTATCCAAGCTGTGTCGATTTTAGCAAATTTCCCTATGGGGAATTATAGCTATTATTGGGGAGGTGGCATGGACCTATGCTTAGGACTGATTTACTTTTACATTTTGATGTCCCCAGAGGCCAAAAATATAATTCATTCAAATTTTTACTTTCTCTCCCTATACATAGTATATGAAGAAAGTATTGTTTTTGTCAACATTTTTGAGTTTGAGTTATGAGTTGATATATCCGTTTTGGGTCAGTTTTCCCCCTTGTACATAGTATATGGAGAAAATTTTGTTTACTATAGTATCCTGTTCTTCCCTTTGATCTCCCGCCAATAGGCCAAGGAATCTCATACGCAGACCTTGTAGGGCTGGGCACATAAATATCTTGTGGAAGGCTGTCCCCTCCTCCTCACCACATTTCCTACATGAGAGGCTTTCAACTTGAATTCCCACCCAGTTGCCGATGATGAAGCCAACCACCTTCTGTATGGTCTTCCTATTGAGCCCAAGAGCATCTGCCGCTATCACACTGGTAAGAGTCTGCAGCATTCTCTTTGACTGTATGTTGCATTATCATAACCAGGAATTGACCGTCAGGGTTTGAGTATCCCCGACAACCGCCCAGTGGTCCGTGTCAAGGTCATTCTGCAGCTCGAGGCCCTGCATCACGTCCTTCTTAGTCATTCATTGCCCTGTTTTTTTCCCAGCATCCTGGTTCCCGGAGAAACTGGCTTTGCAGGGACTAGAGTTAGGGTGCTTGGCAGCCCACACCAGCCTCCTCTCACTTCTGGATACCTTTTTGCCTTTGGCTAAAGCATCCGTTATCATCCATCTTCGCAACTCGCCCCTGGAAAGTCGTTTTTTTCTTTCCTTTCCAGTTTCTGCAAGCTTGTCGCCATTGTCATATTTCAGTAGACCTTCCTCCTCCAGTGGGGTCAGATCGTCTATATCTAAGGCCCACCTCCCCAGTGACCTGATTACAGAAATAAGGGGTACATATCTGATGTTGAAACAGCCATACTTTCTCTTGAAACCAAAGTATCTTCTGGCATTGATGGTATTTCAAGTTCTTTGCTGAAACAGGCATATAAGCCAATCTTAAAGGCAATCACAATCCTTTTCAACAGATCACTCCAATCAGGCATTTTCCCAAATGTTTTTAAAGTTTCAAAAATAATCCCTGTTTTCAAAAAATTCATAGAGGTAATGAGGACAACTATAGACCAATTGCTCTTCTTCCGACACTGTCCAAGGTTTTAGAGAGGCTAGTCCACAACAGGCTTGTATCTTTTTTAGCTAAGCATGAATTTATAGCTCCGTACCAGTTTGGGTTCAGGGCGAGTTTGTCTACTACCGATGCTTTAGTCGAATTCACTTCCAAAATAATTTCAAATCTGGAAAATGGTGAACCGGCAGTTGGTTTATTTTGTAACTTATCAAAAGCATTCGATCGGGTTGACCATGATATTATTTGTCACAAACTTAGTCGTATTCGTATATTAAGTTACAAAAATATTTAGTTGGTCTTAAGCAATATGTTGAGGTTAATGCAGAATGCTGTTCCGAACTCGCGGAAGTGAGATATGGTGTCCCTCAGGGCTCTAACCTTGGACCTCTGCTTTTTATTCTTTATATAAATGACATCGGTGCCTATGTTTGTCCTAACTCCTTAACACTGTATGCAGATGATACCACCATGCTTTTTAAGGGCTCGTCTGAAGTTGTTCAAGAGAACATGTCTTCAACAATTTCAAATTTTGATAACTGGCTTTTTAATAATAATATTCTTTCAAATCAAAATAAAACTAATTATGTCAAATTTCAAATAAGAAACAAAAATCCACTGCATCTTAAACTACCACAATCTTCAATAAAAGAACTTTCTGAAATCAAGTTTTTAGGTGTTGTTATGGATTCTCAGCTGACGTGGCAATCACATATTTCGATATTTCAGATCTTTGTGGTCGTTTGAGCAAGGTGAGTTTTGCCTCGAGAACATTGGGTTCTTTGCTTGATCAGAGGGACCTGATCAATGTTTACCATGGATGCTTTCAGTCTGTTATATCATATGGAATAGAGGTTTGGGGAAGTTCCACACATGCAGACAACGCATTTACTGAACAGAAACGAGCCGTTCGTATTTTATCTGGTCTCCCATCCTCGCACTCTTGCAGGGGAGTTTTTCCAAATCTTAAAATACTCACACTTTATTCCCTATATGTTTTTAAAGTGGTTCTTTTAATCAAGAATAAAATTGGGTCTCTTCCTGCTGTTGGAGATAGACATAGGTATCCCACCATCCCGCTCAGATCTTCTTCTTCCACAAATCCGCCTGTCCCTGTCTGAAAGAGAAACTTTTACAGCGTGTATAAAGATGTTTAACTGTCTTCCAACTAGTATTAAAGGAATGTTATGGCGAAAGAAAGTTTAAAAAAAGTTTGAAATCCTACCTTGTACAAAAAAATCGTACAGTTTTATAGAATTTATGTCTGGCTGATTGTATCTTTATTTTTTATATATTGTCTATCTTATTTATTAAATGTTATTACTGTAGTTCTTATTGACGACTAAGATGTATAATTGTAAAAAAAATATCTATTCAGAAAATAAAGGACTTAAATTACTTAAATATGACTTGTTTCCCTCTGGTTCTCTGAAGGCTCTGTTAAGACACTGAATATTAGGCCCTCAGTGCCACAAGCCTCTCAGCACGGATCGCATTACACCTTAGTCTAGGGCCCCCCTCACTTGGTTCTGTAGGTGGACCAACACCCAGTGGCAGAAGGTAGCTCTCCGCAGCTAACAAGTGAGAATTTGAGTTTAGGTGGGACCAATATGCCAAACCAATCCCACATGGGTGGTTTGGCTGGAACGTTGCGAAAAATACAAAAAAACACACTTTATTAGTTTCCTTGTAGCAGCAAACGTATGTACTTGTTGAATCTAATGTTATTTAAATTTAATTGAAAATCTATTCAGACAAATGGAAATTTGCTTAGTCATCAGGTTTTCTGCGGCGGGGGTATTAAGCATTAAAGAATCCTTGTAATACGTGAAGGCGATTTCTATGAAACACTACTCCTCCATAATAATGGATGGATTTTTACAAACTATGTGTTAAAATTAAGTATTTTTTGTGTAGACGCCCCCTTTCAACAATTCCTTCAATAAAAGTCCTCAGGCCATCAAAATCCCAATGTATTTCTTATGAATAAAATTGAATAACCCAGCTGTTTAGTAAATCTTACTTCAGTAATGGGATTTCTGTGGTATCTTTGTTGCCACTGTGGTATCCTTACTCACTGATCCCCTACAACACCCTGACGTCTTACGCTACGGGAATCGGGAAGTTAATAAGAATTACTGTTTGAAACTGTAAAACTGCTAACAACCGAATGGGCCGGAGTTACTCAGGATAGAAGCTGGCTATAACTGAGGTCTGGAGGTTTCGGTAACATGGACAGAAATAGAGGGGAGGGAGATAGTCCGTTGAAAGTTCACACATTTAGCAAAATTATTGAATTATACACTTACAAATCAATATAAAAATCTCTACATTTTACCAGCATTAAATGGAAAACATGTTAAAGTTACAGCAATAGCCGTTCAGCAAGGTTGTGTCAGGTAAAAATAATTTTACTAATTATATTTTATATGCATGCTGCTTGCTTATTTTTCGGTACGGTGGTATTCCTCATAATGCTTAGGTAAAAAACTATTAGTTCCTTATTTTTGTTTTATTTTTATGATAATCTTGTTAATTTGAAAAATATATATTTTAAGGATTTATAATTATTAGTGAATAATTTTTTAATGACAATTTTACATAAGAGCTAACTATACAAATGCAATGAAATATGTCTTCCTACACTTTTTACTTTCTCCCCCTATACAGAGTATATCGAAAAAATACATTGTTTTCGTCAAAGTTTTTGAGTTTTAATTGGATAGATCTGTTATGGGACACCCTGAACCCAAATAAGTGGTTTGCGAAGTGATGTCTGTGTGTGTGTGTGTGGATGTGTACAGAGCTAGAGACCATACATGTAGTCTGATTGTGATTAAATTTGTTATGTGTACTAATCCACAGCCCCATTGCTCCAGGCATTTTTTTTAATTTTTTCAAAATTTAGATTTTTAATGGTGATTTTTCCATAAAAACCCATAAAGTAACAGAAAAATCGGATCATCTAAAAAATGACCCGAACGATTTTGATAAAAATTTAGTATGTTTTGTCCTTTAAACCTGGAACAAAATGGTACAAATCCCATTTCCATAAAAAATACAATTCCAAAGTTATTATACATAACTTATGTTATTTTCCTATATAAAACCCCATTAAATAACAAAATAATACCCCCGCCGCAGCAAACCTGCAGACTAAGCGAATTTCCATATGTCTGATTGGATTTACACTAAAATGTCTACTTAAAAATTTAACATTTATTTCCTATTTAAATAGAATTATTTTAACAGGTACTTAGGTTTGCTGCATCAGGGAGGGTAAAACTTTTTTTTGTAAAATGTTAATAGTTAGTAAGAAATAAAAACATTTTCCAAATTTGATCAAAATATGTTCATAAACAAGCAAACTACAACACAGTTTACTCATTCTCCATAAGAATAACATGGGAATTTAAAATTTACATTTTTTTGGAATTTTCTCCGTAACCATTAGGCGCATAGTAACACTTCAATATACTAAATTATTTGTTTTTTTAAGCTCTACAAAATGGTTTGAAAAGATTTTGCAAAATTTTATTTTTTTTGGGTCAAAAATGGGAAAAACCTATTTTTACCCCATAAAACCCCCCGTAAACCCCCGTTCCCATAGTCCGATCATGCTGGTTCGCGAACTCGTTCGAGTTTATCCCGCCTTACACCTTCAAACCAAATTTTATCAAAATCGGACAAAAATTACTCAAGTTATCGTGCGGATGGACACACACACATATATATATATATATATATATATATATATATATATCTCTATATATAGATATATAAAAATTTGAACGAATGGTGTTTTTGGCCTCTGGGGACATCAAAATGAAAAAGTAAATCGGTCCCGGGCCTAGGTCTTACCATGAGACCTACGGTAATAGCTACTTCCCTATAGGGAAATTCGCTAAAATAGGATTTGAAGAAAAAAAACAGTTTTAATTCAAATAAATGTGTTATGATCCTTATAATTCTAAGCAAAATAGTGCAACCCCCTATTGCTGTAACAATTACAGTTCAAAGTTATTGCAACTTTTGTGATTTTTTTCTATAAAATATCATAGTTACTCCCACCGCCTACCCATGATTAAGGTTGTTGACAAGCTAAAGTACTGAAAGTACATGTCAGATTGCTGAGACCGTTTATTGATTTATCTATACATTATACTGTATGCATTTATGCTGTGCATCTACTACATTCTACAAATTAGGAATTTTCATTGGAGAAGAGAGGCTTTGCTATAAAATGTCATTGTTTTGTTTGATTTGTTTCAGGCAAAACATCACAAATCAGAAGCAGCCTTACAAATTGTCATTGCAAATTTGAAAGAATCTGTAAGTAAAAAATAGCCAAATGTGTGATACTGTATTTCATTCTTACTCCATTATCCTCCTACGATGTTATTTTTGATGATTTTCAAAACATTCTAAATTAAAAGGTTTTATGGCCTTTTTGTAGGGACTTGTGGTGAAAGTTATTATTATAGCTAATAATTCCTAGCATCAAAACCCGAATCTGAACTATTCGCCTAAAAATCTTTGTAATACCATGTATGTGATGAAGGAATAAATAAGGTTAAAATTACCTAATTGCAGTCAAAACCATCAGCTACAGCTGTTTTGTGCTGTGAATTAAGCACATCATCACAGGGCCACCCGGAGGGTGATAGATGCCAAGGGTGAGATTTCCATCTGTGCCTCCCCCCCAAAAAAGGACATCTGCGGTTTTCACGTCAACAGACCTAACAACCGATATATTATACAGCTTGCGAGTATTTTTTTATAAACCCTCACCTATAATATCTAGATTTACAAATTATAGTACTAGTTGTACAGATAATTTTAAATAACAGTACAGTAGAGTGTCGATTAACCAAAATGTAAATTTATAATTTACTGGGATTTTAAGAGAGGACGGCAATTCTTCGGGCAAAATTACACAGTACACGCCACTTCACTTTGTGTCTTCCACAATTACAGAATCGCCGTTGTCGTCCACGCGGTCACGAAAACATAATCGCCTTTTTCCACAATCGTGGCAGTTATATTCCGATTGGGCGGGAATGACTAGTATGATATCAGAATCGACTTTTGACCATTGATTATCAATCCCGATAATGTTACGGTGGTTTCGAGAATCAACTCATTCTTACTTAGCCTATAACGTTAAATGTTTTTTTACAAATTCCTCATGGTGGAGTTTTTTTAGAAGTTTTAAATTATACATATAGTATTTAAAATGTCTGTGGAATTAATGATTTATCATTACGAATAGATACACACTTAATCCTCCCATGTCATTGAAAGGCTGTTATCCTCTAAGTGTTCTAGCCAACATTTGCAACATCACTAAACCAATTTATCAATGTATAGGGTATGTATTATTATTAATATATTATTATTTATAAGTAATGTAAAATGTGTGAACCACCTCAAGTGTAATTTCACTTCCAGATATCTAATGAAAGGAAAAAGAAGATTGAGTCAGAAAAAGAAAATAATAAACTCATAGAAAAAATTGTAAGTGAAAAAATAGCTTACTATGTAGATTTATTTTAGTTTTGTTCACCATTACAATCAGGTTTTAGATAATTTGGAGTTTCCGAATCACTGCATGGATCATAAAAGGTATACAGTTTAAAATTCAGTCTGTTCACAATAAAACCATTGTTCTTCTGTTAACAAATTATTTAGGGACTAAACAATGGAGAGGAATGGCAAAAACCAAAAGCGTACACAACTATTGAATGTATTACTTTGAACAAAATTATTGCAATTTCCAACAAGGAGGAATTATTTACACAACAAACCTACTGGCTCAGCCGCCCATTACTTCTGATACAGAATCTAGTTTTCTCTTTTCTTCCTCACACCCCACTAAGTGGGACATGCCTAAGAGTAATTATAACATTTGTTAACATTATTTATAAATGATTTCTTACACGAATTGAGCTTTCTTTTTTAGCACAAAATCACTTAAGATGCACAGAGCACACCTATACTTTACAATGTGTTACTCAATAAAACAAACATATAACTTTAATTCTTTGTTAAATAAATAAGGTTATAATGCAGGTATAGCTTTCAGCCTTTTGTGAGATCAATGAATAATATTTTTAATTTTTAGTGATAACTTCCATGTTAACTAGAATTCTTTGGCGGTGAATCAAAAAGTCAATTAGCAAATCAGTCAAATTATGACTAATACTCTTATGACTACAGTATGTCAAGTTCAAGGCTGCCATGACTGACTTTGTTTACTCAAAACAAAATCAAGAGCAATTTGAGACTGGTCAGTTGATCCACCATTATAATAAAAGAAACAATAAAAAAAAATGTTTGAGAAAAAGCCAAATTATATAGGATCTAAATTTTAAAACAAAATTTCTACAATAATAGACACAAATCAAGAGTTTTCCAAATTTAAGAGAAAATTAAAAGAACACCTAGTTGAGAGAGCATTATACTCACTAGATGAGTTGAAAATAACTAACGGCCTTAAGTTTAATACTTGCCAACAGAAATTATGGTGTTTGTAACATTATTGTACTTATTGACAGAAATTACGTATTATAAGGATTAGTTTTAAGAAATGACGCATGTTCAATGTACTTACGCTACCAAACAATGAATAAAGAATGTTTTGACTTTGACTTTGGGGTGTTTTGAAAAGCTGACTGAGTACGGAAGTTCAAAATTGTAATACATATATTTCCCCAAAACTAATTTGTGTACTTATTATTTTTGTTACTTGTTGATTATCTTGGAAATTTGTTATCCGGAATGGCCCTTCTTCATGGTTAATGCAGAATTTCCTGTACAGTAGACTCCCTCTTATCCGGACAGCTTTTAACCGGACATCAGTTTAACCGGACTACACCTTGCGGAAATGACTTTATGAAATGACTTTAATGAAATCTCTTTAACCGGACAATTTTTATCAGCATATCGGTAGAAGTGGGCGGTACTAAAACGACTGTTCTTGTGGGAAAGATTTGAAACTATGATCTTGTGTCTAAATACAATGCTCTCCTAAATGTCAGTCAAATACTGTATACAGTATGCATTTAAACGGTCCGTTTTAACGAGTTTTTTGGGACGTTGGTTTAACCAGAAAACCCGTTATCCGGACTGGCTTTGGTCCCGAGCAGTCCGGATAAGAGGGAGTCTTCTTGTACATTAAATTTTAAATTTATTTTTCTTTGACAGAAAGAGTTAGAAGACAGCAGCAAAGATGTGTCCAAGTCCAACCAGGAGACTATTGATAAAATTACAGATCTCAAGAAACAGGTGAGTGTATTCTCTTTTGGGATTAGATTAATAGTGCAGTGTGACGTCCAGACACAGGAAAGGAAGAAAATCCAATAATGAAAGGGCTATTCAAGATTTAGGTAATGAATTTAATGTTGACAAAAGCTAATTTGGTACAGATTTATTCCTTGTTACCACTGTTACCAGTTACTAATCGCTGCAGAATATAATTTATACTGGACATATTTACACCCCAAGTAGAATCTCAGGGAGGGAAATATAGCGTAAAGACGTGACCCCGAGTTCCCAATTTACCCCTTTGCCTCTTGGTTTGGCGCTCATGCATGTCACTTGGAATGCTGATATCCCTTGTCAGCAGAAAAATCAGGCCACACTATAACCATCGAACTTGATGTAGCAATTGATGTATTGAATACTTTGTGACACTCAACAAAATTGCACCCCAATTAAATTGCAAGATAATGCTGGCTAATGGAGTTGCAAAATATTAACTCCTAGTCATACATAGATTGGAGTTCCATCTGTAATAGCTCCTGCTAGGTTTCGGTTTTAGAACCTCAAATTTTATAAATCAAGTAACGATAAAATATATGATAAAACAAGTAATTACTTATTTGCCTTTGTCAAACTCATCTGATGTGTACCAATCTAGCCAATTAAAGTAATGATACCTACGTTCTTCTCTGGATATGTCTTCTTTTGTCTTACCGGTACCTACTTTGTTTCAGATAAAATGTTGGACGAAACAAGTCTCAGATCTTAGAGATCAGTTGAAAACAACACAGGAGAAACTTTGTAGCTCTCTTAAACGAGAAAAACAACTACAACTCGATCTATCCTCAAAGGTATTTTATTGAAGTAATAAATAATGCTATTTGCTAAATATTTTATTTGTTGGATCATTGACTTGCGAAGTTTGCTTAGAAACCAATAATTAATATTATTGACTTTTGTTACTTTTCATGTTCTCAAATTTATATTTTGAAAAATAATGTTCAATATTTTTGCTTAGTTAATATGATTTTAAATATTAATTGGCAATTGATACATCATTCTCTCTTATTTTTCTTTAAATTCCTTTAGAGATAGTGTCTGTTAATGATGCTAACTAAATTAAAGGGAAATATAACTTGTATGTTTATAGGATTCAAGATACAAAGAAGAAATCAGTAAAAAACAAGAGGAAATTGACCAACTGACAAAGACAGTGGGGCATCTAACTGACAAAATTGATGAGTCTCAAACAGAGCTTCATACAACCAAAACCAAGACTTGTGAGGTGGAACTTAAACTGCAGAATGTGTGTGGCGCGTATGATGAGCTGAAATTGAAGGTACACTAGTACTGTTAATTGTTTGTTAGATACTAGCTTATACTAGATAAATCTGTGGTTTTAAAGACGCTTTAAAGAGCTTATCTAGGCATTAGTATTTTATTGAAGTTTAATACTAATGGGTAGAAAGAGCTTTTATCAAACTGTGTGGTTAGGAGAAAGAGAAGGAGGCCCAGGCCAACAAGCTGCAGGCTGCGTTGACAGAGCTGAGTCGAAAGTTTGCTTCGTGTCGTCTGGACGCAGGAACAAGTCAGTGTGTGCGCCACTACCAGGAGGAATGTGCCAAATACGAGGCACTATACAACACGGTCAGTATACCAGCCGTCCATAGCATAGAAGAATTTTTAATAATTAATTTCCAACAGCTGTTTTTATGATTGTGTGTTAACTGTACTACAATCTAAAACTATTCTCGCTTTTCCTATAAGTTTACAATTTACAGATTATGTAATTTACAGGAAGTATCTATTTAGATTGGCTTGCTTAAAAATTTAGAGGATTTAACAGAAATATATATATCTACTTGCTGCTGTATCCGTGCTTCGCAACATGGAGATGTTCTATACCGCCTAATTCAATTACTTGTTAAGTAGTTTGAATTTATAAACAAAAAGCCACAAAATTTATACAAAACGTATGACATACATTGTAATTGTCCTACTGTTTACATTAAAATATATCAATAACATAATTGTTACAACTTACGGTTATAGAATCTTTCTTTATTTCTATAAACAATGGCATAAATAAACCTATTACATAGTTTTGTAAAATATTTTATTTTATTAGTTTGGATCAGCTGTCTGAAATTGTGAATTAAGCATTTAGCAGTTCTGACTGTTTACATTGAAATGTCAATGCAAAGGTAAACTAGGTGTACAATGCAGTTGTCTGCTTGCAATATTGAGCGGAACTAGCATATTAATCCTGCAATAAGCTTGATTGTCTACTTGCAGTATCCTAAGTCAATAGCTCATTTGATTCACATAAATGGAGTGCCTATTTGCAGTATACAAAGTCAATGGTATGTCTGGTTCACGTCAATGGAATGTCTACTTGCAGTATCCAAACTCAATGCGATCTCTGGTTCACATTAATGGAATTCCTATTTGCAGTACCTATTCAATGTCTGCATTAATGTTAGGCCTACGTCTAGTTCTTGTAAATGGAAAATCTACTTGTAGTATCCAAACTCAATGGTAGGCCTATATTTAGTTCACATAATGGAATGGCTATTTGGAGTATTTAAAGAAAATGGTGCATCAGCCTAATTCTGGCGACCCTAATTATTGGTTATTCATTGTGTAGTAAAATATGCTCAATGATATTAATCCAATTTTTCTTCCCTTTTTCTCTGTACGGGATTTGAAATTTGCCATTTTAGATGATTCGTTGACGTTGACATATGTTGCGACTCTTGTTTACCTTCGTTTGTTATCTCGCCAATAATGTCATGGCGACCAAAAAACTCATAAGGCCTATGTTAAATTTCTAAAAGTTAAAAATTCACATAGGGAAAAGCCCTGTGGTCCGATTTGTACTATTTCAGATTCATACCTTCCCACGGTTGGTTACTATCACTGTGCTAAATTTTGTGCAGATTGCTTCAGCCGTTCAGGAGGAGTATTTGTAAAACAAAACCAGGAGTGTAGTATATAAGAGCTTCGCTTTACTCAACAAAGATTGTGAATTTTCTCATGCTTCTATGGATACCAATTAATATTTATTTTTGAAAACCTCACCTCAAAACTTTGGACATCCAAGTGGCGTAGCCCGAGAGGAACTCAGGGAAGTGAATAGGTCTATGACTTTCCTAGATTTGTGGACCATCTTTGTGGTTAATTTGGGCTGTATCGGTTCAGTATTTTAGTCGTGGCAGATGCACAGATAGACAGACAGACACCACCTCAATTTTTTAATCTATCTATATTTATAAAAGAGGAAGTATGTGTTTATATTCCCTATGGAATCCGAAACGGTTTGTCAGATTGTAATGAAACTTTCAGGCATTATCTTTAGGCATTATTCAAGGATGGTATGTGTGAAGTTTGGTGCAGATCCGTCCAAACAGCTCCGTCCTAGTGGCTCTGGAGTTTCCCATGTTAACCTTATGAGTACTCATATTAAAATGGAATTAAAGAATCTTAACAGCTGTTTCTGTGATTTTCAATAGAATTAAAAAGTTACAAGGTTTACTAACAGTATGCAGCACTATTTATTGCTCAAATTTATGACATCAGCTAATTTAAACCAAGCAGCAACAAAAAGCTGTGATACAAAGTGAGAACTCTCAAAGTAGATTTTTTTACAGTTATGATTATGTTTTTAATTAAACTAGCTGATGTGCCCGTGCTTCGCAACGGGAAGATGTACTATATCACCTAATCCAAACACTTGTTAAGTAGTTCAAATTTATAAACGAAAAGCCACTAAATGTATACAAAAAATTATACTTAAAGTGGTTTAAATACCTGCATTTAAGTAATCCAATTCGTTGCTTATGCTGCAACCGGTATCAACTCCGTGGAGTCATCTTCAGGCGTCCAAGGATATAAGTTATCACTTCATTTGAAGGTCGTCATAGTTTTAAAAAAACGAATATACACGTAACACGAACATTGAACACTCAACACTTGTTCAATGTTCGTGTTACGTGTATATTCGTTTTTTTTAAACTATGACGACCTTCAAATGAAGTGATAACTTATATCAATGCTTATATCCTTGGACGCCTGAAGATGACTCCACGGAGTTGAAACCGGTTGCAGCATAAGCAACGAATTGGATTACTTAAATGCAGGTATTTAAACCACTTTAAGTATTATACAGTAATCCGGAGGCTAAGATCCATCAATATGAAAAAATTATAACCTACATTGTAGTCCAACTGTTTACATTAAAATATATCAAGAACATTATTTTCATAACTTACGGTTATAGAATCTTTTTTCCATAATCAATGACATAGTTTTTGAATAAATAAACCTAACATTTAGTCGTGTAAAATATTGTACTTAACTTGTTTTGATCAGCTGTCTGAAGTTGTGAAATAAGCATTTGGCAGTTCTGGTTGTTTACATTGAAATGTCAAGGTAAAGGTAAACATTGTGAATTTTCTCATGCTTCCATGAAGACCAATTATTAATATTTACTTTTTAAATTTCTGACAACAGCTGGAGTTTCATAACAATATTTGATTCCCATGTTAATCTTATGGAGAAATACAAAACTTTAAAGGGCCCCTGGGCCTCACTCTCTAATTATTTTGCTAAAAAGAAAGTTTCCTGCACAACTTCACGTTACGCTCTTTCCAATGACACCAAAAACATGTCAATCGGTTCAGTAGTTTCGGAGGAGTAATTGTCACAAAAAATCTGCTTGCGTATTAAATAAGTACTAGTGTACCTGTTGATCGAATTCGAGCAATTGCTAAGCATTACAGGCGTTATTTTAAAACGAATAACAGTCATAATTTCTGATGACTTTAAAAGATTCAACTCAAAGATTATGGAAATACTCAAGATCTACCTAACAGATCGATATAATCAACATTTCTTGTAAATAAGGTATCATTTTTCAAAAGCTGATCTTGTTTTTTAGTGTTTTCTACAAATAGCCTTACTCATAGCCTTGTACATTATCTCTATTTCTTCTCCTATGTTTCCATAGTTTGCATATCGGCTCTTTCAATGATTAGTAAGAAATGCAGCACAGTGTTAATTCAGTTTTCTTTTTAGTATATCAAATTATCCAGGCTCTCTCGCTTTTTTCCATTGTAATATTTACGCCAACCCAAATTCAAATAGTAAAACTTCATTTCAACCAAGTCAGTAAATGTTTAGCAAACTGTTAAATTAGCAAACTTATTGCCTGTTTACAATTAACATATGTTCTTCTTCTCACTTTTAATTTCTAACAACAGCTGGAGTTTCATAACAGTTTTTGTTTCCCATGTTAATCTTATGGAGAAATACGAAACTTTAAAGAGACCCAGGGCCTCACTCTCTAATTATTTCCTTAAACAGAAAGTTTCCTGCACAACTTCACGTTACGCTCTTTCCAATGACACCAAAAACATGTCAAACGGTTCAGTAGTTTCGGAGGAGTAATTGTCACAAAAAAACTGCTTGCGTATTAAATAAGTATAGATAGATAAATAATTTTTGATTCTGTGCAAATAAGGTGTTTTATTTTTTAAGTGCGTAATTCATTAACTTATTGACTTTCTTTTTTCCTATTTGTTTGTAAAAATCTATTATGTTTGTATGATTTGTTTCCCCAAAAATAATGCTTGGGAAACGGAGTAGCCAGTTGATACTTTAAGTGAATCACTAAAAGTTTATCTACATACATCAGATTTATGGAACATAATGATTATTCTCTAGTCAGTATTAAACATCAACACACTCTGTCGATGGCTCAAATCAAATACGTCCATTTTACTTTTAAAACTGGCAACAACTTTAACATAGAGGAGAGAGTAAATTCTTTGTTATTCACTTACCTTGGCATTAAAATTAGCACCTTGTGTTGTGTCAGCACCATAAAAGCCTGTTCTAGTAGGCTTCTCATCCCCGTGATAATGCTGTTTTCAAAGACTGTTGACTGAAAATAAACTTAGTTGAATCCACTTCAGTTGCTATGAATTACTGATATCTGTTGTATAAACGAACTACAACATACTGTATGTCATATCAAATCAATTATTAACGTTTTGAAACATAAGAGTGGAAATCTTATTAGTAGCATTCTCTATGAGTGCTACTACTGGTAACTCAAAAGTTACCATTTTGTTCTATTTAATTGAAAGATTCACTACAGCTGGTACGTGGGATATCTACCATAGTTTCAAAAAGGGAATGGTATGATCAAAAACAGTTTTGATTATTCAAAGATTTTCAGAATTCTGATAAGACTAATCTTGAATACCACTAATGCCTATTGATTGTTTTAACTCTTCTCTTTAAATTACTTCTAACTCTATAACTAGAATCTAATAATATCACGATCAGTGAATCTGAATTTTAGCATGCAGTTAAAAATTAATTATTTTTTTATGTGATCAGGCATCATTCTTATCGATTTTGTTTACTAGTTTACTAGTTTACTTAGTTTTGTTGTAGTGAATACTTAATGAATTTTAAAGTTTTCAATTAAACTTATTTGTTATTAACTTTTTATCTTTTTTCAACTCGTAAAACAATGAAAATAAAGATACACTTTTATACAGCATATTTCGTACCTAGAAATCAATGACACTAGTATCATTAAAAAGCTACAAAGCACCTAATTCTCATTTTGATTGCAAGCTCAAAATTAATTTTGAAAACTACAAAACTTTTTTGATTGTCTTTATTATTGGTTTTAGTGATCTTACTACATTTAGTTTTAACTTTGGCCAAGCTTTTAACTAACTGTCATTTGTCATAATGGCTTTATAAAATAAATAGATAAAATTAAATTCTAATTAGATCTATAAGTTAGACGACAGTTGTTAAATGTTCCTTCACACATGCATTTATAATACATTCACACATGAAAGATTCACATTAAATGTTAAAAGATCAAATCAGCTAATGAGGAAATAGAACAGACTTTTGTTATTAGTCACCACAACATTAGGACTAGCTAGATAATATGGTATATTGTCTTGTTTACTTTGCAGACAGCCTGTAAACTTCGCTCCAAAGAAGTAGAGGTTTCTTCTTTGAAGCAAGAGTTGGAGAGGTTAAGAAGTGAACTGGACCACATCTCTATGGCTACTTCACAACAAGTAAACATCTATTACAAGTATTTACATAACCTAAGGAAGATAATTAAATTTTTTTGCTCATATAGATGTAATCTAGTTTATATTACAAATCAACAGCATTTGGTTCATAATACAGGGTGAGTTTCTACTAAGCGTGTTAGTTTTTACCAGTTATTCTACTCACTAAAAGGGACAAAAAATGCCAAACAAAAATTTTCCAACCCCACCTGTTGGGCTGCAATGGCCAATTATGTGAATTTTTAAAATTACCTGTAGTAGCTCCACTAAAACGAGCATAGAAATCAAGCCAATACACGTACAGCATAATAACTTATACCAATGAAAAGAGCGTTAAATTTCCTACAAAACCATTGCAACGTCGTTAACATACAACCATATTTTCACCGTTTTATGTCTCACATAACATAAATAAAGAAGTTTGTAAATTATTTCTTTACAATTTCAAAGTGGTGTTACAACTAATAACACTAATGTGATGTTTTGTCAAATTACGTAAAAAACTTTTCGCAACTGCGTCAAGGTCAGAGTTTTGGGAATCAAAAAATTCAACCAAATGTAAAACAGTATGTATCTGTTAATTTCTTTTTTATCACTTTTAATCAGCTGGAGCTGACTTCTGATCAGCTGGGTGTTAAACTTTGTTTACAAAACCACCTGATTTTAATTGTTGGCTTGTAAACATTCAAATTATTAACTATTTCATGAGGAAAATATTATGATTGTTTAGTGCTATATCGGTGTTCACCAATGAAGTATCTTGAAAAATGTCACGAACACTTTTATTTAGCATTTTTAATTATCTATCAAACGATACTATGTTCACGATACCAAATATCAAAGCTAACCTGAGTATCTTCTGCCTTATTCTACCCCATTGTTACCTTTTGTTATTTTTTTTTTGTGATGTGTATATGTTCCCATTATTTCTTTTGCTGTAAACAATTATTATTTGCGTAGTAAGAAGTAATTTATTATGTTTTTTAGACTAGTGACGTAGAAATAAGAGACTCCACCGACCAGGAAGGGCAACGGATTTAAACCGAATGAAGACAAACATTATTTGAGAAACCTCTTATCTAAATAATAACGCTTCTGACGAAGTTTGATGAGTAAGGTTACTGATGTGGTGAAATGAAAACAAACTAGCCTAAGATGTAGCTGTTAATGGTTTATTTGTTACACAGAGAGAAGACGAGAGTTGTCCATTCCTCATGGAGAGAGTCCATCAACTATCGAGAGAATTGCAAGTAGCTCACTCCTGCCAAAACAGCTATGAGTCCATGCTTAGAGATGTGAGTAAACCATTCTTCTCCGGTTGTCAAGTTATATTTTGGTGAAATTGGTAGCGTGCTTTAGGTAAGTCAGATCTTAATAATTAATTGCTCAAATGAAATCTGGTATTTCACTGAAGGTTCTTGTGCTTAAGGTACGTCCGATCTTAATAATCGATAGCTCGAATGAAAGCTGGTATTTCACTGAAGGTTCTTGTGCTTAAGGTACGTCCGATCTTAATAATCGATAGCTCGAATGAAATCTGGTATTTCACTGAGGGTTCTTGTGCTTAAGGTACGTCCGATCTTAATAATCAATAGCTCGAATGAAATCTGGTATTCACTGAAGGTTCTTGTGCTTTTGGTACGTCAGATGTCTGATCTTAATTATCAATAGCTAGAATGAACCCTGGTATTTCAGTGAAGGTTCTTAGATCAAAGCATATAGGATAACGGAATTAAAATTGAGCAAATATATCTAAAATTAAATAACATATACAAGAAATAATCAAATTCATGTTTTTTGATGAATAATATAGTATCTTGAACTTAACTGATTCAAACGATCAATATCTTAAATGAAAGCCTTTATTTCTAGGAATACTTTAAGGTCAAGACATTTATAAATTAATTAAAATTAAAATGGTGTAACGTATCATTGATAGTTGATTCGTAATTCAGCAGCGTGCTTCTGGTACGTTTGATTTGAATAATCAATGGCTCAAATGAAAGGGGCGAAATATCAATTAAATTGTGTTACTTTTTTGTGTTTTATGAACCTCCTGGGACTCATTATTTAGGTAAGTAAGTTGTGTATCCTTCCTTTCTCCTTAACAAATGTCTCAGGAAATGATAATAGCAGTCTATTTTTCATTGATTAATGAGCTGTTGGATTGCCCTACGTACGGGAATCGAGTAGTCAATAAAACTTAATATAATTCAGAACAGCTAGTTTACATGTATAAACACAAATTCTGGCATTTTTAATGAGAAAATCATCTTGTAAATAAAAATGTCACATGATTCTATTTCTATTCCTATTATATTCCTATTCATTTCTTCCTATAATAGGCCTATACGATATACATTTTAAATCTGATAATTTGCAATAAAACAGCAGTTGCGTCGGTTTGAAAAGCCTTGAAGTGAGATTGGCGGTCCATTCACACACACTGGTTTTGAGTACAGTAGTTACATACCGTCTTCCATTGCATACTATCACTTAAATGATTTTGCTTGAACCTCAACAGTAACTGTCGAGTTTGACGGGATTCACCTATTTTTAAATAAAAACCAATCAGACAAATTGAAATTCACTTTGTATGAAGGTTTGCTGCAGTGGGAGTATATTTAATATATTTCTAAGAGGAGATTCGTCAATAGAATGATTGTTTTCGATAACATTTTCTTTCTGATGAAACGAGGGAATAAAATAGATAAAATACTTTATTAATAATTTAAATAAAATTTAAAATATATTAAAACATTAACACTTCACTGAGAACATATTAGAACAACATAACATAACATAATACAGCTTTAAAACTTTTGCAGTTTTATTTAGTCAGTGACAGTGATAAGACAGTGCTGGCCAGCCTTTACAGTTTTAAAAAGTTTTATCACTTTTTATTCAATTTTACTATTGTAATTTTGACAGTGTTTTAACCCTCTGAGTGTTAAGCATCGCGTAATCAACGCACAACACACCCGCCGTGTTGTTATGCGTCGCTTAAGCGACACACAAACAACGTTTACGGCGAAGGCTCTGGGACCGACTGAATCAGATTGAACTGGATCGAGATTGGTATCGTTGTTTTCAGCAGATTCTAAGCTTTCTCCTGATGTCTGTTTCTAGACACTTTTAATTTTAGTTCCGAAAATATTGTAGCAGACAGATGACATGCGTATTTGTAAACAACTTGGTTAACTTCGCACCGATGACTCATGTGTTTTATTACGTTTATCATTGTTTTAGTGTTAAAAATAAAAAATAGTGATATACGTGGTGCATTATAAGAAGATTTAAGTGATTTTGAAGGGCTGGTTGATGCTCCTGAAGAAGTATGTAGTGATATTGATGTAAATGATCCGCCAGATTCCTAAGTTAGCTATGGTTAGGCTATGCATTCTTAGCTAACGCTAAATGTACGAAATCTGTTTTTCACCCATAACTTATTTAGGTATTTGCAAACCTACTTCCTTATATTATTATATTTTTGGAATCCTCATAAAATGTATAACAAAGTGGCTATTTTGAAATATTTGTAGACCTATAATTATAAATTTATTGAGCGCAACATACATTTTTTTCACTTATTTTATAAGTTTTTAGAAATGTTAACCCCAGAAAAATTGTTGAAAATTTTTTTTTATGTTTTAGACTATATATTACATTAAAGCCCACAGTTTTCCAAACAAAATTATATATAAAACAGTATACTTTAGAGTGTTTTTAAGTTTCTAAGATACATTTTAATAAAACCCTGCAATTGCGCAATAAATGGGCGGACATTAAGACCATTACTATGGACACTTGGAGTTTTAAAGAATCTTTTGACATACCACTATTTATTAATATATTGATGATGTGGTTGCATACAATGACCTGACGAAGTTCTAAGGAACAAAACTAGTTGTCATGCCAGCAACTGTGCTTGGATAAGGTAATCCTTCTATTTTATCAATAATATATTCCAACCAAGGGTCACAATGAATAACATAAGATATAAAAAGACATTTGATTATAAAGCACCAATAAAGTAATACAGTACCATATAAAATCCTCAACATTCCCCTTTGATCAAACATATTTTTAGCGAATTTCCCATATAGGGAATAAGCTATTACCGTAATACTCATGGTAAGACCTGGAAAAACAGGGCTAAAAATCATGTTTAGGGCGTCGACTGGGGGTCAGTATTTTCACCATATTTGGATCAATAAACAAGGCACTTTTGCAATCTTTAAATGCAGAATTTTTACTGCAGCGAGACTGTTGTATAATTTAAATCAAAGACATAACATAACCTCAATCAAAGTTAAGTTCACTCCACTCTCTCTTGTGGATGGAACTTCTGCATTGGCTCCACTTACACCAAACCACCTTCTTCAAGAAGCCAGGGTAAGTGGTATGCCAGACATAGACCAAATCGACGAGTGAAGATTGAACTAATTAAAGATTAAAACATATCTTGAGACATAATCTAAGACAATGTTTCAGGAAAGAATATTTGGGACAGTTGGTTCAAAAATCAAATATAAAAATTTCACAAAATTTACCATGGATAGGTGATTAGTTTTTATTGAATGTGAAAATGTGAAAAGAATAGATTAGCTTTTCAGTCTTGTCAATGAAACTATACCAGGCAAGAATGGTGTGGTCGGACTTGTAAAACTTTGTTCAACTCATGGAACATTGTTGAAGCTGATAAAAAGATTGTATGCCCTTGAAAGCAAATCGAAAGATATAAACATGGAGAAGAAAGTTAATTGATGGACCTAAAAACAAAAACACTCAAGATGGAATTGAGACAAAAGTAGGTAAAAAATTAAGGTACTACCATAGACAAATAGAATAAATATAGACCGTCAGCTGTGCTGCTGTTAGCAGAAGTTTTGGCGTCTACCGCTAGATTTGCCGTGTAGTTACGGCGCACGCCACTGCAGCATCTGTTGGTTACATACGGCTCCTGCGCTCCGCGACTGCAGCGGTGGGCGCCGGAACCTTCCTTTGACAGTCTATATTTATTCTATTTGTCTATGGTACTACTCGGTGGGAAGATGTTATATGCCTTGGTTTGTACATAAAAATTCTGTATATTTCATATAGCTCATCTTTTATCAAGTTTTGTTTTTTGTTGAATTTGTGATCTTAACTATCGTAAAACTAGAAGTTTTAATAAAAAGGTCACATTTTTCTTTAAGATTTATTATGAATTGAAGAGATAGGGGAACATAATTAACAGGAGTTATTTCAAATAATGCACATATAAAGCCATTCTCCTGCATGATCAGATGTAGATTTCTTTAAATGTTTGTAATTTTGTAGAAGTTTGAGTATGTGGTGCACTTATATGGTCACTCTTTGGTATGAGCAAATGTAGGTTCCTTCATATGGCTTTTGTTTTGAAGGATTTCCCTCATGTAGTGCAATTTAAGGTTACCCTCCAATATGAACCAATGTATGCTTCTTCAATTTGGAATTGGCTGTAAAGGATTTTCCACATGTAGCACACTTATAAGGTCGCTCTCCAGTATGAATCAATAAATGTCGCTTCAAAGCAGTTTTGGTTGTAAAGGATTTTCTACATGTATCACACTTATAAGGCCGTTCTCCAGTATGAACCAATGTATGTTTATTCAAATTCTGTTTTACTGTAAAGGATTTTCCGCATGTATCACACTTAAGGTAGCTCTCCAATATGTATCCATAAATGTTGCTTCAAATAATCTTTTCTTACAAAGGATTTTCCACATGTATTGCACTCATAAGGTCGCTCTCCACTATGAACTAATGTATGTGTATTCATATTAACTTTGGCTGTAAAGGATTTTCCGCATGTATCACACTTATAAGGCCGCTTTCCAGTATGAATCAATAAATGTCTCTTCACACTTTTTTTGGTTACAAAGGATTTTCCACATGTATCACACTTATAAAGTCGCTCTCCAGTATGAACCGTTGTATGTTCTTTCAAAGACCTTTTTGTTGTAAAGGATTTTCCGCATGTATCACACTTATAAGGCCGCTTTCCAGTATGAATCAATGAATGTCTCTTCACACTTTTTTTGGTTACAAAGGATTTTCCACATGTATCACACTTATAAGGTCGCTCTCCAGTATGAACCATTGTATGTTCCTTCATATAGTGTCTAGTTTTAAAGGATTTTCCACATATAGTGCACTTAAAAGGTCTCTCATCAGAGTGTGTCAACAAATGACTCTTTACGTGATGTAGGTGGATAAAGGTTTTCTCACATATAACACATTTAAAGGGCCGCTCACCTGTATGTTCAAATATATGACACTTCATTTTCCGCTGAGTAGGAACGATTATTCTACAAACTGGACACTTATAAGGAAGTTTTTTAATGATCTTTAACATTTTTACTTTTCACTTTCTAACTTATCAGATAACCTAGTAACTAAATAGACGCCTCAACTAGTCAGTATGCTTTGTATGTCCATTTGAATATTTCTCTTGTTTGTAGGATTTGTTAAATGTCTATTAGTTACATAGGGATTTCATTAAATTTTTAGACATCTCTTGCTCAAATCTTGTTACCAATGGGTTGGAGATATCAAATCGTACAGAATAAATGTTCATTGTCATACATAATCTCTTGTTATTTAAGGCATAATCGTGATTATTTTTTTTTGTTTATAGTGTTTAAAAGTTAATGCTTTTTCACTGTTGTTCAAAGTATTGTATATAAGAGATTATATGAAGCTTTACTGTGATGAGCTTGAGTTTATTTTTCTTTTGTCCGGGAAAGTATATTGTCACTTCTGAAAAAGACCATACTTTATTAGACATTTACATTTTATAAATAACAATTCCTTTTTTTATCGGTTAATTTATCTTTATAGTGTTATAACATTACAATTGTTTATACTAGCACGTAAATATCTAATGATTGAAAACCAAGGTTGTACAAGCCATTCAAAATTATGTAATCTAAATAAGTATAGCATCTATTCTATTTTAAACTCTTTGTCCAAGCCATTCAAAATTATGTAGGCCTAATCTAAATAAGTATAACATCTATTCTATTTTAAACTCTTTCTGAAGTTTCTTAAATTCCACACCTTCATGTAAACCATTTTCTCACCTCAAACAATCTTTTCTAATCTTGGTATTTTTAGGAAGGGTCATTTCATTTCAATATCTTTATTCAACAATTGTACATTGTACATTGAATAGTAGGGATGGACGGGTCCCGAAATTTCGGGAATTTTTCGGGAAAAAAATATTCCCGATTATCGGGACGGGATTACATTTGATTCGGGAATTTTTCGGGACGGGATTTGGTCCGATCGCCGGCGATTTTGCCGCTTCGCGAGTGCCGATGACGCCGCTATTGCGAGCGATAGGTCCGCGAACGCAGGAGACGAAGTCGTTTCGACGATTGCGCCGTGACCGCGGAGTCATACCGACGATCACGCCGTGACCGCGGGGTCATACCGACGATGACCCCGTGACCACGGAGTCATATCGACGATCGCGCCGTGACCGTGAGTCATACCGACGATCGCGCCGTGACCACGGAGTCATACCGACGATCACGCCGTGACCGCGGAGTCATACCGACGATCGCGCCGTGACCATGAGTCATACCGACGATCGCGCCGTGACCGTGAGTCATACCGACGATCGCGCCGTGACCGTGAGTCATACCGACGATCTCGCCGTGACCGTGAGTCATACCGACGATCGCGCCGTGACCGCGGAGTCATACCGACGATGACCCCGTGACCACGGAGTCATACCGACGATCGCGCCGTGACCGTGAGTCATACCGACGATCACGCCGTGACCGCGGAGTCATACCGACGATCGCGCCGTGACCGTGAGTCATACCGACGATCGCGCCGTGACCGCGGAGTCATACTGACGATCACCCCGTGACCGCGGAGTCATACCGACGATCGCGCCGTGACCGTGAGTCATACCGACGATCGCGCCGTGACCGTGAGTCATACCGACGATCGCGCCGTGACCGCGGAGTCATACCGACGATGACCCCGTGACCACGGAGTCAAATCGACGATCGCGCCGTGACCGTGAGTCATACCGACGATCGCGCCGTGACCGTGAGTCATACCGACGATCACGCCGTGACCGCGGAGTCATACCGACGATCGCGCCGTGACCGTGAGTCATACCGACGATCGCGCCGTGACCGTGAGTCATACCGACGATCGCGCCGTGACCGCGGAGTCATACCGACGATCGCGCCGTGACCGTGAGTCATACCGACGATCGCACCGTGACCGCGAGTCCTTTCGACCGCGAGTCACAAGTTTCTACAGGTACCTGAAAAATTGTTACCCATCTCTTGGTTTTTATAGATCAGTGCCACAAAGGGTAAAGATTGATTTTGTATGCCTTTTTTGGTAACTGCAATACTCAAGTCTTTCTTTTTATGCACAGAAAAAAATCCCGTCCCGTCCCGTCCCGAAAATCGGGAAGGAAATAAAAATCCCGTCCCGTCCCGTCCCGAACTAAAAATTCAATCCCGTCCATCCCTATTGAATAGTGTCAGATTCCTAACCTAGTAAATAAAGTTATAAGCTAAAATTACAATTTATATAATACTAAGAAACTAAAAATAAAATCAGGTTAATTGGGGAAACACCTCTTTAATGGAGTAGGGAGCGATTTCTATGAGATATTTTTTTAATTTGTTTTTAAATTTGATTGAGTTGCCAATGGGTTTTAAATGATTTGGAAGAAACCGTAAAAATCTTCTTCCGGCACAGGTGGGCTTTTTATTTGAAAATAAAAGATGGTTGCGACTATTTTCTCTTAGGGCTTTTCCTCTTGTATTGTAGCATAATTGTGCGTTATCTGATATACTTTCTTTCGCTATGAGAGCAGTTTCAAAAATGTATTGGGCAAACACAGTTAATATTTTAAAATTTTTGAAATGAATTTTAACACATTCATCATTTTTTAGTCCCATCATTGTTCTTAATGCCCTTTGCTGTAATTTTAAGATTCGATTAAGATTTTTCTTAGTTGTAGCTCCATATAAAGATATACCGTATGAAATGTGGCTATGGACAAGAGAATGATATATTGTTTTTAAAGTATTGATATTACATAAATATGACATCTTTTTCAAAGCAAATATCCCTGAATTTATCTTTGAGCAAACATGATTGACGTGGTCCTGCCAGGATAGATGTTTATCAACTTTTAAACCTAAAAAATCTATTTTATCAACTTGTTTGATTTCATCGGAATCCAAAATAATCAACGGTTCTATTTTGTTTTTACATTGCTTAGTTGAAAATGATATAAAATTAGTTTTACTTTTGTTTATTTTGAGATTGTTGGATAGTAAGTAATTTTTAATATTTGCAAGTTCTATAAAGGTATCTATTTCAATATGTTCTACTGTTTTTCCTGTAATTTTTAAGTTAATGTCATCAGCATATAAACACATATTTCCACAAGGTACACACGACAGAACATTTGGAATCTTATCAATGTAGCAAAGGAATAAAACAGGGCCTAGTATTGAACCCTGAGGGACACCAAAGTGATTAAGTTTTATTTCTGATCTGTTTTTTACCAGCCAATTATTTTTATTTGACATGATTTCAACGTATTGCTTTCTTTCCGATAAATATGATTTGAACCACGCCAAAATGTGACCTCTTACTCCCATATCTTCTAGTTTGAGTATTAGAGTTTGGTGACATACCCTATCAAAAGCCTTCGTAAGGTCCATTGATATTCCTATAACATTTTCGTGGCTATCAATTGAATTTATTATACTCTCAAAAAAACTTGAAGCAGCTGTAATTGTTGATCTGCCTGAGCGAAAACCATGTTGGCCACTAAATAGAAGGTTGTTATTTTCTATAAAAGACACTAGCCTAATTTTCATTGCCTTTTCAAATAATTTTGAAATAACTGGCAAAAGTGATATTGGTCGATAGTTTTCTACGCACTGAGGGTCCCCCTTTTTGAAAATAGGCACAACCTTAGCAACTTTTAATAATTTTGGAAAATGACCGGATATAAAAGATGAATTAATTAAATGAGTAAAAATTGGAACTAGTTCTTGTTTTGTATATTTTATTACTTTAACGGGAATTTCGTCGTGCCCACGTGAAGGTTTGTTACTTAAAGAGTTTATCAGTTTTTCTACTTCCTCACATGAAACAGGTTCACATCGAAATAATGTTTTAGATTTGACACAATTTTTTAGTACTGGCTGGTGATTATCTAACAACTTATTACAGTTTACAGAACCATTCTTTCCAGATAAACTTACAAAGTAGTCATTTAGTACATTAGATATTGCCCTGGGATCTGCAATAGTTGTTCCTTTGTACGCAATGGTCATGTCATTCACGTTATTTATTTTTTTATCGTAGTGTAATCTTTTAGTTTTGTTTGCCGATTTTTTAAAAGTCTTCATTTTTGTTTTACAGAGGTTAGACAAGTTTTCGTCTTTTAATAATCTAGCTAATTTTGATGATTCCACGATTTCGTTGAATTCCTCCTTTAATGAATAAGTATACCACTCTTTACTGTTAGTTTGTTTCTTTATTACTTGTTTTGGAAATGCTGTGATAAAATGTGATTTGAAAATTTTATAAAATGTTTCGTATTTTTGTTCACAGTTTGCATTAAAAACTTCAAACCAGGACTCGTTTTGTAATGATATTTTGAAATTAATTAGATTTTCATCAGATAGGTTATAGTCTAAATACTTCAGTGACTCGTTTTTCCATGTTTTTTTGGTTAATTTATCAAGGGTCAAAATTTGAGCATCATGATCAGATAGATATGTAACCAGTCCCTCTATTTTTAGATTAGATTTGGGAATATTTGTCAAAAAGTTGTCTATTGCAGATTCCGAGGGCCCTACTACCCTTGTGGGAAAATCAACCAGATATTGCATTCCATGTCTAACTAGAACAGAGTTTAGATCCGTGGCATTCCTATCATTTCCTAATGTGTTAATATTTATGTCACCAGCCACTATAACATATTTATTCCTAGCTAGTACAATATCTAATAGCTTACTTAGCCTGTCTAAAAAAATTGGAACTTTAGAAATTAGTGATCTGTAAACTGCAACCAACAAGAATGATTCAGTATCGGATTTAAAACAAACCATGCTGCTCTCAAACTGTTTGTCTTCATGTAAGGATAACACTTCAGGAATAACAACCGGACTCCACTTCACAGCTCCACGCGCAAAGATGGCAACACCCCCTCCCGTCGTGGTGGTGCGGCAGTAATGAGAAAGTAATTTAAATTTATTTACATGCAATCTGGATATCTCATTTTGATTTAATTTATGCTCTGTTAAAACTACTATATCGGGGTTACTTTCGTTTAAAATAATTTCTAGTGGTTCGATGCGGCTTGCTAAATGTTGAATGTTCTGATGGAATATTTTTATTTTATTGTTATTTTTATTGATAAAAATGTTTTTGGGCGGTGTTATTTTTCTTCCATCCCTAGCACGAGCGGGGAGTTTAAAGTGGAGTCCCGTGTGTTATTTTCGGATGGAAATACTACAATAGGGCTTGCACTCCCCACTTCACTGATAGAGACTTTTTCACTGATCCCTCCCCCACTGTATTCTTCTGCAGACTCCTCAGGGCTGACAGACGTTTGCTCGACATCCTGTACTGTTGTGGATGCAGGTAGTGGCGATGGTGATGCCTGTGGTTGTGACTGCTCCTGCCCTGCTGTGATGTTGGTGGTAGGTGGTGTTGAGATGTTGTACCTCCTTAGCTCCTCAGCAATATCCTTTCGT